AATATTACTGAGTGCGGCGTAAAACTAAACTCACTCACTCACTCATTCCCGCCACACTGAGCTCAGGCCTACCAAAGAAAACTTTCCCACTGTGCAGAAAAACGCAGAAAAGCCCACATTAATCGTGGAAATAGCAACATAAACACATTACCTCGCTAGTGAAACAGTAAAACGACTACGACAATGAAACTGCAACATTTTTTTATCAGTGAACTTTGACCTCTACTGCGCATGCGCATTACGATCCGGGCTTCTTTCCAATTTCTGAGCAACCATGGCATGAATCGCCTCGCGCAGAAAAAGTATTAAATATGTCGAAATAATTGCTGTCAATCCTTTCATACGAATGGAACTAACCAAGTGTGCACACAAGTATCATGATGATAAATGCCAAATAACACAACAGAAATACTTAAAAAGAAAGGTAACTTTTGTTCAAGCTGGTAAATGTCAACATGCGGTCGAGACTCTCCTCTTCCATGTGCGCATGTGCAAAATCGAAGTTGCGGGCTCCTCGTTTTATGATGCAGTGTTAGCGATTTAAAGTTGCCGTTTTTACTGTTTCAGCAGCGAGGTATTATGTTTATGTTGCTATTTCCACGATAAATGTGGGCTTTTCTGCGTTTTTCTGCACAGTGGGAAAGTTTTCTTTGGTAGGCCTGGAGCTGACACGTCCGTCCTACCGTCCAACCCAGCACCCTGACCTCACTCACTCACTCCACGTTCAGTGAAACTTCAACAAAAACCCCATTATGTCGAAATATCGTCTAAGACGATAATACTTTATGTTCGCGATAGAGTCCGTGTCAACACTGACCGATGCACCCGCTTGACTCGAATACGTATAACTCGAGCTGCATGTCAGAAAGATCACCAATAGACATCTCAACACACATCGGTTTAAACATCGATTCTCCAATCAACCGTCCAGCTATCAGTGCTAAATAACTAAAGAGCATGGTAAGTGGGTGTCTGTTTACATTTACTCTACATTCAGCTTTCAACATCGGACACAACAATAATGGGACGCTGTATCAACACATTCATGAATAAATACTGATAAATCGGTGTGAGTAGTCAGTGCTGTTTACATTGTGATAAATTACAGTTCCATTCAAAGGGTTGGTCGTGAGTTGTGGACCAAAACATCAGTAACAGCTTCTGGGTGATTACTCGCTACATACGTTTGTTACTGTGTTGTACGGGTGTGCTGATGTACAAGTAATACCACGCAAATGTGACTATTACTAGCAGTGTCAAGCTAATGTAAAACATTCCCACGGGCTCTGGGTGATCAGACCAAGTTCTGTTTCACATGCTAACCAGTACCACAGGAGCACATGCCAGGATAGTGTTGTAAAACACATGCCACAGACTGTCAGGATAGTGTTGTAAAATACATGCCACAGACTGTCAGGATAGTGCTGTAAAACAGATGGCACAGACTGCCACGATAGTGCTGTAAAACACATGCCACAGACTGCCAGGATAGTGTTGTAAAACACATGCCACAGACTGTCAGGATAGTGTTGTAAAACACATGCCACAGACTGCCACGATAGTGCTGTAAAACACATGCCACAGACTGCCAGGATAGTGTTGTAAAACACATGCCACAGACTGCCAGGATAGTGTTGTAAAACACATGCCACAGACTGCCAGGATAGTGTTGTAAAACACATGCCACAGACTGCCAGGATAGTGTTGTAAAACACATGCCACAGACTGTCACACATGCCACAGACTGCCAGGATAGTGTTGTAAAACACATGCCACAGACTGCCAGGATAGTGCTGTAAAACACATGCCACAGACTGCCAGGATAGTGTTGTAAAACACATGCCACAGACTGCCAGGATAGTGTTGTAAAACACATGCCACAGACTGTCAGGATAGTGTTGTAAAACACATGCCACAGACTGTCAGGATAGTGTTGTAAAACACATGCCACAGACTGTCAGGATAGTGTTGTAAAACACATGCCACAGACTGTCAGGATAGTGTTGTAAAACACATGCCACAGACTGCCAGGATAGTCTTGTAAAATACAGAACAGACTGCCAGGATAGTCTTGTAAAACACATGCCACAGCCAGGATAGTCTTGTAAAACACATACCACAGACTGCCAGGATAGTGTTGTAAAACACATCCCACAGATCGTCGGTGATAATACGGACACTCGTAAATCCAGCAGTGCCAAGACTGTGTTGTGAAACACATACCACAGACTCTCGGTGATACAACGGACACTCGTGAATCCAGCAGTGCCAGGAGTGTTGTGAAAACCACATACCACAGACTGTTGGTGATACAACGGACACTCGTGAATCCAGCAGTGCCAAGACTGTATTGTAAAACACATACCACAGACTGTTGGTGATACAACGGGCACTCCTGAATCCAGCAGTGCCAAGACTGTATTGTAAAACACATACCACAGACTGTTCGTGATACAACGGGCACTCCTGAATCCAGCAGTGCCAGGATTGTTGTGAAAACCACATACCACAGACCTTCGGTGATACAACGGACACTCGTGAATCCAGCAGTGCCAGGAGTGTGTTGTAAAGCACATACCACAGACTGTTCGTGATACAACGGACACTCCTGAATCCAGCAGTGCCAGGATTGTTGTGAAAACCACATACCACAGACTGTTCGTGATACAACGGACACTCGTGAATCCAGCAGTGCCAAGGCTGTGTTGTAAAACACATACCACAGACTGTTCGTGATACAACGGACACTCGTGAATCCAGCAGTGCCAGGATTGTTGTGAAAACCACATACCACAGACCTTCGGTGATACAACGGACACTCGTGAATCCAGCAGTCCCAGGATTGTGTTGTAAAGCACATACCACAGACTGTTCGTGATACAACGGACACTCCTGAATCCAGCAGCGCCAAGACTGTATTGTAAAACACATACCACAGACTGTGGGTAATACAACGGACACTCGTGAATCCAGCAGTGCCAGGATTGTTGTGAAAACCACATACCACAGACCTTCGGTGATACAAAGGACACTCGTGAATCCAGCAGTGCCAGGATTGTTGTGAAACAAGCGTAACAAGTGCTCAGAGAGCCACTGTTGTGAAATATATACCAAACGCTCTCGTTGATAAAACCAACTTTCCTTTCACGGTTAGCCAGTGCCATCTCAATGATATACAGTTCGCAGATACTGTTATAAAATACCAAAAGCTCTCGTGTATAAAAGCAAGATTCGTTTTACAAGCAACGAGTACCATTTCGAGAAGAGCTTAGTTTTTAGCCTCCGCCATGACCGACGAAACTGACCTACCCCCTGTGTTCTTTTATGTATATATCAGTCTTGATGTCATCGCCATATTGAACAGCGTCTTAATTCTCGTGGTGTTACTGAAGTCTCGTATGCGGACAGAACCTACTGGAAAGTTGTTAGTCAACCAGGCCATTTGTGACATGGCCATGGGGGTCATGTACGTCATCATGTCCTCTCAAAACATCATCAACGGCGACATGATCTGGTACATCCTGCAGAGCAACATCGTCATCTACAGTCTCTTAAAATGCGAGTCGTTTCAAACCCTTGCCTCCGTTTCCGTAATATTGTATGTCGCCATTTGCAAGCCGACGGTGTATACCAGAGTTGTTACCCTGAGGAATATTGTCCTGTTCATTGTCATCTCGTGGTGCGTTAACGTCGTATTCTCGTCGCTCATTCTGCTGGGATCGACACATGATGGCAAGATTACGTCTCAGTTTAAACACACAGCCAAACACCAACCATGGCTTGCCGTTATCCTCATCCTGCTTCTTGTGATTCTGCCACTGGGGACCGTAATATTTTGCTATTCATCAATCTGCGTGTACATCTGTAAGTTGCGTCGGGCAGTATCTGCAGCGGGATCCTCCAGCCAAAGCACCGTCAAGTATTACCGTTGTGCACAAGGACTGATGATGATTTCCGTGATTTACATGACGTCATATCTTCTTGTGGTCGCCAGCAGCTTTGTTGACGAAGCGCATGACGAAACGCATGACGAGTCGCATGACCACAGCCAAGACGCTATGATCATAACGTTTAGACTAACTGCAAGTATTGTTCATTATACTTACACGTGTCTCAAGTTCCTTCTATTTATCTTGTGTTATACGGACTTCCGGGTTTGTGCCAAAAGCTCTTTTGTTTGATAAAACCTGAGGATAAACCAGCAAGTCGGGGTTAAAGCCTGAACGTGATCGTAATATTTTTTATTCCTTATCCCTCTTTTCAAATAACATCCTCCGCGTTTAACTCTGATTTACATCCGCCGCTTCTATTCGAGCCTTTGAATTGTAAACTTCTCTCAAGCTCCCTCGGGTACAATAAAACATCGTGAGTACGGACATCTTGCCTTACCGAACAATCACAGCTGGGTTAAACTACACATATAGTCAGTATCCATGATTCATTAAACCGGAAAAGCCGACGTATATGAACCGGACGAATTTGATGATGAAGGTACTATACTGATCAACGGAGTTTGAATTCAAATCCTATGTATCCTATTGTAATTATTGTAGTCCGTGTATTAATGATCCTCTACTTGGCTAGATTAAATACACATTTTAGGACTAGCAGCTGAAACACTTAAACGTCATAATCAAAACCTGATATTTAGGATCTGTTCGGAATTCTTTCCGATCAATTTTATTTTTCATTGTCGTCCTAATGTTGTTCTGACAGTCTACGGAAACATGGCAGAGGGTGTTGTTCTTGTGAAGAATCCTCTATGTTTAATTCCCCTTTGAACACATGCGTTTCTGGAATCAATTGACCAGAAAATTGTGGGTTGTGGGTAGTCTGTATATCGTCATTTTGAAATGTCTGAAAGAACTTTAATTATTGAAATGAACGGATAGCTGTTTTGTTGATGTTTTGTTTACAGCATTGTTTGAAGATGTGGCAAAAAGAACTGTGTCTAGAATACTCTCAGAAGACAGCAGTGAAAAGAAATTAAACACATCTCAGAAATTTAATGATTTTATTTTGGAAATCTAGGCTGACTTTAGCTACAAAAATCTATCTTTCAGTTGTATATTCCGAGACGTTTTAACACATTTACTCTGCAAATTCATTTACAAACATACAATAGGATATATGTTGTCTCGTCTCGATGTCTTGTGTATTTATTGTGATGAGGATGTAGTGAAATACAAATACATGTATGCTTGTCAATGAGTCATTAATGTTTTACAAAGTGTGACACATCTTTGAGTGTCGAAGCTGCTGATTGGATGACGAAAAGGAGAACAGAAAAATGGTGCTTTATACGTTCCCATTGGTCATCTTGATCATGTGATGTTTCCAACTCGAAAATCAAATCTGCAAGTCCAGGAAAACTTGATCCCTCATAGATGTTCAACATGCTTGGCGCCAAGAACACGTGTCTGAAATTTGTAAGCATTATGCACTTTTATTTGCTTGGAGGGGCACACTATCCTCAAATGAAGTTACATAACATTATATGTTTAACCCACATGGGTACATTGTGTGAAGCCCATTTCTGGTGTCCCCCGCCGTGATGTTGCTGGAATATTGCTAAAAGCGGCGTAAAACCAAACTCAGTCAGTCAGTTATATGTTTAACATGACTATAGTTTATCAGTCATGGCTCATGGGTATTTTAGGGACCGTACATAATCGATGGTCGATGGCTTGGTGGGGGGTTGGGGTGGGGTGAGATGATTTTAAGGGGGAGTCACCCATTTTGTTCTGGCGAGGTAGGGGTGATCATCAATTTTGTACACATGTAGAGGGGTGTTCAGCAATTTTGTATATAAAAATATTAAAAGATTATGCTTAAAAATTATAAGAGGGGTTGTCATTGATTTTGTACATGACATGCAGAGGGGGGAGTACTTTGCACATCATTTTTTTTTTTGGGGAGGGCACTTCATTGTACATGTTTCTCAATAAAAATCACATTGTACATGCTTCTCTAAAATCACCATCTCTCTCTCACACTCTCACTCTTTAGTATTTTAGGGACCGTACATAATCGATGGCTTGGTGGGAGAGGGGGGGGGTGAGATGATTTTAAGGGGGGGTCTTCTTTAACTTGAACATAGCATATCTAAATCACACAATATGTGGTGAAAACCTGCGAAGTACGTGAGTTCTGTTTGTTTAGTTTGTTGTTTAACGCCTGTGTGGAGGCGGTGGCGGTAAATAATCGAGTCTGGACCAGACAATCCAGTGATCGGCAGCATGAAGCGAAGTGCTTGAGAACATCGAATATATGGATAGTTCTGGACAAGGTAAGTGACACGATATATATTATATCAATGTTTATATTATAAACTGACACGGAACTATAGTTCTGTGACGCACATATCGTGTATTGAAATAGCTCATCAAAACATGATTCCATTGTTTCAACTCAAATACAACACATTTCCCTATAGACCGACTGCGTACATACCGGAAGTAGGATCTTCCCGGAAGTCCCGCGGGGTCAATAAAGGCTCTTTCCAGCTGCATCATCTGGTCATTGACCTTGCGTATAGCCAGGGGGCTGCGGAAATAAAGCACCTTCGATTTGGACAAAATTGGGGTTGTTGCAATAACTGTATTCGGGAAATTGGTGGAATTGGATTTGTTAGTAAAATGATGATCGATCCTGACCGTTGTGTTATAAAAGGCCTGGGGTTTGGCCTAATGCCCTGATCATAATGCATTAATATCTTGGTGATATTAGACAGTGAGCCAAAGTGACATATGTGATTTTTTATTTTGTCCATGTTATAGCCTGAGGTGCTTACATATTACTTAGGTGATAAACGTACTATGTTTGAACATTAGATGAATGATAGACCGACCTCATAGTCTCTAAATTTAATTTGAAACCTGGTTCGGTTTCAGGTGAAATGTAGAGACGATAAGTTCGTTCCGTTTTAAATGAAATTTAGAGACTATCAATTCGTTCTCACATTCATCTAATGTTCAAACACAGTATGTTTATCTCCATTCTACCATAACCGATTTGAACTCGAACTTCTTCGTTCCGCGGATGACACTGTGTAATCCGACATGACACGAGAGGCGAATTGAACTCTGTGAATAATGCCTGAACATTGACAGCAACGTAGTGTTTGAGGCGTTGGTCAGATATATTTTAGTTACGTCAGTTTGATCTGAAAGTAGTCGTATCGCCACCAGCGACATATGTGGTGAATAGCAAGAGCAAAGGCGGCCGCTATCGGCCACGTTGGCGTACCGCCACCTCCTTGTTAACGTTCTGTTACAGAAACTATTCTTACATGGTTGTCGGTATGGTTCAGAGTCTCGTTCACCTTTGATGAAAATACTGAGATGGTTCATGAATATACATTTCTATAGTATGCCAGAGGAATGGGTTCAAGCGTCATGGGAACTTAAAGATATCCCCTTCAAATTTGTATTGGTGTCGTAGTACTATATTCATAGATAAATTCATACAAACCGAAACATGAACCAATTCAGACAATGACCTACTTTTCAGCCGATCCGAATTTTCTCGTGTGAAAGTGAAAAGAGACACTAACAAAGAACTATGGTTACACGAAATTCCAATTCGTTGTTTCATAAGAAAATGGTATTTACAAATCAATTTTAATTTTAAAGTTTACAAAAATCGTATTTCTATATTTTATGTCGAGGTTTAAGCATCATGTCCTTAACTAAGACGTCACAGACTGGTTCACACTTCATCTGGCTCACTGGTTACATCTGTTATGTTTCTTTGCGCTTAGTAAGTGTATTTTTGTAACGTACAATGTGATTGATATAATACCAAGTCCGTACCAGACCGCCAAACTTGGCGTTTCTAATGGCCGAGCCTCGTTTTGAGATTTCCACGATTTCCGTCAGAGCACGCTGCACGACGTGTTTGCAAGGATTAGGAGCGTAGTGTTGCAATATACAAGTGATAAGATGTATCAAATACAGAAGTCGCTAGTGAAACGATACATCACATGTGCTGAGAATGGCCAACCCCAGACGCTAACACGAAGGTTAGCAATCCGGTTTGTCAAGTCTGCCTGGGATGGAGTGAGTGCTAAGTGTATCAACAACTGCTTCAAACACGTCGACATAATTCCCACGACAGCTGAGATTGAGGACGAAAACGATGATGACATCACCCTTGCTGAGCTGCGAAATTTAATGCAGCAATTACCAAGAAGTGATGGGGACGAGGTCCCAACTGCTGAGCAGTACGTGAACGAAGACACTATCGTAGACACCGGCCACGAGCTTACTGATGAGGAAATCCTCAACAGAGTACAGCCACCGACAGACGACCAGTCAGACGACGAGGACCAACCAGCAGTTGTCCCGCCAACAGTATCAGAAGCTCTTCAAAACGCCAACAGGTTGTTACAATTCTACGAATGTAATAGCGACGAAAGATCTGTGAATCTCGTGATGGACTTGGTTAAAAAACTGGATGAAATCAAACCGACGAAACAAACATCAATGACAGACTTTTTAAAGTAATAAGTGTGCTTCATGGGAAATGTCAAGATACTGAGTGAAGTGAAGTAAGATGTAATGTGAGTAAATGTGGTGAAAGACTGTTTATTGGTACATTTACGATCACTTATGTATATGTTATGATTAATTGTTTTTGCTTATGTTGACTATTGATTTATTGATATATATATAATACATGTACATGAATAAATTTTCAATATACATCGTCAATACGTTTTGCTTGTTTGATCCAGTTAACCGGACGATTTCTGAGTGTAACCTAAATGTCCGGATAAACGGGGTTCGACTGTAATACTGAATAATGTGTATGTATCCAGTTGAATGAGTTGGTGTCAGAATTCTGGACTGGTTATTGTACTAAGTTGCGCAATAGGACGGAACCCAGTCAGCTGGAAACGAGACTGTTGTGTAATCAATGTTTTGACTTGTGGTGTCGTACAGTATATTCATTCACGTACAATATATAAATTCACATCTTTCAACACATCATTTGACGAATTAAGATGGGTGCATGCTGTTCTATGTTGCAGTCAGCACACTAACGGCGTCTTAGACGTGGTTGAGTCTGGGACTGGCAAACCAGTGATTGATAACAAGAGTGCACCCAGTCCTGCACTTTGGCACCCAACCAGACATCGTAAGCTCCCAATCCCCATTAGCTGGATATAGCGAGGAGGGTTCTACATATACTAAATGAACTTACTCATTCTTGTTGATTGTTGTCGTTTGTTTCATGAAGTCATCAGCAACAGTTTGAAAGTCTTCAATGTTCTTTTCCAGAGCAGCTGAATAAAAAGCAAGAAACAGTAATGAGATTGTGGTAAACACAGATGAAAGAAAATAAGAAATTTGACTCTACCCTCTGCCCCAAGTGTGGTCCAAGTGTAATAATCTGGCTTAATATAGGATTTGAACCAGAGACCTGCGGATCCTGGCTGGGACAGGAACCAGACATACTCTCGGGCAGAAGAAAGTGTACACTTGAAAACTTTATTTGCCCAAATGATTACAAACTTTATCAAAATGTTTCTAGGTTGGAAACAGTCGCCAAAACACCGCTGTCTCAGTTAAATCCAGCTTTGATACCGGCCAAATATATTTCCTTTGCATAACCATTTCTTGATAGTTTCAGGGCGGTGGGGTAACTTAGCGGTTAAAGCGTTCGCTCGTCACGCCGAAGGCATGGGTTCGATTCCCCACATGAGTTCAATGTGCACATCCCATTCCTGGTGTCCCCCGCTGTGATATTGCGGCGTAAAACTATACACACTCACCCTTGGTAGTTTCAGTTTAAACCACCCTCAAACATAGGTGTATACCTATTTAACGTCTTGTAATATACTACAGATTATATTTATAACTACAGAAGAAAAACGTTGAATTTTTTAACGTTTCTTTTACAACAGCCAAAAGCCTGGACACGTTTTACCCCCATGATGTCATTAACGGCATGATATAGTGTACTACCCACAGTAGTTAGCTATTCTCTGTCTTAGCAGCTCCCCGTGGTTGTTGTGGAGTTCCAGCCTGCTCTGTTCCAGCATGACACCGTAGTCGCTGACGTTGTAGGGAAGGACAAGAGCGTCGGAGAGGCTGCGAGCTAGCTCCACCCACAGTGACGTCACGCAGGCATGAATCTGTGATGCATGTAACACAACCCTAACTATTATTATTTACTATTTGTACGACTAAGTCTAGCGAGTGGGGTTAAAATCAATGTAAATTATAGTAAAACACTACATTGTTAGATTCAGTCTCATGTGATAGTTCCAAGATGGATTCGAAGTCCGCTGGTTCTTTTGACGTGAACAAATTATAGATCTATGGGAGGAACGGATTTGTTGACAGAACATAAACAATTGCTACTATCCTTTGAAAGTCGTCAAACTGACCAGCACAGTGATGGCCTATTTTACCTGACCTGAACATCCGGGTTAGAGTTGGTCTTCAGCAACCCACGCATGTCGTAAGAGGCGATTAACGGAATCGGGTTGCCAGGCTCGCTGACTTGCTTGACACAATCATATCATCGTTTCCCAATTGCGTAGATCGATGCTCATGCTGTTGATCGATCATGACACTGAATTGTCTGGTCCAGACTCGGTTATTTACAGACCGCCGCCATATAGCTGGAATACTGCTGAGTGCGGCCTTAAACAAGAAACCAACAAAACCAAACCAACCTATACTGATGTGCAAAAGAAAGTACACACATGGTGCTTTGAGACTATCAAAACAACGTAAATATTTTGCTAGCAATGTTCCAGTTGGGTACGATATCTATGGTGTTATTGCAACACGTACACAATGTTTGTGACTTCTGAGTCGCAATCAAAACACTTTTCTAAATATTACGCTGTTTTCAGGAAAACATTGCACCAACGCATCAGGTGTGTACTTTCTTTTGAACGTCAGTTTATTTTACCTTAAAGTCAGGATCGTAGAACTTCTCCATGGCGTAGAATGTCTCGTACACAGAATGGTAGAGTGGGTAGGAGGAGAGAAGGGTCTGGAAGTAGATTTCAACGTCAACGGGGACGTCATATGCAACATCATTAACGGTAAACAGATGAATGGTATTTTACGCCGTTGTCATCGGTATTCATTCTCTACAACTCACGTAACTTGCGAACCTGTATTTGATCGCGAGGGGTCATACAATACTTAATTAGTCGACTGTCACAGGCATCTTGGGCCCGTTTCACAAAGCGATCGTAGCGCTACGACTGTCGTAAGTCTATGTTAAAGTATGGGAGTTACGACCACCTTAGCGGTACGATCGCTTTGTAAAAAGGGCCCCTGGTTATTGCCGCTGCATTCAGTCTCTGTAACAGTGGCATCCAAATGGCGGGTTAGCTTGGTGGTTAAAGTGTTCGCTCGTCCCGCCGAAGACCCAGGTTCGATTCCCCACATAGGTTCAATGTGTGAATCCTATTTCTGTAATACTGTCGTAATATTGCTGTCATATTGCTAAGAGCGGCGTAAAACTAAACTCACTCACACACTCACTCTGACTGGTGGAGTCCCGTAATCGCCCAAATGAGGTGACATAGTATCCATGTCGTGACCACTCGATCCCCAGTTAGTCGACTTTACCAAGTACAGGTTTGTTACAGTGACACGTCCTATATGCTATAGCTCACCTTATCATAGGTGTATGACATTCCAGATGAAGGGATCCCTGCCTTCTGAATGAACGGGGCGTAGTCAGTACCTGACCCGAGTTTATTGATCCTGAAATTATCAAATAAGGAGATATGTCTTAAAATATTCGATTTAAAGAAAATTATCAAAATGGTTCTTATCGTCGAGTCGATATCAAACCGATTTTCTTACATAACGACATAATGAACATTCGAAGAATTCACCTTGGTACATCACTTGCCACTCCACTCTGTGTCCAGGGAGTTGTGGTCAGCCAACGATCATAAACTGACCCCTCCGTTCGCGGGTCATCTACCTTCATTAAAACAAATCAGCAAATATCAAACAGAGTGCACTGATTGAATATACAGTCTAAGAGCGTAGGTCAACGCTGATTAACACTTGTCATCGTATCAAGATAGCGTAGATCGATGTTCATGCTGTTGATCACTGGATTGTCTGGTCCCCAATTGATTGTTTACAGACCGCCGCCATATAGCTGGAATATTGCTGAGTGCGGCGGTAAACAACCAACACCAACCATCCATTTGGCTACCTCCATACCACCAGCAAGGACACTCGCAGCTTGGCAATATTCCAGCAACATCACGGCGGGGGACACAGAAATGGACCACATTGTACTGTGGGGATTCGAACCTGGTCCGGCGTGAGAGCCAACGCTTTAACCACTAGGCTACCCCACCGCCCCCCACAAGCAAGGAGCCAACACTTCCAGAACCCCAGAATGAAGGGACAATATTACCTTGAGTGTGTAACTCACCCTTTTCGCTGCTTCATAAACAGCCCGGTACAGCAATGGCGTCGCATCGAAGGAGATTGTGTGATTTCCTGCATAAAATTATAACAATTAAACATCGCCTTTGGGAAGAGTGAGTGAGTTTAGTTGTATGCCGCTTTTGGCAATATTCCATGGGGTTTCACACATTGAACCCATGAAGGGAATCGAACCCGAGTCTTCGGTAAGACGAGCGAGCGCTTTAACTACTAGACTACCCCACCGCCCCTCGTTTGGAATGACGACAGGTTGATACATAATATGTTAGCTCCATCTCGTGCTCTCTAATCACAAGTACAGATAAAACAGATTAAAAGTTGTTTGAGTCCCGTTACCCCGAAGCCATAAGTATCATATTCGAAAATAACGCAGTATCTGATTAAGGAAACCCGTTAATTTGGACAATTGTTGGTAATCTGGATTATCAAAGTTTCCCTGTATCAGCAAGTTTGGACCAGCTTGCAGTGTCCCTACCACTAACGGCTGTATCGACGTTCAGGTAGGCGACTGTCCTCGCCCCCAGTGTCTTCACGTATTCCTGAAACACAAATATGTATCACGATTTAATGTACGGTTTTCCTGACAACGTCTTCAAACAACTCTGATGATATGCATATATGACTATTATTCAATTTTTCGTTAGGTTTGTACTAACATGTGAGTGAGTGCTCGAATACATGTGTGCAATTTACATAGTAAATTTTCATGAGTTTGGCGGCGGCGGACAATAGAAGTGGGCTTTACACATTATAACCATTAGTCGGAACGAACCCTGCTATCGGTATCATGACGAGCTAAAGCTTTAACCCACTACACCGTGTAAACTGTAACATTATAGACAGGATGACAGGATATTTCGATGTTCTGCATGGAATCGGACGGAACCCCAGTCTAAGTTTATACGTTGTAAAATGGTTAGCATTCTGAAATCAATGTATTCTAACGTTCGATCTTGTGTGCGTTGCAAAGACGGGGTTACATATCTTTTCGATTGCCCACTTGGTTTAAGACAAGGTTGATGCTTAAGTCCATTCCTATTTTCCTTCTTCATTAGTGAATTATATCACGATATCAATTTAGGTGGAAAACATGGAATCCAAATGTACCAGATCTTGTAGAAGTCCTAATCCTCCTTTTTGCTGACAACGTTATTTTAGTTTCGGATACTGTGGTCGGTTTACAAAATCAATTAAATATCTTAGAAAGCTATACTAAAGAATGGAAGTTAGCAATTAATTTAAGCAAAACAGAAATCGTGATATTTAGGAGGGCGGTCCTGTGGCCACAAACGAACGCTGTTTTATGATGGTAAGTTGATTAATGTATCCGATCAGTTTTCTTACTTAGGGTTTTGTTTTCAAACAGAATGAATTTGAAGAAATGTTCACAGAACTTAGCTTTACGTGGAAAAAGGTTTTAATACAAGTTTTATCGGTTTTATACAAAGTTGGACCTATGTCACCCAATGTGTTTTTAACATATTTAATACTCAGATTCAACCCATTTTATTACATGGATCTGTAATATGGGGTTTTCTGTGTTTCGATTGTATTGAGAGAGTACATCTTTAGCCTGTAAACGTAAGCCCAAAGACACCTAACTGAATGGTATATGGTGAATGTGGCAGATTTCCTTTGTATATTAATTCTAAAATAAGAAGTTTAGAATATTGGTATAAGATTCTAAATATGCACGAACAACCTCTGCCAAAATTAGCTTTACAATATGCTTTTAAATCTGATAATTTGGGAAAACTTGGGTAACTGATATCAGAAATTTATTAGTTTCTCACGGTTTCGGTTTCATATGGTTGTGCCAGACAATTGGCGATGTGAACAGGTTCATTAAATGAATTTCGTGTTAGATCAATACATATGTTCAATGAAGAATGGAAATCGAACTTAGATTCAAGCTCACGATATGAATATTACAGGATCTTTAAAACGTTACTCCAGCCAGAAATATACTTATCAATAATTACAACATATAGTTTAAGAACAATGTTTGTAAAGTATCGTTTAGGTTTCTTATCTTTAATGATTAATGACGGTTGAAAACCTCTGTCCGGAAACAAAGTCGATATTGTCCTTTATGTAACGTAGGGATAGAAAAAAATGAAATCTCATATTACGCTGATATATCCTTGTTATCACGAATTACGACAGAAATATATACCACACCATTTTCTTGCAAAGCAAACCCTATATGCGTATATATCTTTGTTACAAACTAATAATGAAAATATTCTTGTTCAATTGTCTTTGAATATAAAAAAATTGCATTAGCGAAAAGGGATCTTCTTATAAAAGCGTATACTTGTGTATAAAAATATATATGTAAATATCCAAAATATTCCTTTTATCACTGTAAAGCGGCCTTCACACGGTAAACTAAAGTTTGATAACAACACATGTTGTCAAACTCGAGTTTTAGAGTGTGAACATTCCAACAACTCGCCACCAACACCAATTTCAGAGTTGTCAAACTATTGTCGAGAAATAGGATCGGTCTCTATTCTGACCAACTTTTCCATCAAACTTTCTGGTTTTATTCAAATTGAGTTTGACGTGTGAAGTGTTGTCAAACTCGTGTTGTTCTGAAACAACCAATCGCAGTCAATGAAATTGTCACGTGACCGCACTGATAGAGACATGGCGCTCAAACGACGGGAAGGTTTGACAACATGTGTTCGACGTGAAAACACGAGTTTGAAAACTTTTAAAATTTCAACATGTGTTGTCAAACTTTAATTTGCCGTGTGAAGGCTGCTCATATATATGGGCCGGAGGCCTTTCATACAATAAACGTCTTTTGACTTTGACTGCTGTACATGAACAATGTCGGGAGCTTTCTCGGATATTCCAAATATTGAATGACTTGCATCAAACTATGATATCCAGAGGAAGTCCTTGTATGATACTCAAAAGAAGTTAAGATTCTGAAATATTCGATTAGTGACAGATTAACGATAGAAATAAGACAGAATCGGTGATTCTATCCCGGGTAGTATTTGATAAAAGAGGGTACACATAAACTGATCTTATGAGGCGATATTGTTGCCAATTCAATACAACCACGCTTGATTAATATATAAATTGAGGGGTAGATATTTTCACTAATACATTACCTCCACCCATTCGTTGGAGCCCAGCAGTCCGTACTCCTCTGCCCCCCAGCTGCAGAACACAATGGACCGGCGGGGACGCCATTCACCTGAAGAACATGCATTAAAGGTATACCATAACTGTGAGTGAGTGAGTCGCATTTAACTCCACATTTGGTATTATTTCCTTCCTGCACTACCCGTGTTGCAACAAGTGCACATCGAACCCAGTCGGATACAGCTTAGATGCAATAACTATGGTAGCATAAACTATTATGTTCTCTATTTCGATGAGAAGAAGATGAAAGTGCGGGTATACTGACCACTGCTGACCGTCTCCGCTACGACCCTGGCCGCTTCCATCATGACCGCAGAACCACTGGACGGGTCCATTGCTCCAAACACCCACGCGTCTCTATGGTTGCCAAGAATGACATAACGATCTGAAATTATTTTTTACAAAGTGCTTAATATAATATGACTCAATAAAGCTAGCTTATATGTGAGTGTTTTACCTTGGGTACAAAACAAATTATTTTAACTGCGCTCATTGAGTTAGACTGAATTATACCGAGCCTTGTCTCGTCACGACAGATCCATCATGTATACTGTACTTGATCAAGTTGTTAACCTCCACTAAGTCATATTGCTCCACACATTGCGTCACATTGTTAACCTCCATCAATTCACGACATAGACGTCACGTTGATAGCTTCCGCCAAGTCACGTCAGAGTGCGTCACATTGTTAACCTCCATCAATTCACGACATAGACGTCACGTTGATAGCTTACGCCAAGTCACGTCAGAGTGCGTCACATTGTTAACCTCCATCAATTCACGATATAGACGTCACGTCAGAGTGCGCCACATTGTTAACCTCCATCAATTCACGATATAGACGTCACATTGATAGCTTCCGCCAAGTCACGTCAGAGTGCGTCACATTGTTAACCTCCATCAATTCACGACATAGTACGTCACATTGATAGCTTCCGCCAAGTCACGTCAGAGTACGTCACATTGTTAACCTCCACCAAGTTACGTCAGAGTAAGTCACATTGTTAACCTCCACCAAGTTACGTCAGAGTACGTCACATTGTTAGCCTTTACCAGGTCACGTCACGTTGTTTACCTTCACCAAGTTACGTCAGAGTAGGTCAAGTCAAGACGCGTCCGGGAAGGGACGTCATCTGGACGAACCTTCGGCTAGTGGGTATCACCCCATGCTATACCGAACAATATCACACACCACGTCACACAAGCTGTACCTACCAGGCTCAGTGCTCCCCTTGATCACACCACGTCACACAAGCTGTACCTACCAGGCTCAATGCTCCCCTTGATCACACCACGTCACACAAGCTGTACCTACCAGGCTCAATGCTCCCCTTGATCACACCACGTCACACAAGCTGTACCTACCAGGCTCAGTGCTCCCCTTGATCACACCACGTCACACAAGCTGCCCTACCAGGCTTCCCCTTGATCACACCACGTCACACAAGCTGTACCTACCAGGCTCAATGCTCCCTTGATCACACCACGTCACACAAGCTGTACCTACCAGGCTCACATGCTGTACCCTCAGTGATCACACCACGTCACACAAGCTGTACCTACCAGGCTCAATGCTCCCCTTGATCACACCACGTCACGTCACACAGCTGTACCTACCAGGCTCAATGCTCCCCTTGATCACACCACGTCACACAAGCTGTACCTACCAGGCTCAATGCTCCCCTTGATCACACCACGTCACACAAGCTGTACCTACCAGGCTCAATGCTCCCCTTGATCACACCACGTCACACAAGCTGTACCTACCAGGCTCAATGCTCCCCTTGATCACACCACGTCACACAAGCTGTACCTACCAGGCTCAATGCTCCCCCCTTGATCACACCACGTCACACAAGCTGTACCTACCAGGCTCAATGCTCCCCTTGATCACACCACGTCATACAAGCTGTACCTACCAGGCTCAATGCTCCCCTTGATCACACCACGTCACACAAGCTGTACCTACCAGGCTCAATGCTCCCCTTGATCACACACCACGTCATACAAGCTGTACCTACCAGGCTCAATGCTCCCCTTGATCACACCACGTCACACAAGCTGTACCTACCAGGCTCAATGCTCCCCTTGATCACACCGATCGTGTTGTGGATCGTCCGTCTCTGGTTGCTGGTAGAGATCGCCATCTCTGCCTCCCTACAGAAGATTCAGCAAACATTATCCCGTGCAACGTGCACACTCAAGCGTTAGAAATAGTTCTCCAGTGATTACACTCGGCACGCACGCTTCGCTTTTACAATCCAAGGCAGTAGCGTAACATTTACTTAACTGACTGACTGAGTTTAGTTTTACGCCGCTTTTAGCAATATTCCAGCAATATCACGGCGGGGGACCATTTACTTAACATTATGTGCCATGTTAAGTTTAAAGTAAGGTTTAACCCAGAAAGAAATCTAGTGCGCGGTTCAACAAAGAGCGTTCTTGGCCAAAGATGATCGTAACCTCCATATTTTAACAGACCCACATGTCATATCCATTCTGAAACAAATATACCCAATACAGCCCATGCAAGTCTAGATTTCCACAGGGTTTTTTTATTCATCCATCCCTGTTACAAAGCATTGACCTTCATGCCAGGGAAATGAAGGTCATTGACATAGAGGAAATCTTTTTTAAGCATAATATTTGATGTAATCAGTACTTTACAGTTTACTTAGGTGGGTTTTAGTACAAATCACTCTCTCACACTCACTCACACACACACACACACACACAAACACAAGCCCCTTTAATATCTGACATAAACTTCAGATTATATTTTTTGGTCTTAGACATGAAAAATAAACATTTTACTATTACTGCTCTTCTGAAGAAAAGAAAATATGATACAACATCCAAGACTGATGAAATTTATCAGCAGTACAATTGCTTAAGGATATGTCTTTTTCTATTTTATATCTGACAAAAAGTTCCTTTAAAAATCTTTTAAACTGTGGTTTGCATTTCTGATGTTTACATTTGTATATGAATTTTTTGCAAACAACAGAATAAAGTCAAAAATTCTGTCTGTAACAATGTTTTCTTTTACACCAAACAATATCAATTCCATACTAAGGTTCATGTTACATATATGTGAACATTTCATTATCCACGAGCAGAGACCATTCCAAAATAACTGGGTAAACTTACAATCCCACAACAAGTGGGTAATTGTTTCACTATCAGTTTGGCAAAATGTACATAAATCATTCTCTGTGTACTTCAGTTTAAATAAGTAAGTATTGGTTGTAAGAATTCTATGTATGATTCTATATTGAAACCAACGAAGTTTAACTTCTTGTGTTGTTCGAATCATTTCCAATTACGATTATCAAACTGTGCTTCCCTGACCTTTTGTCTTTAAATCAGAGAATATCAGTACAGAATATATCTATAATCTAGAACAGCGTCAGATTGACCTTTAAGAAACTTCAAATATTGTTCGATACTGTTAACAATACCATAAAAATAAATAAACAATTGTGGAAGTATGGTACCTTTCATTAAATTCTTCAAATGATAAAAATTCTATATTCTCATCAACCAAATCTATTATTTGAGTGACACCTTTCTCATACCACTGTTTCATAAAAACAGGTTTATCATTAACTTTAAAATGTGTGTTATAGAATATTGGCTCTGTTAAAAAATCACTAATCCTTTTTGTCATATTTCATGAGTATAATTTAGGAACCTTTTTTCTGTTAAATATGTTCATTTCAGAGACAAGATGTTAGTCTGCAGGCGAACAAACGAAATCACAGCGTTGAGATTACTTTGCGAATCAAGGTTGGTTTATCCACTCACTTTAAAGTTGAGTTCCTGAAGCCCGGACCAAATCTGTACTGTATGTTCATACGACCCTGCCATTCAGTCGGTACTAGGCTTCCATCCATAAATCTGAAGACAGTGTCAAGGAGTATTAATGCACTGAAGAATAGAACTCCGAAATAATTCCGCTAGTGTGTTATATCAATGTCTATATGTTTGAGAAACTGAAACCTTTATTACTTCATGAGTTGTTCTGCTTCTCCGTAGCTGATGGGATGGACTGGGATCCTGGGCAGATGAGTTATGTCCGACTGTGGAACTCGGTAGGCTGTGTCTGGAAGGGAGAGAGTCACTAGGATTAAACAGCGGGTCAGCTTAATGATATACGAAATCCTTCATAACGTTACGTTCCATAGCTCAGGGGCACGGGTATGGTGCTGAAGAATCATTTTTAGGAGAAAAATGGGATTCGAACCCATGAGCCCGGCACCTTTCACGGCCGCAACTTTGAACAATAATTCCGGACTTTAGACAGGTCCGCCCGGGGATAAGGCAAGCATTTATAAGTACATAAGTAATGATTGTGTGGTTGTATAAATCCGGAACATTCATGACCCATATAGCTTACTTATTGATGGGTACCCGGGAGTTTCTGGATCTCCATCAGTTACGTAGAGGGAACCCCTCTGAGCCCCCGTAGGAGGCAGCCACCAACTGTTGGGATACACGTCACTAGAGTTACTCCCCTTAGCACAGTCTTCAGGGTCGGAGTATATGATGAGACCAATGGCGCCGTACTTTTCAGCTGCTTTAGCCTTTGGGGGAAATACAATAATTCATCAGAAAGCGATATGACAGATTGCCGATCTTTCAGTTCCATAAAAATCCATTGAGATTCTCTTTTACATATTTTCATAGAGATTTTCATAGTTCAAGTTTGTGTGAAAATACGAAAGAAAGCAAGTGATATCCGAAATGTTATTCGTGGTTGATTATCGCTGTGTGACCCACACACTCAGGCGGAGTGATGACTTAGCATAACATCACTGCCACATGCTAATTTGCATATCACGTGACCGGACTTTTCTCTTGTTTGTAAACAAGCGCGCATATTCAGAGACTGGTCTTAGGCAAACTTTTCGGCGCGTTCTTCACAATGTTTTACATTGTTACATATATATCCTTCCACAACTCCGACAGTAAGGTCTATGACAGTACATATTTAGATATCAAACTGGTTGCATCGTTTGCTCTCTGTTGGCTTCGATGACAGCACTTAAAGCCGTACAACCTATGTAAAGAAAGGATAGCTACGCATATCGAAATAGTGTTACATGTTTGAGGATATTTTCTCAGTGAAACTAAACCATTCTATCAAAGATGTTTAATTACATGTGTAGACTCGTCAAAATTAAAAGAGTTAAGAAATATGTAGTTTATATTGAATGGACGGTGCAAGATGTGACGAATCGTCACATCTTTCTGGCCTGTGGCAGAGGTACTATGCTGGCTGGCCCCATGGAACTCTGGGTAGGAGAGTGTGTGACCCATTGTATCCACTTTGAATCCAAATAGACATGTGTACGTGCGTGCGTGCGAGTGCGCAGAATTATAACAGAGCTATAACAATTACCTAAACCCATGCAAATGCATCAACCACGGGGCTACCTCACTGAAGTTGTGAATTGAAATGAGGTTTAACGTCGGGTTCAACCCTTTTACAGTTATTCAGCGAAGTGCACGTGTGTGTACGTGGTGTGTGACTGCATGAACTAGTCCGGACTAAGCCGGTTTGATATTGCTAGACCAGTGAGATACCGTGACGCAGGTTAACATGGAAGGGACGATCTGGATGACACGTACCTTATCGCCTCTGAAGATTTTGCCGTACCTAGCGATGGCGATCTTCCCCGTGACGTTGACTAAAGCAGTGTCGGTGACGTATTTAAAGTCTTCGTCACGGCCATAGTTGACGTACACTAGTTGTCCCTGAAGGGTGAGGTGGCAGTGACATTAGACATCATTAATCGACAATACTTGGAGCGTCATACATTTAGTCATAGAAGTATAACGGTTAAACACAAGTGTGTTGGTTTACGGGTTTTAGAATTATTCCAGCCCCGGTGAGAACTCAATAATACTCTTGACAGGTTGTGCTAATGTATAGAATCGAACCCGGTTGTTGGGAGTGACAAGCCAACCCTGTACCAACAAGAATAACTGACGGAGTTTAGTTTTACGCCGCTTTTAGCAATATTCCAGCAATATCACGGCAGGGGACACCAGAAATGGGCTTAACACATTGTGCCCATGTGGGGAATCGAACCCGGGCCTTCGGCGTGACGAGCCAACGCTTTAACCACTAGGCTACCCCACCGCCCCACCAACAAGAATAAACGGCGTACCAGAAAAGAAGCACATGAGTAAAATGCACTTTGTTGTTTGGGCATGCCCTTTGAAAGGTAAATAAACCACGGCATTGAAGCCTCCCATTATCATATCGATATACATGTATTGAAATGCCCTCCAAACTAGTGCACGTCAAATACTATATCCCCAACTTAAAGGGGCGTTTTTGTTGCCTAAGTGCAAAGATGTGTTCTCCTGTGTGTATAGTGTGTTGTCCCTTCCTGGTACCCACCGCTGTGATATTCAAGAAAATTGCTGAAAACGGCGTATAGACCCAACTCACTCACTCACTCTACCTTAACGATTCCTGGTGCCGAGTAAGCATTAAACGGTGGCACGACGTCGGGAACGTCCTCCCTCGGCGTCAAGATGGCTTCCTTCTCGGGTGACTCGTACAGCAACTCATCGTTCTGGCCTCGTAGGCGGACCACGTTAGGTCTCGCGGGATCTGGGTAGGACAGCAGTACGTCATAAGGCGTGATGGTGACGTCATCAAAGCCTTGTTGTGTCCACAGGTCAGCTAATTCCTTGGCCTGTCTGTAGTCGGCCGGCGTCCCCGCTAGGTGGGGTTTGGAGGTCAGTTGCCTTTGAGCAATATTAATGAATGTGTTCTATTATGTACGTATATATTTTAATAAAGCATTTATGTTTCCTTCGACCATATCTAAGATGATGCCTAATGTACCATACTAGAACAATAAGAATTTAAACAATTCACATTTCGATGAAAGAGGACGCGTGATTACACACGCGTGGTATAATAACTGATATGCGTAGGGCCGTTTCCTAAGACCATAATGCATACGCTAGAGCATAAAGTACCAAGTAAAAGAAAGTGTTAACTTGAAATTGGACCAAATATTTTAAAAAGTTATCAAAACCTTATAAGGCTGAAAACAGTCCCCAAAATACTTAAGATGCAAAACAAAACTGTGATACCAGTATCTAATACATTACCATTGAATAACCATGAATTTAATATATATCTTGTCTTTTTCGTTTTTAGACACCATCAAACATAGGTGTATACTTTCATGAGTCAGGCAGTAAACAGGCAACCTCTTCAGGGGACTATATGTTAAGTTATCGGTGGCCATGTATCTGGGGTAACATATTTATTGTTCGTACTCGTGTTGTAACATAAACCTAGAGTATTCCTGTGGAGTGGTGTTTGGTGCGTGGTTCTCATGGAGGTCAGTGCGGGGTACATAATGTTGTAAGCCATAGTCCTCAATATACGCCCATAAAGATCCAGTTCAGACATGGTCTTGAGAAATCCATGCTTATCTTAGAGGCGACTAACGGGATCGGATGATCAAGGCTCGTTAACTTGGTTGATACATATCATCGAATTCTCTATTGCAGAGATCGATGCTCCTGATTGTAATCACTGGATTGCTTGCATCAGGTTCGATTATTTACAGTTGCCGTCATGTCTCTGGAATATGTACCAACATCCCTACACAAGACGCCTGTCAGACATTGTAACCACCCAATCATCGGTTAGTGATGGATTTCAGAAGACCAATTCTACTTCAGAATCCCCACTGTCGCAGACACAGTTACCATACCTGAGGTTTTCCCGGATATTTTCCGCCTTGATCCTGGACGCCAGCTTCTGGTGAACGGTCTCGTCTGCTTCTTGAATAATCGCCTGAGGCATTCCGCTCAAATTCGCGCCATTTCCCTGAGAGGAGATGGCGAACATACCAATGAGCAGACCGACGATGAAGGTGGCCACAAGGCTCACTCCAGCCACGATCAGCTTCCTCCGAGATCCAGAGACGTTGGCCAACGCCATGTTGCAACGGCAAGGTGCGTCTTCTTGTCTAACCGCCAAGCCAGGAGAAGCGTGCGTGTTTGTGCTGAAATTTCGCGATTACCGGTCTCGCCATCAACGTGGTTTTGAATACATCAACTTTGAAAACTAGTTCAAGACATCCACATTTTGAATACGATGAATGGAAAGGAATGCGTGTTTTGCTGGGAGTCCTCGTTCAAAGACACATAATCAAGATTTTCAACCGTGTTTAGGAATTTGATCATAAGTTCATCAATGTATAATATAGCTTTGACCTATAAAAATCGTTTAAGGTCGCTTGGTCAAGGCTAATTATAGTACCACGAATTTGTTGTCGCTGTATTAGCTTGCTACCACACACAGAAGCATCTGTAAGTTGCTGGGGTTTAGCCGGTGTATTTCATCAGAGATAATAAAACATCAGCAAAATTACAACCTTGGACAATTAAGATCTTTTGAGAATCATGAATTAATTATCACATAAACGTTATGACAACGTATCTTACAATAAACAGTTGCAAAGATTACAAAAAAAAGTACAAGGAAACGAAGACACTTAACATTATATTCAAAAGATAATACACGTGATGTAGCGCAACTGAGAAAACTGTATGAAAATAAATTAAATAACTCATGCAAACACGCAATACAATACACAACACGTGCACAAGAATTTCTATACTTCAACGAGCCCGAATATATGTAATTTTGATTTACTAAACATATAAATGTCTAAACGTCATTATATTATATACTATAGCTATTCTCTATGTACACCAGGGGCGGTGGGGTAGCCTAGTGGTTAAAGCGTTGGCTCGTCACGCCGAAGACCCGGGTTCGAATCCCCACATGGGTACAATGTGTGAAGCCCATTTCTGGTGTCCCTCGCCGTGATGTTGCTGGAATATTGCTGAAAGCGGCGTAAAACTAAACTCAGTCAGTCAGTCTATGTACACCACATTGTTAGTATAGTGCTACATGACTGACCTAACTATAATCAATAACTTCACTGGTGCACTTAATACTGTGTAATTTAACTTGTTGAAATTAAAATCAACTGACAACATAGAATGCAATAGAAAGTTGGAACATAATTTAAGAACATACAATGAATGAAGTGAACATAACCTACCTTAAAATAACCAATAGAAGTATCTATTAATGGCCCGTCTTTATTCGGTGTATCTCATCAGTGGAATACCCCGAATAAAGGCCGTTATTTATACCACCGATGGTCTCGGATGTCGTGATATGGTCGCACGAACAATTGTCACTTTAAACAATACTTACAATGCTGCCAATCTACACTGATGACTATTTAAATCTTGAGATTACCTCGCAGCTTTGCAAGACTTAATGATAAATGCAGAAATGACTAAAATTATCTGATAGTTTTCTCAGAGAGCGTGTTTCTCGACAGACATGTAGTTTTAACGACTTGAACATATAAAGCTTATCAAGTAAACTTTGCAATCAAAACGAGCGTATATCGATCCCGACTGATTATAGACTTGGACCGGAGCATAAATGTAGTCTTAACGCTTAACACACACCGTATATTAGTTTACAACTTCGTAATGAAGGTCAGCACACATCAACGTTAACTTAGACAGACTTTTGGTATTCACAGTTTTTAGTAATACTCACAATATGTGTTGTTTAGTTCTATTTTATAAAGTCACAATTATGTATATAAGAAACAGGAAATGTGACCTATTTTGGAACTACGATAGAAGAAAAAAATGTTTCGGGGTGATAACATTTGTATCCTGCGGTATCTTCTCATACCTTACGTTATGTTATCATCACTCACTCACTCACTTATCACAATGTCATGTTGTTAAATCGTTTTAATATTGTGTCGAGCTTGATTGTTATATTATCATCATTATCAAATATATAAGTATCAGTTCTCGCACACTGTGTTTGAGAGAAATATATAAAAGCAGTTTGTAGATAATATCACATGAGCCACTACCAGCTATCTAAAATATGTACTTGAAATTCGAGTGTACACTCAAATATAATGAAATAGTAGAACGTCGAACGTTTACACATTAGTGAAAGGAAAATGACATAAACTGACGGGAAAAGAAGGGAACACATTGTAATGTGAGTGTATACTATTTATTGTTTGGTGCAAAACAAAATCCTCCGTACAATCTTGTTACACAATAAGTAAGGGAGTGAAATTCGAGATCTGTTCAATACTGCCCAAAACCTATTCTCCTAATACTATTTTCGGGTGTCATCGTTGTCTACCACTCCTTGTGCAGGATCTGCTGATTTGCACTGATTATGACCCTCGATGTCACAAAAGTGGTGAGTGAGTGAGTTTAGTTTTACGCCGTTTTAAGCAATATTCCAGCAATATTACGGCCGGAAACACCAGAAATATGTTTCACTGATTGTACCCATGTGGGGAATCGAACCCGGGTCTTCAGCGTGACGAGCGAACGCTTTAACCACAAGGCTTCCCCTCCGCCTCACTAAAGTGGTGAACGTCCAAGAAAAGTCTCATTTTGGGTTTTCAACACTGTGCGGCTAGGTCGTGGGGTAATTTTTAGATTGCTCAAAGCGGCGTTAAAGCCACACTCACTCACTCACTCACTCACTTACTCGTTGTACATCAGTAGCGCATGTTATTATTTCGTGACATGGGACACTTCAATCGTATTTTTATGTTTTTAATAATTTTCCACACCATGTAGTACCTAAACGAATGTAGTACCTAAACGAATGTTACCATTCGTAACAGATTCGCTACTCAAAGTGTGGAGATTATTTAAATACAAAATGGCTGAAATCTTTCAGTGACGAAGTAGCTGAATGGATGATGAAAAGGAGAATGGAGAAATTCTTTTTTTTATGGGTTTCCATTGGCTGTCGTGATCACGTGAGGCATCTAGTTGGCCCAGAAGGTCGACCAATCCAGGAAAGCTGGAAGCTGCATAGGCGTTGTACATGTTCGGGGCCAAGACCACGTGTCTGGATTAACCAAAAAAACATGTTCAATATTTGAGTACGATGTCTAAGTCATATTCTGATTTAGTTATATGGGCATGTTAGTTTAAGGTTAACGTAGCCCGTGACTTACGGTCAGGTCAGTCTTGAACTATTAAAATCTTGGGGTGGGGTGGGGGTGTCTTAGAAGAGCATCAAACATCCCAGAAGTGACAAATCGCTCTTGAATCAGTTCAAACGACACCTACGGAAAGGTCAATGTGTTTTAGTTCTGGTGCGGCCACATGACACAGTTTACGCTGTAGCCATGTTTTTACATAATATTGCTACCATTATGATTTTCGTTGTCGATGTAGTCTTTTAACTCGTGAAGATCAGGGTTAGAACTGGTCTTCAGCAGCCCATGCTTGTCGTAAGAGGCGACTAACGGGATCGGGTGGTCAGGCTCGCTGACTTGGTTGACACCAGTTACCGTATCATCAGTGTATGAAATAAGTCCCGTCCGACTGCCCGAGACGGGCTAGATTTCTGCCGGACGGTCTAATTTTACAGCTAGTCAGCCCGATGGACGGGTGAAAAAAAAATATTCAGATAACGTGTCCACTGGCACTGTCCGTTTAGTATTTAAGAAGGACTGGTTAAATCTCGTCTTGGCTGGTAAGTTTTTGAAGTTACCAGCCCAGATGTCTGGCTGGGTTTTTGGCTTATTTCATACACTGCGCCGTATCCCAATTGCGTAGATCAATGCTCATGATGTTGATCACTGGATTGTCTTGTTCAGACTCGATTATGTACAGACCACTACCATAAAGCTGAAATATTGCTGAGTGTGGTGTTAAACAAAGAAATATGCGTTAGTTTGAGTGAACGAACAACTAGACTACGTCTTCGAAAACAACGTACTTGTGATAGGCTCTTCCGGGAAGACCGGCAGGGTCAATGAAGGTTCGCTCCAGCTGCATCATCTGGTCGTTGACCGCACGAACCGCCAAGGGGCTGAAATACACAACCAGTTTTACAAAATGAAATTCGTGCAGACGTAAATGTTCATGACATAATAAATTGGGTGCAGCACGAGAACGGGTGATGTGACCTTCATTCAGCTTGCTAAAGGTAGGCTTACGATCTATGCCTCACATCAAAAGAGTCAACGTAAAATTCGTAATTATAAAAAAACATACATTGTATTTGAAATCTTGCATACTTATTTCTGTTGACTGCTCCTAGGCTGTTCATAAATTCAGCTGCTACTCTCTTGAAGTCCTTGATGTAGCTGTCAAGGGCAGCTATTGAACATAAAGAGAAAACAGGCTTTAAGACTTATCTAACCAATCACTTACGAATGACACTGTGCAGGTGCAGAATCGAATCTCTCGGAGTACTGAGCTAACGCTTTAACCACTACACGACCGACTCGGTGTGAGAACAATACTTATCGGCTTTACTCAATGGAAGGACTGGGATGATTAAAACATTAACAACGACTTACGACATTCGCATTATATTAAACGTACAACCTTTCTACTGGTAAAATAAAATAAAATTATCCCCTTATAATCTTTCATAAGTAAACATTGCTATTGTTGTCGTAGCCTTTTCTGTTTACAACTGACCGGATTGAACGTTTGAGAGGAAATTGAAAGCTCTGTGGTTCCACTTCCGGTCGCGTCATAAAAAATGTAGGTACTTATTGTTTCCTTGGCTGGCGCTCAACATTAAGGGTATAGAACAAGGACTGATAGGCTTGGTTAAGTGACTGAGGTTTTACGCCGCTTTCAGCAATATTCCAGCAATATCACAGCGGTGGACACCAGAAATTGGCTCCACAAATAATACCAATGTGGGGAATCGAACCAAGGTTTTCGGCGTGACGAGCGAACGCTTTAACCACTAGGCTACCCCACCGCCCCGATTGGCTGGACACAGTCACACACCTACTTATGTACACGTCACGGTAATTATGAGCGTGATGTTGAATCCCAATCGACCTTCACCCTTTTGCATTTGCTTACAACTCACAGTAGTTAGCCACGTTGAGCTTCAATATGGGTCCGTACTCATTATCTAAGTCGTGTCTGCTCTGTTCCAGCAAGACAGCGTAGTCGCTGACGTTGTAGGGAAGGACGAGGGAGTCGGAGAGGCTGCGAGCGAGCTCCACCCAGAATGACGTCACACTGGCGTGGATCTAAAGAACCAATGATAACGAGTCTAAACACATACTATTGTGTTCCTAAGACTCCGAATTAAGCACTTTTCACACTTATCATTAGTAAGTTTTTTGTGTTGATTGTTTCGCCAATTTAAGCTATACCTATAATATCGCAAAGGTTGATAAAAAATGGACAATGCATAATTCACAAGACGAAACACACAGCTGTTTCCATTAATATACTCTCCCAAAAAAGAAACGCATATAGGAATTTCAACTGTATTTTTATGTTTATTTTGAAACCTCTTGTAGGCGTTATGAGTCAATGAAATATAGCGAAATTGCACACTGGGAATGCAGACTTATCCGTCTTTGGCACCAGCTCGAGGAAAGTCAGTTTGAGTGTCACATGGAGACGTGTGGTGACGCTGAAGTCAATACCTCGTGTGACCACCGTGGGCATCCCAGAACTGCACGGCATCGCCTCGGCATCGAACGAATAAGTCTCAGAATCTCGTGTTGCCCAATCGCAGCCCACTCTGCCTGTAGTGCCTGTGCGAGTTGCTGAAGTGTCTGGGGCTGAGGGTTACGGCGTCGCACCCGTCTGTCCAGGGCATCCCACAGATGTTCGATCGGGTTTAAGTCTGTTGATCTTGAGGGCCAGGGGAGCACATTGATGTTGTGGTTCTGGAGGAAGTCTCTAGTGTGACGTGCTGTGTGGGGCCTGGCATTGTCCTGTTGAAACAACTCCCTCTGGCGATCAATGATTGGAAGGAGGTGTGGGCGTAGGATTTCGTCACAGTACCGTTGAGCTGTCAGGTTGCCCTGGATCATCACCAAATCACTTCTCCTACGGCAGGTGATCTCTCCCCCACATCATAACACTGCCCCGGCCGAATCTGTCCACCTGGGGAACGCAAGCGTCGGCGAAACGTTCACGTCGACGTCTGTACACCCGCATTCTTCCATCGCGTCGTTCCAATAGAAATCGTGATTCATCACTGAACCAGATTCTACGCCAATTCGGTAGGTTCCAGGCCTGAACGTTGGTGCACCATTGAACTCGATGTCGACGATGTTGTTGTCGAAGCACAGGGCCAAAATAAGGTCTTCTGGCACGTAAACCAGCCTCTCTCAACCTGTTCCTGACGGTCTGTGCAGAAAGCCTCCTCAATTCGGGTATTTGTCGAGCGGTACTGGTCGCAGTAGCAGTTCGATGACGCAGGTGATGTACCCAGATGTAGCGATCCTGCGCCGCAGTGGTCGCTCGAGGTCGCCCACTATGAGGAGCATCTGCTACCGAATTCTGCCGGCGATATCTCTCCCAGAGCCGTGAAATGGTGCTTTGGTGAACATTCATGCGTCGGGCAACTGCACGTTGAGACTGGCCAGCTTCAAGCAAACCAATGGCGATATGACGGTTGGCTTCACTTAGACGTGGCATTTTGCGTTCGTCAACAATATTCCAAATACAGTGAATAATCGACAGACAGCGATCAACCTTTTATACCCATCATTGACACTATCTGATCCCCAACTTTCACGTGCATTGCATGTGAATTGTGTATTCTGTGACACTACACGCCGAAATTGAAAATCATGCTATTAAATACGGGTATTTTACGGATGGTGCGTTTTGTTGTGATGTTTCAAAACATAAACACCATAGGACTCATAAACAGAGCAAAACCGTTTGTAAAATGAATCACGTTTTAATTCATTGCTACATGAAATTGCTATTTTCATGATGCGTTTCTTTTTTGGGAGAGTATATGACTTCTTGATATCCGATAATACATACTGGAAGTTTAGCATGTATTATTTCGCTGTCCAAACCTTAAAGTCCGGATCGTAGAACTTTTCCATGGCGTAGAATGTCTCGTACACAGAATGGTACAACGGGTACTGAGACTCGCTCTGAAACAAACAAAATGGTGTCCAATATCAGTCACCATACTCAATATTCAATTATTAGAATTTTTTTCGTGCATTTCTGACGTATGCGTGAATGCAGTTATAAAACGATAGTAATATTCCGGTTTTGCCACGATCGTCTGTGGTAATTAACCTAGTGGTTGATCGTATGAGCACGAACGGAGCACGACGACACACACACATCCTCATCAGCTGACCCTCGTGTCTTTGCGAGGATTCAAATTTTGTTTAAACATATATATAAATTTGAGATGACCCCTACTCGAAATGTTTCATTGTCAGGATGTATTGTACAGTGTGAACCATTTTGAGTCGGGGGTCATCTCAAGAACAATATTTTTTTAATCTTTAGTCCTCGCAAAGACACGAGGGCCTGTGCGAGGTCTGGATGGTGGTCGTTTGTTTGTTTATTGTTTAACGCCGCAATCAGCAATATTCCAGCTATGTGAGGGCTGTCTGTAAATGGTGTCTGGACCAGACAACCCAGTGATCAATCGATCTACGTAATTGGGATACGATGACATGCGTCAACCACGTCATACAGCCTGACCACTCGACCCCGTTAGTTGCTGCTGAGTAGTAGGGGAAACGGGATTCTAGACCACTGGCCCCCATGGTGTCCTATCGGTTCAATTAAGTTTACGACAAGTGTGGGTCGGTCTAGACAGTGACCTTGAAGGAGCGTTACCTTGTATCCAATGTTGGCTACCGGGATACCAGCTTTCAGCAGAAAGGGGTCATGGTCGCTCCCTGAGCCTGGGGGGTCAATCCTGAGTTAGGAAGCAAATATATCTTCATTGAAATGTGGCGATATTGTTTCTTTATTGCGGTATGTTAGTTACACGCCATGAACGTGAAATACACACAAATATATCTCAGTCAGTTACTTCCTTCCGGTCAAGAAAGTCAGGATACATGATAACGGGTTTGGGTAACTATAGTAACATCGCGTTAGTCGTATTTGGCACACGTCAAATGTTACAAACTAATAATGTACAACTATTGATTAGTATTGCTAAATGTGTTTATCATATCTTTAAAATGGAAAGTACAATGAATATACTGTAATTATTTACTCTTGGGTTACCATCCCTCATTTCTCTGTTAAATTATTGTATGTCAAACTTTATATGTACATCCACAAATACCCACGACTGTGCAATCATACAATTTTTTTGTAACCGTTGTTTTTGGCCCATGGCCTAAATAAATCTTCTGTCTGTATGTCTGTCTGTCAAGATACATTAGCTGTCGCTGCTGTAAGAAGTGGTGTGTTTGGTGTATCTTGCCTAATGGTTACTGATATCAGTAACTGTTTCAGTTTGGAAATCAACACTTAAAACGCAAGCACGCAAGTACGCACGCAAGCACGCACGCACGCGTAATATCCCGGTTTCGAGATCTCACCTTGGTTGAGGTGACTGTCCAGAAACTGTCTGAGGAACTGCTTTCAGCCACTCGTCGTACAGTGACCCGTCCCCTCGTGGGCTAACCACCTGGCCGTAGAACAGATAACAATAAGTTATATAGACAATATACATATGATAAATAACAAATTTAACGGAATGAAACTGGGAATTAGCTTTATATTCGTATAAAATTTGTGAAATTAACAGAGCTGAAAATAAAAAAAAATTAAAATTGCTTTTCATGACCTACTTACATCAAGTGACCCGGTTATGTTAAAGGACCTTACATGACTTACTTAAGTTTAATTATATTACATGAACTTGATACGTTACATGACCTAGTGACCTAGTTATGTCATTGACCTGGACGCTGCATGACTGATTACTTTACATGAAGTGGATCTTTCACTCGATTATATAGTAACCTGAAATTTAAATATTTCTTTTTTATGCTTATTGTTTATCTGGCTTCACCACTACATGAATTTCTAAATAACGATTGATTACCATAACATACCAAACGATTGATTACCATAACATACCAAACGATTGATTACCTTTACATATCAAACGATTGATAACCATTACATACCAAACAATTGATTGCCATTACATACCAAACGATTGATTACCATTACATACCAAACGATTGATTACCATAACATATCAAACGATTGATTACCATAACATATCAAACGATTGATTACCATTAAATATCAAACGATTGATTACCATAACATATCAAACGATTGATTACCATTACATACCTAACGATTGATTACCATTACATACCAAACGATTGATTACCATTACATACCAAACGATTGATTACCATAACATACCAAACGATTGATTACCATTACATACCAAACGATTGATTACCATTACATACCAAACGATTGATTACCATTACATATCAAACGATTGATTACCATAACATGCCAAACGATTGATTACCATTACATACCAAACGATTGATTACTATTACATACCAAACGACTGATTACCATAACATACCAAACGATTGATTACTATTACATACCAAACGATTGATTACCATTACATACCAAACGATTGATTACCATTACATACCAAACGATTGATTACCATTACATACCAAACGATTGATTACCATTACATACCAAACGATTGATTACCATTACATACCAAACGACTGATTACCATTACATACCAAACGACTGATTACCATTACATACCAAACGACTGATTACCATTACATACCAAACGATTGATTACCATTACATACCAAACGATTGATTACCATTACATACCAAACGATTGATTACCATTACATACCAAACGATTGATTACCATAACGACTGATTACCATTACATACCAAACGATTGATTACCATTACATACTAAACGATTGATTACCATTACATACCAAACGATTGATTACCATAACATACCAAACGATTGATTACCATTTCATACCAAACGATTGAGTACCATTACATACCAAACGATTGATTACCATAACATACCAAACGATTGATTACCATAACATACCAAACGATTGAGTACCATTACATACCAAACGATTGATTACCAAACCAGAAATTAAGGCTTCAATGCACACACTGCGCATATCAAGATCTACACTATGCTCTTGGTTAGTTCACCAGCAAACACTCCCGGACAATTTCAGAAGAGAAAGTCCTTTCTAATAAAGTTAAAATTATACCAAATACAATTAATGTTCTATTTTATTTGTTTGTTGTTGTTTAACGCCGCAATCAGCAATATTCCAGCTATACGGAGGAAGTCTGTAATATTCGAGTCTGAAACAGAAAATCCAGTGATCAACATTATGAGCATACATTGAGATACGATGACATGTGTCAACCAAGCCAGTGAGCCTGACCACCCGATGCCGATAGTCATCTCTTACAAGCATGGGTCGCTGAAGGCCAGTTCTAACCCGGATCTTCACTGATCCGACTCATTTCCTGTGACCACCCCAGAATGGTACCTACCCGCTTAGCCGCCTCATACACAGCTCTGTTCAGTAAGGGTGTAGCTCCAACTGACAAGCTGCGAGTTCCTGCAATTGCCCATATCCATTATCCAGTGAATATATATATAATATATATATATATACTCATGCCAATAATGGTTGTCACCCCCTTCATTTTTTTTAATTGAAGAGGGGTGGGGTGTGAGGTGTGTTGGGGGTTGGGATGGGGAGGGGGTGACAACCATTATTGGCATGTGTGTGTGTGTGTGTGTGTGAGAGAGAGAGAGAGAGTGTGTGTGTGTGTGTGTGTGTGTGTGTGTGTGTGTGTGTGTGTGTGTGTGTGTGTGTGTGTGTGTGTGTGTGTGTGTGAGATATGATCTATATCAATACAACCCGCTAGTGAATAGCCATGTCTGGGGTCAGTTTCGAATGACATTACGATAATAATCTTATTAAGTCAAATTACACTCATCTGCGATAGATTTGTTTGTTTGTTGTTTAACTCCGCAATCAACAATATCTCAGCTATATGGCCACGGACTGTAAATAATCAGTAACCGAACCAGACAATCCAATGATCAACATCATTAGCATCGATCTACGCAGTTAAGATACAACATTTGACATGAGTGAACCAAGTCAGCGAGCCTGACCCCCCGATCCCGTTAGTCGCCTCCTTCAACAAGTATGGGTTGCTGCGAGAGAAACTGTGTGTCTTTGATAACAGAGAAGGAATTGTAACAATTCTTCTCATTGTTTGTTTTGAAAGGAAAAGAAATTGAACAAAATAACATTCTGTACATACTATATATGATACATTGTAACAGGCTTTACATAGTTGCTATGTCAGTGTCTTGAGTGGTGGTTAGAAGTTCTGAGTTGTGTGTAGAAACTGAGAATGTGCTTCTTGCGATAGAATGTAATGACTAACTGCTGCTTATGTTGTGTAATATTGTCAACGGCAGACAATAATCAGTCTCCACCGTCTACCGAAACAGATTCCATAGGGCGTGAAACAGGGGTGAACTACCTCAGTGGATCACTAATAATCAGCGAGGACACCAGGTGTTGGAGAAAAGGGTTAACCATGATTATAAGCACCCGCCACCCACAACTATGTATTTAATATGTGTTTGTTTCCAAACGACAAATAACAGTACGTCTGCTAAGTATCGAGTAACAGGTATTTTAGGGAAAATAGATGACGTTCTTGTAACAGAGGTAGAAGTATGACTAGCGATCGATGTTGTAATTGGTCGGGGACTGTTTACCTGAAACAGCAATATCTACATTCAGGTAGGCAACGGTTCGAGCGCCAAGATTCTTCATATACTCCTGAAACATAGAAATGTACAGTCCTCGGGGTGTGTGTTTACTGTTCGTGTTTGTCAATTGGAAAAACAAACAAACACACACACACACAAAACACACAAACAACACACACACAAACAACACACACAACAACAACAAAACACAGACAAACAACACACACACAAAACACACACACACACACACACACACACACACACACACACACACACACACACACATACGACTGCCTCCGTGGTGTAGTGGTTAGAGCGTCCGCCCGGAGAGCGGAAGGTCGATGCCCAACCGCGTCATACCAAAAGACGTTAAAATATGGTACTTGTTGGTCCCTGCCTGGCGCTCGGCATTAATGGGTACAACAAGGACTGGTCGGCTCGGAGTCAGTATACTGTGTCTGAGTGAGGTATTCCTGCTTCTCTGCGGCATGGTATCTCAGTAGACTAGCACTATAAAACCAGCTTAAGTCTGGGCTAGTACAAGCAGCCGCACATACATGTATACACACGCATGCACGTCGTCATATGAGCGAAATATTCTCAAGTACGACGTTAAACCCAATTTCACCTCACCTCACGTCCATCCATCCATCCTTCCACCCGCGGCCGTGTCGACGATTAGTTGCCTAACCCGGACAGTGTGGGTTCGATTCCTGAATGGGACTCAACCTAATAAATATACTAAAATCTGCACTTTAGTTAGAAAGTGTAATCCAAGACAACACATATTACATTTGACCACTTCCTAAATGGCATTGTGTGTACGTACCTCCACCCATTCGAAAGATCCAAGGTCGCCGTATTCCTCTGCCCCCCAGCTGCAGAAGACGAGGGACCGGCGAGGACGCCACTCACCTGTGGGAGTGAAATGTATCCAGGTGGAGGAACAACATGTATGTGCAAGGTTACGCCCCTGATCCCGTCACTCCATCTGACACCCAACACCCCATCTACACCCAACAACACCCCATCTACACCCCATCTACACCCCATCTACACCCAACAACACCACTTGGGCAGCTTATAAGCAGATACAAATTTGAAGCTGAAACATCATTTGCCGTAGAAACATCTTTTATAATGTTGGTGTGAGATACCTAACAGACTGGACCCAGGAAGTCAAAGTAAAGAGAAAGAAAGAAAGTAAAGTACAAAAGAACGTATACTCTTGAATTGGGCATGAACCATTGCATTACTGTTTTGGCAACACGTACACAATGTTTGTGTGAGATTTGTTGTGTATTATATGTTGTCGGTTTGGGGGTGGGGGTGGGAGGTTTTTTGGGGGTTTTTTATGTTTGTTTCTATTTTTGGGGATGGCGTTGTTTTATGTTTGTTTTTGGTTTGGGGGGTGGCGTTAAGGGGTGGCATTGTTTTGTTGTTGTTTTGGTTTGTTTGCTTTGATGGGGTGGGGAGGGGTGGGGCTGTGTTATTTCTTTCTTTCTTTCTTTTTTAAATAATGCAAAAGTGTAATGTTTGTACTTTCTTGTGAATGTTAGTCTATATTTAATAAACCTATCATAAAACCTATCAATACCCATCATGAATTAAATATTTAAAAATATATATCCAATGGCTCAAAAATATGTTCCCCCCTGTTACGGTCACCTATCAGAACCCCATTATCTGGATACACCGTCTAAGACGAAGTACATGTAAGGTCTGGAAATATGCAGTGTCGGCAGGCGCTGCGGCCTACAACCACTGTTGTCACGACCTCGACATTCATAGATGAACGCCATGATGCAGCGTGGACGAGATTTCATTGCATATGTAGAACCTCGGTGTGTTGAATACACTGATAATAATAGCTATCAGAATCAACTGACCACTTCTGACCATCTCTGCCATGACCCTGGCCGCTTCCATCATGGCCGCAGTACCACTGGAGGGGTCCATTGCTCCAAACACCCATGCGTCTCTATGGTTACCCAGAATAACGTAGCGATCTGGAAACAGTAGTAACTTTAAATATGTTTAAATATGGAAAAATTTCATGGGTAGCCTGTTCGAAAAAAGTCGTTCGTGAAGCCGAACATGCAGGTTCGAGTCCCCAAGGTGAACCCGTTCTCGGTGTCCGTCACTATCAAATAAACGGATTTACGCTAAAGGGCTCGCAAACCTCTCTCAATCACTGAATGCAGGGAAGCATAGACAACGTTCAACTAGTAAGTCCATTGCAGTATATCATACTATTACACATTACCCGTGAAGATCCGGGTTAGAGTTGATCTTCAGTAACCCATGCTTGTCGTAAGAGGCGACTAACGGGATCGGGTGGTCAGGCTCGCTGACTGAGTTGACACATGTCATCGTATCCCAATTGCGTAGATTGATGTTCTTGCTGTTGATCCCAGCATGTCTGGTCCAGACTCGATTATTTACAGACCGCCGCCATATAGCTGGAATATTGCTGAGTGCGGCGTAAAACTAAACTCACTCACTACTATTACACATGCATAATGACCAGTAATTGTTATTATTTGCATCGCTAACACAGTTGCAATGATTTCACGTGTCAAACCAAACTCAGTCAGTCAGTCAGTCAATCATGTAACGCTACGACTATCGTGCCTCCTATACGTTAACTGATTTAGTTTGGTTTTACGCCGCTTTTAGCAATATTCCAGCAACATCACGGCGGGGGACACCAGAAATGGGCTTCACACATTGTACCCATGTGGGGATTCGAACCCGGGTCTTCGGCGTGACGAGCCAACGCTTTAACCACTAGGCTACCCCACCGCCCCCTATACGTTAACATATAGTTAGGACAGTAATAGCTCTAAGACCGCTATGAGAAACAGGGCTCAGGATCATATGATCCTACGTTCGAATCCCGGAATCGGTCTGATTCTGACAGGTCTGCTAGTGCCGTGCCTGTGGGGTTCACGACTCCAAGAGGTACGACTCCAAGACGTGCGTCTCTCCAGGTTGTCCCACGTCATGCAGACAGCCAATGATACCTAAAACATCGTTCACCGCAGCGATAGTCTAACTCGCTCATCATTGTCAAAAGTTGACCAGTATATAATAAGACAACAGTTTGATGAATCTATTTTTGTCACAATCTATGCTTTCAAATCGCTTCCAAACAATTGCACATCCCTCACGGAGAAACAGAACACGTCAAAACTGCATAGCTGAGAAGTATTCTCATAAATATGGCTTCTCTTGATAAGAGGATAGAGTCTATTCGCCCTATCCATCTAACAGTATCATCGTATAACTGTGTCTATATCACTTCACGCACCTGGTTCCACGGCCCCGGTAATGATGCCTATAGTGTTGTACGTGACGTTCCTTTGGTTCTGGGTTGAAATACGCATCTCCACGTGTCTGTGAGGATATTGGAAGTCGAAATGAGCTACAAATTGAAGGGCTCAGACAGTATATATGTGCCTCAAACGACATTTACCTCATAAAATTACGGGTAAATGGTTTTCAAAATGACAAGACATTGTCATGTGGGCTAAAGCAATATCACCTTTGTAGTGACGGACACGTCGTCACAATCACGTAGTGTCACAATTAGGCTTTCTCTTAATGATTTTGTTTCCAATTATGTCTTTCAAAGTTCGTAGAATCTGTGGTCGAAACAAAATGCAATTTATGAAGGTTTAATGAAAGCGAATAAAGACTTTTTGTGTCCATGGACAAGTCTATTGTTCCCTTCCAACTATGTCATGAGAAGCGAATAAAGACTTCTGTGTCCATGGACAAGTCTATTGTTCCCTTCCAACTATGTCATAAGAAGCGAATAAAGACTTCTGTGTCCATGGACAAGTCTATTGTTCCCTTCCAACTATGTCATCATAAAGACTTCTGTGTCCATGGAAGTCTGAATAAAGACTTCTTCTGTGTCCATGGACAAGTCTATTGTTCCCTTCCAACTATGTCATAAGAAGCGAATAAAGACTTCTGTGTCCATGGACAAGTCTATTGTTCCCTTCCAACTATGTCATGAGAAACGAATAAAGACTTCTGTGTCCATGGACAAGTCTATTGTTCCCTTCCAACTATGTCATAAGAAGCGAATAAAGACTTCTGTGTCCATGGACAAGTCTATTGTTCCCTTCCAACTATGTCATAAGAAGCGAATAAAGACTTCTGTGTCCATGGACAAGTCTATTGTTCCCTTCCAACTATGTCATAAGAAGCGAATAAAGACTTCTGTGTCCATGGACAAGTCTATTGTTCCCTTCCAACTATGTCATAACTATGTCATAAGAAGCGAATAAAGACTTCTGTGTCCATGGACAAGTCTATTGTTCCCTTCCAACTATGTCATAAGAAGCGAATAAAGACTTCTGTGTCCATGGACAAGTCTATTGTTCCCTTCCAACTATGTCATGAGAAGCGAATAAAGACTTCTGTGTCCATGGACAAGTCTATTGTTCCTTCCAACTATGTCATAAGAAGCGAATAAAGACTTCTGTGTCCATGGACAAGTCTATTGTTCCATTCCAACTATGTCATGAGCATGTATTATGAATCACTATCAAAACGGTGATGATACCAGGGAGTCTAAAAACGATGACTGCATTCTGCCCGCCGGTGGCACCCATCACAAGCGCATGCAAAGACTATGCAGAAAATGTTTTAAAGTAAGTTTTGATAATAACTTACTACTGGAAGAATAGAGGGGTTACGCCCTCATTCATTTATCTGCTATACAGATTAACTACGGTAATATGTTAGCATCGGATGGTAATGAACATTTTCAGAGTAGAATACCATATGGTATATACTGTATGTTAATATAGTTCTACTGGTGTGAATGTAATGATGAGCCCGTGAAGATATTCAGAAATCCATGCTTGTCGTAAGAGGCGACTAACGGGATCGGGTGATCAGGCTCGTTGACTCGGTTGACACATGTCATCGTATCCCAATTGCGCAGATCGATGCTCATGATGTTGATCACTGTATTGTCTGGTCCAAACTCGATTATTTACAGACCGCCGCCATATAGCCGGAATATTGCTATATGAAGAGTGCGGCGTAAAACTAATCTCACTCACTCACTGTAATGATGATATTTTAGGATGATGAGATAGTATAGCTCTAAAAGTCCGTACTTGAGTGTCTGGTTGTTGAAACCAGGTCCGTATCTGTACACGATGTTCATCCCTCCTGACCAGTCCGGAGTCACAACTGGCCCACTCATGTACCTGTTGACAGAATAAACATTTCCAATCATTAATTCCACTGGCTAAATATCTGCAACACTACTCCAGTTTTGATCGGGATGATTAGCTTTGTCATGTATATTTAGGGGCGGGGAGGTAGCCTAGTGGTTAAAGCGTTCGCTCGTCGCGCCGAAGATCCGGATTCGATTCCCTACATGGGTACAATGTGTGAAGCCCATTTCAGGTGTCCCCCGCTGTGATGTTGCTGGAATATTGCTAAAAGCGGCATAAAACCATACTCCCTCACCCCCATGTACATCTAAATAAATATATGATAGAGCTTGTATTAAGCTCGGTTCAATTGGCAGTCCTAAAAACTGAATTTGTATTCAGAGATTATCGATATGGCATAAAGACAGCGTTTGTTTGTTTGTTTGTTTGTTTGTTTGTTTGTTCACTCGACATTATTCCAACCATATATCGGCTGTCTGGACCTGGCATTTGACTTGAGCAAATTGGATGCATCAACTGAGTCAGCTGAAACCTAATTCGCATCATATACTAGTCCACCATGACTGGTTAATCACAAATTACTAAACCCGTGAAGATCCGGGTTAGAAATGATCTTCAGTAACCCATGCTTGTCGTAAGAGGCGACTAACGGAATGGGATGGTCAGGCTCGCTGACTTGGTAGACACATCCCATTTGCGAAGATCGATGTTCATGCTGTTGATCACTGAATTGTCTGGTCCAGACTCGGTTATTCACAGACCGCCGCCATATAGCTGGAATATTTCTGAGTGCGGCGTAAAATAAACTCACTTACTACAAGATAATACATGGACTACAAGACAGGATGCACTCACTTCATGATATTCTCAGCCTCGCCGTAGCTGATGGGGTGGACGGGGATGGCAGGCAGGTTGATCTGAGACTCGGGAGCGCGGTACGCCGTGTCTACGTAAAGAGACTAACGCTATATTACTTGCTGAGACAGCATAAAACTCGGGGTGTGTAACACGGTAATGTACATATACTTTTATTTTCCGGCTTAAGGCCCATTATATATTCGAACACACGCCCCGGAATCAAGCGCCTTATGATCAGCGCACAAAGTAAACGATCTAACCAACCCAGTCGAGATGTGGATTGTCTTTGGCGTATAAGGATTCTCGATTCAAGTTTATAACACGATGAAATTGGAATTTCTCCTGTGAAAATCAGGTGGTACTGAATGAAAGTATTTTACCACGTCCAGCCACTGAGACATAATACGTACATTTAGCCCACGTCGTCGGTTTAAAAAACATTGGGTAGGTTTTCTTAATCGGTTACGATTCAGTTGATTCAGGTAAAAGTCTTGAAACAAGGCCATACATTCGTTTACAACATGTATCCATGTCTTAGTTTTATCAAATCATCTGGAATAGGCCAGAACAAATGTATCATTTGATTGTCATCTCTGAGGTGAGGTGAGGTGAGGTGAGGTGAGGTGAGGTGAGGTGAGGTGAGGTGAGGTGGGAAGGAGGTGAGGTGAGGTGAGGTGAGGTGAGGGTGAGGTGAGGGTGAGGTGAGGTGAGGTGAGGTGAGGTGAGGTGAGGTGAGGTGAGGTGAGGTGAGGTGAGGTGAGGTGAGGTGAGGTGAGGTGAGGTGAGGTGAAATTGGATTTAACGTCGTGCTTGAGAATATTTCGCTCATATGACGACGTGCATGCGCGTGTGTGTGTATGTGCGGCTGCTTGTACTAGCCCAGACTGAAGCTGGTTTTATAGTGCTAGCTCACTGAGATACCATGACGCAGTGAAGCATGAATACCCCACTCAGACACAGTATACTGACTCCGAGCCGACCAGTCCTTGTTGTACCCATTAATGCCGAGCGCCAGGCAGGGACCAACAAGTACCATATTTTAACGTCTTTGGTATGACGCGGTCGGGGATCGAACCCGCGACGTTCCGCTCTCCGGGCGGACGCTCTAACCACTACACCACGGAGGCGGTCTGTCATCTCTGAGAGTCTCACTGGGAAACAAGCCGCTTGGTACTTTCAAAACGTTACTTTGCGTTTCTCTTGTGCCTTAATCTACATAATAGGGTGGCCTAGTGGTTAAAGCGTTCGCTCGTCACTCCGAAACAAAAATCCGGGTTTAATTCCCCACATGGGTACAATGTGTGAAGCCCATCTCTAGCGTTCCCCGCCATGGTATTGCTGAAATTTTGCTGCAATGGCGTAAAACCCAACAACTCACTATTCAACTGGGGTGGTGAAGTAGCCTAGTGGTTAAAGCGTTCGCTCGTGACGCTGAAGACCCGGGTTCGAGTGAGTGAGTGAGTGAGTGAACAGGCTTGTCCGCCGATGGACTTCACACATTGTAACAATCTGGCGCGAAGAACAAACGCTTTAACCACATGGCAACCTCAAAGCCTTTAAAACTCTCTTCAAAGAATGCTTACCAATAGACGGGTACCCGGGAGTTTCGGGATCACCGTCAGTGACGAACAACGTTCCTCTTTGAGCCCCTGTGGGTGGGAGCCACCAACTGTGAGGGTACACATCACTAGAGTTAGCTCCCATGGCATAGTCAGCAGGATCCGTGTATATAATCAAACCGATCGCTCCATACTTCTGGGCCGCTTTCGCCTGTCGGAATAGTTGCAATAGTTGAAATTGAGAGCAAAAAACTGGTTCAACTCCGCACAACATTTTCTCGCCTTGATTGGTCTCAAAATGAAGTCATGTATGTAGTTTGCTCCACGGCAGGTACCACCACAATATGGCAAAATCCTGGCAAGGATGATAGCCCGATAGAAATACGATCGGCTGATGGAACGATTAAATGTGCCTTAGCAATTCTTCATATCTTTGATCAAACGTGACCAGAACCAAAACACTGGAAAATTACATTTCTGCGTAGATCGACATGCTACAAATGTCTCAGTTGATGTCCAAAAAACATAATCTTTTTACCAAAAGTGTCATGTTATGGCGTGATAACTAAAGCAAATGAAAAGGAGGTACTTCAAGTTCTTTCGCATAACATACAATATGCTGCTAAACAGTACCAGTTGTCAGGCCAGTTTAACCTTCTACCAAATTCTATACAATTAACTCAATCCTAACTTTGATAAATAATACTTTATATTATATACCACTTAACATGGGGTGACGATTACCTATCCTCGCAAATCGTAAATGACATTGAGGGAACACCACGTGGAAGTATGGCCAACATTCATGTTGGTATTGTTGGCCATGTAGTGGGGACGTACCTTATCGCCTCTGAAGATCTTGCCGTATCTGGCGATGGCGATCTTCCCCGTGACGTTGATGTTGACGTCTTCTGTGACGTACTTGAAGTCTTCGTCGCGTCCGTAATTGACGTACACCAGGTCCCCCTGTATCAAGACAGATGTCACTGAACTGTTATATACAATATTTATTTATTCCTTTACTTATATGTTCGTTCGTTCGTTCGTTATCAGAAGCCAACTAGTCATAATGCTATAATCTTGTGAATAACTTTACCATCTACTGACATTCTTCTAAATGGTTTGGGATCGTGGGGTAGCCTAGTGGTTAAAGCGTTCGTCTGTCACGCCGAAGACCCGGGTTCGATTCCCCAGATGGTACAATGTGTGAAGCCCATTTCTGGTGTTCCCCGCCGTGATATTGCTGGAATATTGCTAAACGCGGGGTAAAGCTAAACTCTCAACGGTCTACACTCTTACCCGTCTAGAACGACGACCACCGTATCGCTACGGTACATGCTGTTCTAATATATTCACCTAAAACCCCCTACTTTCAAAAGAGACCCGTGAAGAACCGGGGTAGAATAGGTCTTCAGCAACCCATTCTTGTCATAAAAGGCGACTATGCTTGTCGTAAAAGGCGACTAACGGGATCGGGTGGTCAGGCTCGCTGACTTGGTTGACACATGTCATCGGTTCCCAAGTGCGCAGATAGATGCTCATGCTGTTGATCACTGGATTGTCTGGTGCAGACTCGATTATTAACAGACCGCCGCCATATAGCTGGAATATTGCTGAGTGCGGCGTAAAACTATACTCACTCACTCACTCACTTTCAAAAGTTGCACTAAGTGATCGCTGGGCGATTTCAACTTTTCAACACTCTTAAAAATTAGTCATAGGATCGCATCGTGGAACCACAAACCATTCGTTAAAGATATCTCATTTCAGACTGTCGTTACTAACGGTAAAATAGACCGACGAAGGGTACCTCAAGTACCTCATTTAACAAAGCGATGTTAGCGCCAAGATGTTCTTAACTCCAGAACGTTAACAGACTTACGACAATGCCAAGAACACTTTGTGCAACAGGTCCCAGTTTAGTTACAACAGTCTTACCGTAACTGTACCGTTCGCAGAGTAGGCATTAAATGGCGGCACGACACCGGGAACGTTCTCTCTGGGCGTCAAGATTGCTTCCGTCAAGGGCGACTCGTACAGGATCTCGTCATTCTGGCCTCGAACCCGCACCACGTTAGGTCTCGCGAGATCTGGGTAGGACATCAGCACTTCATAAGGCGTGATGGTGACGTCATCAAAGCCTTGCTGTATCCACAGGTCAGCTAATTCCTTGGCCTGTCTGTAGTCGGCCGGAGTCCCCGCTAGATGGGGCTTGGAGGTCAGTTGCCTGGAATACACATTGCAGAATCTAGAGTCAACTTCGAGTAAAGTATAATATCTAAACCATTTCCATTGAACAAGTTGGTACGTTTGGTTGGATGCTGTGATATTGTCATGGGAAAAATTAAGAAGGCAAAACCTTGAACCGATACAGGTTTTAGAGGGGCATGGTGCTGACACAACAAGGATCATAATCAAGGCGTACCTGGGATTCGAACTCACTATGACGCTATTACATGGAATTACCACCCTTTAGGCGTCTGGGTGACAGCATTCCCTGGTTATAGTGTCACAACAAGAACCATTTTTATCGTTTGACATGGCTTTGGATTCAACCACCGACATTCCGCACTCCAAGTGTACGTTCTATCGAATTTTCCAATAGGGCAGTCCAGAAATGAACACCACCCTGTGTCATAGTAAGTCCCATATTCCATTAGTCACTGGGCTAAAAGTGGAATCTTGACGATCAAAGATCTTTGTGATGAACATGGGTTTATATCCTTTGATCAATTGAAGCTTAAAGTTGGTATAAAAGGTACTCACTTAGATCTTGGATATGTTATATATATTTTACCTGAACCTTGGAAAAAGACTTTAAAGGAATATAGATATATAAACATTAATGACCTCACAATAAATTCACTCCAAAAGGATTTCATATCCCCAAGAAAAGGTTCAAGAATTATTTATGAAAAATTGTTATCTGAAAATGTTAAACCTCACATGTGCCAAAAATGTGGAAAACATTATTTGACTGTATTGATTTTGATTGGCATTTGATTTTTCATACTTGTGAAAAAATTTAAAGAGATATGAAACTGTTAGATTTTCAATATAAATTTCTGCACCGGAATCGTTTATACCAAAAAAGAACTTTTAGAATGAATCTGGTGGACAATACAATATGTTCTTTGTGTAATGATTCTGTTGAAACTTTATGCCATGTATATTGGGAATGTGATGAAACCAAAACTTTCTGGAAGAAACTTGAACAGTGGATTACGAAACGTATCCAAACACTTAATTTGACAAAATCTTTGATTTGGTTTGGCTTTAGGTAGAACCCATATTGAACCACATAATCTTATCTGCTAAGAGATATATTTACACTTGCTCATTGACAAAACAATTCCAAAAGTTGATAATTACTTAAGGATATTGAAGACATATTTACCACTGAATCATTCATTGCCAGAAGAAATAATAATGTTGAAAGCTTTTTAGTCAAATGGTTTCCTCTCATCCCTGAATTTAACCCTGAATGACTATTAAACAAAGAACATATCACTAACATTGATATTCAATGCACTTAGTGTACTATATCGCTATTGAGCCCACTAGCTTGTATGTGCACACATTCCTCTATATGCTTGAAGATGTTTTTGTACTCATCATATTGGGAACAATAAAAAAATAAAAAAAATTATTTTTTATTTAAATCCCATATTCAAACCAACCACATCTACAAAATCAGTTATTTACTATTTAGTCTTGAAAGCGTATATGTTATATGGTACCTGAGGTTTTCCCGGATATTTTCCGCCTTGATTCTGGAAGCAAGCTTCTCGTGAACGGTGTCGTCTGCTTCTTGAATAATCGCCCGAGGAACTCCACTTAAATTCGCGCCATTTCCCTGTGAAGAGATGGCGAACCTACCAATCAGCAGACCGACGATGAAGGTGACCACAAGGCTCACTCCAGCCAAGATCAGCTTCCTTCGTGGTCCAGAAAGGGTGGGCAGCGCCATGTTGCCGTCTGTCAGGTAATGTCGCGGTAACAGTGAGAGCAGAGCGCCTTTACCTGCATGAACGCTCTGGATTAATGAAGCAGGTCGTGACGTGATCAGAATAACACTTCCCGATGTTCTTTGCTTCAGTTGACTTTCATCCAGTTCTTCATCTTATCTGGTGGATGACATGTTATTTAGGTGAGAGATATTTAGATGTAAAATTAGGGTCTGAATATCTAGGAGCTGCTTTCTATGACGGACGGTCTAAATTTATAGGTAGCCAGCCGGATTGTCTGGTAAAAATTCGATAACATGTTCCAAACATCTGAGTAAATTCACCATATCTTAAAATATATTTTTCAAATTGAGCGTTACATTTAGACTGAGTTATTTTCTATGGATTGTCTGGTCTGGTTAAATCCATTTTGGGCTGGTAACATTTTGAAGATACCAGCCCTGATGTCTGGCTGGGTTTTTGGCGTATTTCATACACTGTATATATGCACAGTAGCATATAATACACAGTCTAAACCTAGTCTGTCATACAGACTTGTCGTAAGAAGGCGACTAACGGGATCGGGTTGGTCAGGCTCGCTGACTTGGTTGACACATGTCATCGATTCCTAATTGCACAGATCGATGCTCATGTTGTTGATCACTGGATTGTCTGGTCCAGACACGATTATTTACAGACCGCCGCCATATAGCGGGAATATTGTTGAGTGTGACGTAAAAATATAAACTCACTCACTCATACAGACCCTGGAAACAAATATACCCAATGCAGCCCATGCAAGACTAAAAGTACTGTCGGAAATGCTAAAAATGCTTTTGACTGATATTTAAAATTCAGAGGTATTACAGTTACTAAATAACAAATATCACTTCAAGAAACATCTACCTAATGTAGACCGAGGGAATAGAATTTTTGAGACATGCTCTAAAGCGTGTTTTACTGATGAAAATACCAAAAACTTAGAAAAAAAGGGGGTAGTGGGACGTTATTTGATACAAACATTAATTGCCTGTGTTACGTCATCAGCATCCACGGTATCGACAGGTGAAATTAACACCTGAGCACACGCCGGCGAGGGTCATCTCAATAGATGTTTTCTGCAAAATGTTGAATATGTGTACGTATAGTATACGTAGTGGTTATGTAAGGGATCATTTGTGTATGTGTGTGTTTTTAAATAAACATTCGCATTACTGTACATTGGAAAGAATCCTATCACATGTGTTATATTATCGATTGATTGTAGAAATGTGCAACGTGTATATAAATGCTTTGCATGTCAACAGTATATTTCATTGAAAAAATATGGATGTAATTCGGTCAGTTTAATCTAGTTGTGAACATTGGCCAAGATTTAACGAAGTCACTGGTGTAGCGTCTTTAGAATATATATATATTAATTATTATTATTCTCATAAAGTTTGTAGACCGCCCGTCTAAGCACTCCCTTGTCAAAGTTGTCAAGGATGGTTTTACGTCCCAGTTTTGCTGTTGAGACGGTCCCTGTCTTGTCTGATTTGTTTACAATATTGTAAACTTGTTGGTAAGACATACCAACAGCTCTACAAGTTCTGTAATAAACCCTTTCTAAACTAATGAAAGGTTTACCTCTGTCTTTTTCAAGCATAAAAAAACTTATAAACCTTTGCAACAATCGACTGCAAATCGTTGGCCATAGTGGACGCTGTACCATGTGATAAAGATGTGCATGCATGACGGGAAACTTATTTATCAAGACTTAACATTTATATTAATATTTCTTCAATAAAGAAACGATAACTAAGTAAAGTAACACAAACATTCAACATTTATTTGTTTAGGAAATAATGATAATTCATATTTTTACACCACCTGTATTATTAGCATAAATGTAAAGACTATTTCAGATTTCTGTTGAACTCGGAATAAATCTGAAGTTGCTGTTTTGGTACCAAATTCTCTCCTGTAAACTGCCCTTTAAATGCATGGGAATGTTAAATCGATTGAAATAAAAATTAGGTACACTATAGTCGAGTGGATATATTGACAAAATAGTACATTTATCACCTTTATATAAAGATATTAAGGCTAAAAAGCATTTTTTCTAGCATTTCCGACAGTACTTTAGAATGTGTGGCATGTCTAGATTACCGCGGTTTCAGTCCGCCGTGATTTTGCTGGAATATTGCTAAAAGCGGCGTTAAACTGAAGTCACTCACTCACTGAAACATTTCACGATCATAAGCACGTTACAGACATGAAATCAATACAATTCTTATGGGAAACAATTTAAATATAATAACCTTAGAACAGTCGTGAACACTTGTCATGTCTGATTAAAAGATGTATCTCTTTTCATTCACTGTTCTGAAAATGAAGAAAGTCTCCGGGCTCCTTTTTATTGCATTTAATTTTAATTTTAAAACTTTTATTTTCTGTAAAATATGTATATTTCAGAGACTAGCTGTTAGTCTAAGTCAAAACCACAACGTATTCATTCGTTTACGCGGGAATTAAATTTGCAGTGGTCTAAGGGAGACAACTTCAAATAGCTAATGTAGAAGTCGCGATCTAAATAGTCGTACCAGGGAACTGTTATTACATGAAGCGCTACTAAAATAACCACGTAACCATTTTTCTTATTCTTTATACGAAGTTTCAGAGCTAACTGTTGCTTCTTCGTCGGACGAATGCGCAGAGTGAATCTATATAGAGATAAAACATGTTTACACAACAACGCAAGGTGGGGCAACCCAGTGCCCAGAGGTCACTGCACAGAGGTGAATGGGGTATCTGATATCTATATATATAGAGAGAGAGAGGTGAGGTGAGATGAAATTGGGTTTAACGTCGTGCTTGAGAATATTTCGCTCATATGACGAGGTGCATGCGTGTGTATGTGTATGTGCGGCTGCTTGTACTAGCCCAGACTGGAAGCTTGTTTTATATAGTGCTAGCCCACTGAGATACCATGCCGCAGTGAAGCATGAATACCCCACTCAGACACATTATACTGACTCCGAGCGAACCAGTCCTTGTGTAATGCCGAGCGCCAGGATAGATAGACTGACTGACTGACTGAGTTTAGTTTTACGCCGCTTTTAGCAATATTCCAGCAATATCACGGCGGGGACACCAGAAATGGGCTTAACACATTGTGCCCATGTGGGGAATCGAACCCGGGTCTTCGGCGTGACGAGCCAACGCTGTAACCACTAGGCTACCCACCGCCCCCAAGGATAGATAGATAGATAGATAGATAGATAGATAGATAGATAGATAGATCACGAAGCCAACTGGATAGGATTCATATGCAAAGATAACAGTATAATGTATTATGACAAAGTGTGTGTGTGTGTGTGTGTGTGTGTGGGTGGGGGGGTTGTTAATTTCATCATGTTCGTTCGCCTTTCAAGTACTGTATAATTAAAAACAAAATAGTTCAGCATGTGGCCGAGTGTTCCCGGTTCTCTTGAAGAGATTTCTGCTATTATTTTTATCAGATATTTTTCCTTCCCATGAAGGCCCCAAAAATTGCACCAAACCCACCTGTTCAGGCAGGCGGTGCGGTAAATGTATTTCACGGGTGTTAGCAGTCTTGCTCTCACTTAGCGATCCTCGAGCAAGCTCGCAGCCCCCGATAAGGACGGTTGAACGCTAGTCCACAACGCTAGTCATGATGTATGTGGACCACTTGCTCAGAAAATGGGTGTACTGTCCTTGGGTCAATGATTTGAATATTTGTATTGATAAATAATATTATTTCAAACACATCTTAAAACCACATTTACAAACATTATGTCATTTGACTTGAACAAGAAAAAGACAACTGAACTGAGCATGTATTTTTTATAGCTTAAAACATTTCAGTGGGTGGAGGTATCCAAATAAATAAAGTTCAAATTAACAAGGGTTTGCTGTATTCATTTCATCTATTTATCAGAGGTCATTTTAAAAATAATGCTCATATTTCGGCGTGGGATTGTTCCCAAATAACTTCTGATCGTAAGAACAAGTAATGGATCGCCCCGCCCTTGCTTGATTGCTGTAATTGCTGTCTGGTAGTATGGACGTATAATATGTGTCACGGGTCACGGGTTATATGGTGTATCGGGTCCAGATTTGAGTAGTTATTTACAGGCTAACGTCCACAGAGGAGGACGATTGCCCTGTACAACGTTAAACAACAGCTAGCCTAATACGTGACGCACAGACGATGCTGTATAATATAAGGACGCAGTCTCCAATAGCACATCTGTTTCAATGTGCCTTCTGATTCAAAGGGGGGCGGTAGGGTAGCCTAGTGGTTAAAGCGTTCGCTCGTCACGCCGAAACCCCGGGTTCGATTCCCAACATGGGTACAATGTGTGTAGCCCATTTCTGGTGTCCCAGTGCTGAAGGCGGCATAAAACAGTACTCGCTCATTCTAATGAAAAGGAGCGGTGGGGAAGCCTGATGATTGAAGCGTCCAGTCGTCAGTTCTAAAAGCAGGGTTCGATTCCACATGTGAGTACAATGTGTGAAGCCAATGTCTGGTGTCCCCCAGAATATTGCATGAATATTGCGGCGTAAAACCATACTCACGCTAATGTAAGGAGGAGAATCGGGGCCAATTCCTCGAACCAGTTTTATATGTTGGTAACGAGTTCCAGGCTGTTTATGGTATACAATCACAATTCACGCTTCCAACCACTGGGTCTTAAATCATGATCTGATGACGAACGTCAAAAACTGGAGGGCCATTGCAACTCTGACATCCCGTAAGATATTGTTTACATAATCGAGAGACAGACGTTTTCACACCGGGAGAAAATATCGCTCACATGTCAAAGGGAGACAACCTCAAATTTCCTATACGCCCAACAATCGTATTGAGGACGCATTATATGAAGCGCTACTATAATGATTTCGAAACCGAAAATGTTCAGCAGGCAATAACATTGAAATGTAATCGGATGCAGGTAATATACGTTCTTAAACAAAGTTCCGTGGGGGTAGAGAGTGTCGCACTGTTACAAATATCTACCTTTATTTCATCAGATTGGTTTCCTTCTAGGAAGGCCCCAAAAATTGCACCCGACCCACCTATTCAGGCAGGCGGTGCGGTATAACGTATTTCACGGGTGTTAGCAGTCTTGCTCTCACTTAGCGATCCTCGAGCAAGCTCGCAGCCCCCGATAAGGACGGTTGAAATAATATACATGTTCCAGGGAGGTAATGTAGATGAACTATTTTCACTGAAAACAGGTGTTCTGACGTTGGGTCAATGATTTGAAGGTAAGTATCAAAAGATGATAATATTTTCAGTACATGTTATAACCACATTTATAAGTAATAGGTCATTTGAATATAAAAATAACAATATGACTGAATTATTCAAGGATAATTTTAAATATAGCGCAATTGATGAGAAGTTTTCGGTAGGGAGTAATCATTGTATGGAATTGCATGAATTCGAAAAGGTTTTATTTCATATAACAGATGCAGCCAATAGTTGATAGCACATAATACAGTCAAATCCAAATCATTGTTAATATATTCATCAAATCCTGGTCTCGAGTCACAAGTTATGACTGATACAAATTGAAGAATACAATTCTGACCAATAACTGCCCCCAGTATTTACATGTCGCCGAGTGACGTGACGTCACAAACAAGCACCTGTTTGGAATACCTGTATGAGAATGGTTTGTCTGCTTCATAAACAACCAGCGAAGCAGTGAATTGGGGGTTTTGTGCAGGAATATGGACTTGTAACAGTAAGTAGACAATGAGTGACTGTCATTAAAAGGGGGATTAAATGCCACTTTCCCTAATTCAAATACACAAAATTGATTTGTTGTGATTTTGGAAAGTTTTCATGTTAATGTGATTACTGAAGCGAATGGAGGGTCTCTACTCACGAAGTAAACACCGGACATATTTTGTAAAATTATGCAAATTCCGATATGGTATAGTACTGTTGTGGTTGGTTTAGTGTGTTTGTAGTTTGTTTTGTTATTTTTGTTGTTGTTTTTAATTTTCCAAATGATATTATATTTTCAAAGTTACACCACTGCACAGATATGAAAAAAATATTGTCATTCAGTGATGTAAGATAATATTTATGAAGAAATATCATCACAGTGGTTTCAGTATCATAGGGGTGTTATCAGATTGAGACAGGACAATTGACCCTGTCAAAGCTCTGATATATCCTGAGGTTATATAGTTTATAATGGTGGCTATATGACAGCCTTTGCAGTAGTTCTTCGTGAACTCTGACCTGGAATTATCTATATAATATCTGTGAGGTGACATTTTAGAAGCTGCAGCATCAATGAAGACAAAGTTAATGTAAAGATGTATATCAGTTCTGAGAAAATGTTTAAATTCATATCATATTTGTCTTCATGCTGTGAGGTAGGCTAGTGGTTAAAGTGGGGTTTTTGATGCTGAACCCCAGGGTTTGATTCCCCACATGGGTGCAATGTGTGAAACGTTTTCTTGTGTCAGCGGTTGATATATAGAATAAAACAATCCTCACTCACTCACTCATCAGTATACTTTAAAATATCTGGAGATACAAAGGAAGTGATTTGGCACTCATCCAGTAAGTGTGTGTCTAATTTTGTATAATACTCACTTTTTGTCAACACCATCAACAAAGAGACTATCCCATTAATTAGTTGTTTTCAGTGTAGAGGTGAAAATTAGTATATGTGGCAAACACCACTCCGTCTCACTGACACACATGTATTGTGTGGAGAGTGTTTAACTAGGCTGATAAGCTCCTACCAGTTGACAGCCTTCATAAGAGTGAGTGAGTGAGTTTAGTTTTACGCCACTTTTAGCAATATTCCAGCAATGTCATGGCAGGGAACACCAGAAATGGGATTCACACATTGTACCCATGTGGGGATTCAAACCCAGGTCTTTGGTGTGACGAGCGACCACCTTAACCACTTGGCTACCCCACCGCCCCTTCACAAGATATTTCCTCACTGCCAGCCTAGTTTCACACTCAATATATAACGACTTCAGGTACAAACAAATGTTCAACACACAAACATCATTACAGTTTTCTGTGTTTAACTCATGTTAAATTTAGGAAGCAGTCAGGATGAAGTATCTACTTATCCAATTCTTTTTGTTTTCTGGTTACTACTGACAACATATGCATGGGTCGATGTATCAGTTTAACCAAGTTGAAATTAGCAATGTTTCACTGTATTCTGTTCATGCATTTAACAAAGGACACATTTACAGTAATGCTCCTATTAAGGGTTAGAGTTGTCCACTATGGTATCTATGTATTTGATAACAAATATTTGTTTTGTTTTATAATTCTCATTTAAAAATCAGAACATGCAAATAATGTCCAACACTGTCACTAAAATGTCAACAGTTCCAGTCTGTTGATAGCTGAGCAGGGCTCCAGATAAGGGCCGTATCGGCGTATGTACAGATAAAAAATTTGCACGATACGGTAGGAAATTATTTATAAAACGTGGCAGATACGCACCACGACAATGGTGTACGGTCTTAGAATCATTTGCAGACGTATTTATCTGAAAAAGTATTGTTTTATTGTATATTGACCTGTTTACACAAGACTAGCAATGTTGTGGTGCATATATGAAACGAAACACAAGATTACTGATACTCCATTAAATTCCATTCAGTACTCTAAATGTAGGCTTAAGGTTTTCGAGTACTCCTATATTGAAAAAATCACGGAGTACGTACTCCTGGTGTTCAAAAATTATCTGGAGCCCTAGCTGAGACTACCAAGTCTCCATGAAGATGGCGGATACAGGGAAAGAAACCTTTCAAAAATTCCCACTAGACCACAGAACCAGTGAGGGGACAATAATTACTGGACCTGTCTGTACTTCACTGGTCCAAAATAACATTCGTCAAAATCAATACAAAATTCACTGACCACCACGACCACTGCAAACTTATCATTTAGTGGTCCTGATGACTTTTCACTTGCCAGGGACCACAGGGCCAGCATAAATTACGCACACTGTGAATAGCTTCTTTGAGTGGCATTTAGAAGTTGATTAGTATGCATGCTCCATGGCCTTCACCTACATGGAAAGGCCAAATAGAACATCAATAAAAAGACATTATCACGTTAACGTGATGTCTGTGTTAATTAATGAGAACATTAATACTTATTGTAGGCCAAAGTATATTTGTGTTACGATATTAACACTTTCATGTCGGTGTGTATATATCTATATTCTTTCATTCATAATCCTTAACATGTTCTCTTCTAAAATCCTTGTAATATATGACAAGTCTAAACAGGACTATTCTATCAATCAGTGAGGTGTGAAATGGGGTTAATGTGTTCAAAATTACTGTGGCGGTGGGGTAGCCAAGTGGTTAAAGTGTTCGCTCATCACGCCAAAGAATCGGGTTTGATTCCCCACATGGGTACAATGTGTGAAACCCATTTCTGGTGTCCCCCGCTGGAATATTACTAAAAGTGGCGTAAAACCATCTTCACTCACTCAAAATTACTGCACTTGAACAGCTATGTGCATGCATGTGTGTTCGTGTTTGGCACATTCCTACTTGCCTGGACTTATGATAGTTTTAGAAAAATTGCCCTCTGAGATACTACACCCATGTTTACATGGATACCCCTGACTCTGGGTCTAGCAGTTCTTGTTGTATCCCCTTAAAAATGGGGCGGTGGGGCAATCTAGTGGTTAAAACGTTTGCTTGTCATGCCAAAGACCTGGGTTCTATTCCCCACATAGGTACAATGTGTGAAGCCAAATTTCTGGTGTCTCCTGCCGTGATATTGCTGGAATATTGCTAAAAGCTATGTAAAACAAAACTCACTCACCCTGTATCCCCATAATGTGGAGTACCAGGCAGGGTAACAAGAAGTAACATTTTTCGTGACAAAACCAGGAATAGAACAACTGTCTCAGGAGATTCTCTCTCCTTGGAGCCACAAATCATTATCATTGCTGATGGACATAACAAATAACTTATAATATTCACCTCATATACAGCTTGTGGTGAAATGGGAATAAGATATTGCTGAAAGCAGCCTAAAACCTTACATACTCGCTGTATGAACCAGGAAATCAATCCCATTGTTGTTTTAGTATGTCACTGCAGATAGGTGGAAAATTGCTGATGCAGTGTTAAGTTATTTTGGTTATGTTGAGTATAACATGTCATGTGAGAGTCTTTCACATTGCTTTCAGATAAGCATATTGTAGAGTGAGTGAGTGAGTTGTTATTTACGCTGCTTTTAGCAATATTCCACCAATATCACGGCAGGGGACCCCAGAAATGGGTTTCACACCTTGTACCCATGTGGGAAATCGAACCCGGACCTTCAGCATGACAAGCAAACGCTTTAACCACAAGGCTACCCACCACCCCAGCATATGTTAGAGCAAACACACAGAACACAGTACATGGAGGAGATAAAAACAGTAGACTTTGAAATAACATTGCATTGAGATGAACAGAATTTTGAGATTAAAAGAACTTCAAGAAAAACAGAACATTGAGGTAAACTGGATACTGAGATAAACCAAATGTTGAGATCCATGTCTTATTTCTATTATAGAAAAGATTACACATATTAATTTGGTGTTAAGAGATACGACAACTATGAACAAAATAATTGTATCATACTATTCATGAAATTCATTTTTATCACATATGTATATTTCAGAAAAAGAAGACACTTAAAGAGGGAGGCTGTGTTATATAAAAATGGGATGTGGTTCATCGACAGTAGGGGTTGGAGATCCCGAAACAAACATCCTGAATAAGGTGGAAAAACAGCCACCAAATCATGCTGTGAAAAATGGACACACTTCACCAATAGGAGAAGAGCCAAAGAAGAAGAAGGAAAAGAAATCCACAGATTCCAATGCAAACATAGAGAATGCTGATTCGAATAATCCAGGTATGTAGGGCATTGACATCTTACTCTATGTTCGGATCTCTTTGATACCAGACAAAATTCTTGTTTCAGTAGAACTGAACTGTTTGACATATATAATCTATACTAAGTCAAAGCACAAAAGAAACTGTAAACAGCTTTATATAATCAATGACATGCTTCAATAGGGCAATAATTCAACACAAGCACTGCCCACACAGTTATTAGCCAATCTGGAAATATTAGTCTGCTAGTAGATTTTATTCAGTTTAAAGGATCCGGAATAAAAAAATAATTTGAGTGTTGACCATTCAAATGACAAGGAATTACTTGCGAATGATTTATTTTGGAATATCTCTATTAAGATACAAAAAAACTTGAGGTCCATCAAGGATAAATGAGTTCACGTTGAAAATTATTTGTTTGGATTCCAAATTTAGTATTTTGATGAAAGTAGGCAGGGAGGCTCTGGAGTTAATTATCTTTCTGTAAAGATTGTCAGTAAAACAGAATTTAAAAAATTGTTTTAGAAACAAAACTTTTGCAATGCTTGTTGAAAAGTACATACTTGTATCATTTGTATATAACTGCATCCAAAAATGAATAAAACAAGTAGTAAGATCAGATCTTAAACTCAGATTCGATGTCTATGTTTTTCCACTCCACAGAAATATTCTCATTCAGCATGTCTGTGTTTATAGGGAAGTTGCTATGTACTGTACAATGCAATAGCACTTTCAGATCCCATAGTAAATACCATTGAGCTGCACCTAGGTGCCCTTAAGAAGTATCAGTTGCTATGTACTTACCATATATAGGCAAGATGAAGTGTCATTGCAACGATGTTTCATATTTTGTTTATCGATTTTCTCACCTAATATCATTGCGACCATCAATATTTTATTCTAGTGTGTGGTTGTACAAATAGGCGTCTATTTCCCATTGGCATGTTCTAGCCAGGTAATATGTATTCAAACTGTATCTGTATTAAAACATGCATGGGATGACAGCGCCGATGTTGTCCGTAACACATGTAAATGTTTCCGTTGCTAAGATATTGTATTTACCGAAGCCCTACCCTTCATGAGCATCAATAAAATGTATCAGCTTTTTGTTCAGTTCTCAAATATTTTTTGTAGCTGAAATTACTGACAGCTTGAATCTCATTTGAGTAAGCAGAAATTCTGTGTTGTATTTAACTATTTCACTTGGGAAAATTGAATACTAGAACTGCTATATTGCGTTTCAGAGTTACGACTGACTGACTGACTGAGTTTTGGTTTTATGCCACTTTTAGCAATATTCCAGCAACATCACGGCGGGGGACACCAGAAATGGGCTTCACACATTGTACCCATATGGGGATTCGAACCCGGGTCTTCGGCGTAACGAGCCAACGCTTTAGCCAATAGGCTACCCCACCCCCCTCAGAGTTATGAAAATCAATTTCAACTACTAAGGTTAAATTTTGACAAGGATAATAAGATAGATAACAACAAGTTCTTCTACAGAACAATTCAGACTTCGGCACTCAGCCAGGGACAATTATTATTTTTTATGACTCCTGATAAAAAAAATATACATGTGTTACTCATGAGGGCCTGACATGTTTTTCAGACCTGTAATTAGTTGTAAAAAAACTCATCTTTTTAATGAATCCATCAGGTTTAACGATGAAGGAGAAGAATTCCAAAAGAAATAATGCAGAAATAGTTTTCACTGCATATTATCTGTAAATTAAACCAAACTGTCAAAATTAACATGACTTATTACATTTGTTGTCAAGAAAGTACATGTACAGATTCACAGACAGTCAGAATGGAATGGCTGCCCGACAACATGCTCTTAACTGCTACATGAATAATGGACTGTGTTCCCACCAACATGGAAACAAAATCTGATCTCCAAGGATGTAGTATCGATGTTCATTGTATGCATCACCGAGATGCTATTGTCCGGAACCTGCTATTGTCAGGAAGCAGCTATTGTCCACTCAACTCGTGACTTGCTGTGGCATTGTGACTGGTCAGCGAGCGCTGTTGGTCCACTGCTAGTCTCCCTTGTCAGGGAGAATCAATTAAAAAATATATCCAACTCAAGTCTAGGCTGATTTGCCCAGATGTCTCTGCTGTGAAATTATACCTTGTTTGGACTCAATGGGGATTTTATTTTATACCGTGTAAATAAATGTTTTATCAGATAATACATACAGCGTATAATCTCGAAATTTCTGTTTTATATGCAAACATAGAATAAGAAGAGGTTCTTTATTTTCTAAAATACACATTACAATCAAACCTTTCCTCATGGATGGTCATTACATAATAAAAAGTAATACAAGTTTGTGTAATGTGAATAATGTGAATACAAAATATTTGTTTTCGTATGTTTATTTTTGTTACTTGTGCAAGTAATTTGTTACAAGTTTATGTCTGTTTTGGTTATGGCCAGTACACCTGTCTCTAGAGCTGATGAGTGAGTGAGTTTAGTTTAATGCTGCACTCAGCAATATTCTAGCTATTTGGCGGCGGTCTGTAAATAAAGAGTCTGGACTAGACAATCCAGTGATCAACAGCATGAGCATCATTCTACGCAATTGGGATACGATGACATGTGTCAACCAAGTCAGCGAGCCTGACCACCCGATCCCGTTGGTTGCCTCTTACGACAAGCATCAATTCTAACCTGGATCTTCACAGGTCCTAGAGCTGGTATTATTACTGTGTCTCTGTGTTTCAGTCCCAAAGAGTGTTGCATTTGAAGTGGCTTTTGACAACAAACTGCTACTGAAGAACCCTCCTCGCAGATTACAGGTAGTTCAATGTTTATTTTGATTATTCACCAGTGATCTTTGTACTACGTGAACACCTGACTCTTAAATATGGTTGAAGGGTCCAGTGGGATAAAGAGGAACACATTTTGTGGATAGACAACGCAATAGATGAGATGTTTGGTGTAGCTGCTAACACCTAAATCGTGAGTGAGTGAGTTTAGTTTTACACCACACCCAGCAATATTCCAGCTATATGTCGACGGTCTGTAAATAATCGAGTCTGGACCCGACAATCCAGTGATCAACAGCATGAGCATCGATCTGCACAATGTGGATCAAGCTAGTTGGATAGTAGTCAAACAGTTTTTCTTGATTTCCACATTTGGGCGACCAATTGTTAAGAAAAATAGAGGTAATCATTCTTTCATTTTATATTATTATTCAGTGAAATTCTGAATCATCATGGGGCGATGGGGTAGCCTAGTGGTTAAAGCGTTCGCTCGTCACGCCGAAGATCCGGGTTCGATTCCCCACATGGGTACAATGCGTGAGCCCATTTCTGGTGTCTCCCGCCGTGATATTGCTGGAATATTGCTAAAAGCGGCATAAAACCATACTCACTCACTCTGAATCATCATATACTTTTGAGATAAGATATATGTGATTGATAAGAGACAGAGAGGCTCTTCAGGTTATTTCAATACAACTTACAGAAGTAGTTCAATGAGGATAGATAATCTGTACTTTCTCGTAGCTTGTAAATTGTTAAAGTCTTTAGAAGTGATACACATTAAGGCAAAAATTAATGGATGTCAACTTCATTCACCTGATGAAGGAGTAAGAATATATTCCAAAAAGAAGTTGAGCTCCATAAATTCTCTCCTTTTTGTAAATTGTTCTCGAAGTGTATCACTGTTGCCCTCAACTCATGACATTGTCTGAGTAGTTTCGTGTATGTTTACAGAAATTAGCCCCTCTGAATGTTCAAAAAATGACGCCTGAGTTGTTGGCGGAGAGGCAGAAGTTGGCAGAAGACAAGAGGGAGAAGGCAAGTCTCAATCTTTTCACCATCTTGACACTCTTTCTATTGTTAGGTGGTGAACAATGTCATCAGCAATATTCCAGGTGTATGACTGCAGACTGTGATAAATGAATGTGGAACATCAAACCAGTGATTGCTATTATGAACAATGACCTGTTTGGTTATAAGACCTGAAGTCAACCAAGCCACTGAGATTGCTGAAAAAATATTCTAACCTGCAGGAATATTAAGTTCTTTGAAAGACATGTTTAGAAGTTGGAGAATCAGATAAAGACAAAACTTTATTGATGAACAACTTCTTTATTCCGAAAAGTTTTGTCCTTATACAGGAATATTGACACTGATGGTTCAGTGGCCACTGCTTTGGCTTCGAGGGGTTTGCAGGGGCGGATACAGCTTTTTGAGAAAGGGGGGTGCACAGTTCTATTTTACCCGTTTTTACGAGAGTTTCAGTGGTCATTTAATAAACTTTCAGGACAAAAGAGGGGAGGTGTACCCTTGCTACCCCCCTCTGGATCTGCCTATGGTTTGATTCTCCTCAATGTTTGAAGCCCATTTCTGGTGTCCATTAACGTTCTGTTTGGGGGTAATTGCTCAAGGCATCGGTTTACATTTCATTCCTCATTCACCTGGCTGATATCACTTGTTAGTATGTATCAATCCGATAAATACTGTTCATGAAAATGTATCTACAATAAGAAGTAACTCAACATGCCGTTGTTGTAGGAGTTGCAGAGGAAGGTCAGCGCATCGCGGAAGTCGTCCAAGCGACGGAGGGAGTTGATGAGGGCCAAGGAGTTTGAACAGCAGCAACAACTACAGCAGGGAAGTCAGGTTGGTTATATTTTCTGAATGGGTTTGGAAGATGAATTTTAAACGTACTTATCACGTTATAAACTGGACACTTGTCTTTATGGGCCATGTCACATCTGACCTATTTCTTTGACCACCAAGTCAAGTCTATTTCTGTCACGGATGTCTTATGCAAGTCCTGTCCATCAGATATTCTTACAAAAGTAGCAGATTAATAGAATTGCTTCATTTGAAAAGTTGCAATGGCAACAACATGATCCTTAACAAGACGTGTACAGCTTCCTTACAACTACCTATAACCCATGTTGATTTTAAGATTTGTGATTTGCAGAATTCAGTGTTATGCTTTTGCTTTTAACTCCTTTTCATGAATGTATGGTCAGTGTGATAATGATCAATAAATATATACTTGTGATAGAAACAGAAAAAAACACCATTTAAATTGAAAAGGAGATCCAGTGAGTCGGGAGATCCTGATCCAGAGGAAAGTCTAGACTTGCTTCATATAGGGTTTGGCAATGTAGGTGGAAGGGAAAATAATTAGGTTTAGGTACTGTGAGACAGATCAAGTGTCCTCGTATCAATAGTCAGCTTTAACTGTGTCCATCAGATTGACGAGCAGCTGAAGATGGCTGAGGTGAAAAGAGAAGCCAAGTTGGAGGAGGTCCGTGTACGTCAGAGATTAAAAGAAGAACGAGCCAAGCGAGCAAGAGAAAAGGTCAGAATATTTCAGAAAGTTTCCTAATCCTATTTTGAAGGATTTAATCAATTTTATATTAAAACTTAAAGCCCAGTTTAAGGATTTAACAACTGGACATGATTTCCATGAACCTCTCCTCCATTAAATTATCAGGTTTTGTTTCTTTATTTCAGGCAAAGAAGTTGAATCAAGATAATCCTGATGTTGATCTGGAGGTGGAGAAAGATGATCATTACAATGCAAGTGACGGTAGGTGCACAATCTCACAGAGTTGTCTTCCTTGCAAAATAAATCTTACAGAGTTGTCTCCCTTGCAGTGTGACAGTTTGGGCTTTTAGTATGTATGTTCATCTGAAAAATATCTTAACCTCAAATTTCAGTTTGATTATCTTTGGCTTAAGGATTAAATAAACTGTAGCTGTTAGCTATAATTGCTATTCAAATCAATAAAACTACATGTAGTTAAAATTAATTTTACTTCGTCCAACAGCTGTATCTTTGGAATATTTTGAATAATAAGTCTTTCACAGTTGTCTCTGAGAGAAGTGACGAAGATTTTACTGTAGAAATGGTTGTCATCCTGCCCATTAGATGTTTAAATTACTTCCTTCATACAGCATTTTAAAAGCAAAACTCACTCAGTCTGTTACCTTTGCACCTGAAAATAGATTCCTGGGGATCAGATGGGGAAGGAAATCACGCTTACTTCGGAAGTCCCATGAAGAAATCTCAAAGGGACCTCCATCCAACAGCTAGTGCTAGCACCGTCGACAGTTTTGACAATGCATTCATGCGAAGACCCAACGAGGAGAAACCTCTGACAACAAAAGATGATTTCTTTGATTCATGATACTAAAAGTCTTTCACATACTAATCTGTATGATATCCTGAAACCAGATATCCTGGCTTGGTTGTATTGCATGTCTCCTGTGTTTGTGTAGACTATCCTGTTTTCTTCTTCTGTGTAATGTCCAATATTCTGATCTGTATGATATCTTGTTCTGTATGATATGTGTGTGTGATCTGTATGATGTCATACCTGTAGATATCCTGATCTGTATGATGTCATACCTGTACATATCCTGATCTGTATGATGTCATACCTGTGTGATTTACCAACCTGTTTGAGGTTATACCTGTATATTTTCCTGATCTGTATGAATTGTCATATCTGTGTGATATCCTGATCTGTATGATGTCATACCTGTGTGATATCCTGATCTGTATGATGTCATACCTGTGTGATAGCCTGATCTGTATGATGTCATACCTGTGTGATAGCCTGATCTGTATGTCATACCTGTGTGATAGCCTGATCTGTATGTCATACCTGTGTGATATCCTGATCTGTATGTCATAACTGTGTTATATCCTGATCTGTATGATGTCATAGTTGTGTGATATCCTGACCTGTGTGATGTCATACCTGTATATATCCTGATCTGTATGATGTCATACCTGTGCAATATCCTTGCAGTATGATGTCATACCTGTGAGATATCCTACCCGTATGATGTCATATCTATGTGATATCCTAGCAGTATGATGTCATACATGTATGATATCCTATTCTTAAAGGTTGTTCAGTATAATAGCTCGTTCTGCAGGATATCTATGCTGTGGTAGCGTCTTTCAAGGGTAGCAAAGTATTTATGGCCAGTAGTATTCAAAAAGGTCTATCACATAGGTCTGTGAATATGTGTGTGTGTTCCCTTCAAAACTTGTACCAACTATACCAATCAATCAAAACTAACAGATGAGAGTGCATGAACAGATAGCACTGAATGACTGAGTGGAATGACTTATCAGAGTTATATTTATTGTTGGAAATGAAATTTATGCAAAAGATTATACTATATTCTTAGCCCATATGTCTTTATATTTTATGATAATATTCAGTCGGTCATATAGTATTACAATGTATTTTAAGGAAGTCATAGCCATAGACTGTTGTCTTAAATTGATTCATGTTGATTTAAATAATGTTGGGTTTGATTGTTTTTTTAAATATCACAGATAGTGAGCGTTGCAGTTATGTTTCTTTTCATTGTTTATAGTGTTGTCATGGTAATGAATATTTGAGAATCAAAAGTTAACTGTAATGGCTTCCTGATATCATTGTGATATTCATTTATTTCAAATCGTAGATTTATTTTTTTCACATGTTGATGTTAACATGGACAGTTAAGAAACTGTTTTAAGCCTTCAGTAAAAGATGTCATTCATATGAACTCAATGTGAAACTGATATATTTATTCATTTAAAACTTTTTTTTAAAGTGTTATCATGTAGTTTTATCAATTTTATTCCAGATTCAAAACCAATTTGAAGTTGAACAGAGAGAAAACACTTATTTTATTTGCATTTTATCCATTTATGCTTATAATTTATTATATATGTAAATATGTTTTTTCATATTCACGTCACACTCCTGATGGTACCCTCTGTATATATAGTATATGAAGTGTTTATAAGATCATGCTCAAATTTTTATTTTACACATTTCTATAATACAGAAATTATATTTTACACATTTTTACAACAAAAATCATGAATGATTGACTGTAACATATTCTTATTCTGATACTGTTTTCCTGAAGGTTAGTTGACAGTACAATGGAGTTGTCAGTACAATGAAATGGTCAATGAAAACTGAAAGTAGCTGTATCTGAAGTTCAGAACATAGAATAGGTCACAATATCAAGTCTGAAATTTATGCTTCAAATTTGTAAAAAAACAACAGCATAATGGCTTTAGCCGGTTAAAATTAATTCGTCACTTTGTTTAATCTATCATAGCCACTGATACGTATTAATATTGTCTAGTAATTATCCAAATCAGTGTAGCCATGATTGTAACAAGTGATACCTAGGTCCAAGGTTGATGCTATCGTCCTCATGGTTTGGTAGACTGTCAGTTTTACCTGATGTCATGGCAATGCATACTATAGAAATGATAAAATATATAGAAGAGACTTAAAGGTGGTTTACAAATACACATAATATTTTCATAGCAACGGCGTAGCTTCAACTAAAAATGTTATGATCCACAAATTATTATGTAAGACAGGTGTTACAGCCTAGTTCTACTTACGTCTATATGCAGTCGTTGTCAATCAGCTGATTGTGTGCTTATAAACATGCAATGTGTTCTGTCTAAAGACAATGTACTAAACAGAGAGAAAAGTTCACATAAAATATCTTTGAACAAAATGAACTTGCCAAGTAATTGTTAGGTTTCATGTGCTCCGTACTATGATATCACTATTTCAGAAATATCTGCTTGCTGTTACCAAGATTTCTTGAAACGTTGTAATGTTCAAATGGAACTATATCTGATTTCTCTTGTGTTCTCAACAAAACCTTAAACAATGACTCTCTATGTAACATTTACACTACATTTGTCATATCTCTGTAGTATTAGTGTCACAAAAAAGCAAATCTATGTCTATGATATCAAGAGCCAAAAGAAATATTATCATTGCCTAAATACTTTTACATTGACATACATTCATAGCGCCAAAATCCCATTGTTGAACTGGTCTTGAATACTATACAATACTATACAAACTGTCAGTGGATTTATTGATATTTTATATCACATATGTACACATCTTGAAGGATATTTCTGTACAACTGTTTTACGTTGAAAACAGATTCACCAGTTTGTATTGTAACAATTGATGAATTATTAAAGATTTACTTTCCATGACTGTAAATACAATGTCTGTGTGTAAATGTTCACCAAATTAGGCCATTATGAATTACTACATTGTCATCTATTTTGCCTGTCAAGTGAGAAAATGGAATTGTATTTGACGTCTTTTAAGGAAAATAAGATAAAATCTGATACAATCAAACCACACACAAAAGGCAACATATGTTTCGTGACTGGTTGAAGTCATGGTGGCTGAGCGGGTTAGGCAGCTGACTTTGTATGCTAGCGATTTGGTGCCTGACTCTGAGGGTGTGGGTTCGAATCCCAGATGGGATTCAACCCAAGAAAGTACTAGAATTTGTACTTTACTAAGAAAGTGTAATCCAAAATATAACATATGTTGCATTTGACCACTTTCCAAATGGCATTGTGTAATCACACACACAAAATGTTTTGAGCAAAGATTTTCAAGGATAGATGTTGCAGCTATTCAAATTGGTTCTCGTTGTTTTATGGCTGAAATAAAGCTGATGCAATGCAAATTTTAATTAACTCGCTAAAGACAGGAAGCCATGATGATGAAAATATGGTGGTCAATGTATTCTGGCCTAACACTATTGTGTCAAAACTGTTTACATGTTCACTTAATGCCCAAATCTACACATGAATATTTTACTAATCTGTGATGACAGGGTAGACCATTTTTATGCACTTACCTCCATATTGACGATTATCCAGGGTAGGACATCTCCAGTCTGTTAGGATATACATCCAGGGGGCTGTTGGACAAAATAACCTTAGCTAAGGCTACCTTACATCTATGTTAAGGTATGGGAGTTAAGGTCACCTTAGCTAAGATCACTTTGTACAACGGCACCCTGGTCCTATTCACCACACAAGTTTTGAGTCTACTACAAATCTCAAAACTGCCTATTAAATTACACTGTTGTTTTGTAATTAAAACGTGGCGATTTCACCAGCTTGACTTTTGCATACCATCTCAGATATAGCCAGAATGTATTGTACAAATTGTAGCATATGACATTCTTCATTTTTCTCAGGAAAACATATTTTCCAAAAGCAGTTGTCATTAATAAATAGTTTTCGATATTAATGAATATGTTCAGGTGTCATTCTTCTGAGACCAGGATTATAAATGTAGATCAATACCAAATTAGCATCCAGAAGAGGCACTTGTAGATTTTAAGGACAAAGAGAGAAACTCAGTTCTCAGTTAGAGATTCAGCTGGTCAGACACTTACAAACAAAGCTTTCTGGGGAATAGTTCCATGTTGTATATCATAATAGAAGGGGTACCTGCTACACTGGATATTCAAGGATGATTGGATACTTTGTTCAATATGTAATACCAAAACAGCCATAGAATATTTTCCTGTGTGAAAGCAACCAAAAAGAGCAAGTGTGTGATAAAGGATGAATATGATTATTTATTGAATGTGCACCTTATGCCAAAATCTGTGTATTTTTACTCATATTCTGCGACTTGTAATTGATGCAGTTGATTTGCCAAATGTCTATACTTACAGTGTACTACTAAAGAAAGTTACGAGGCGGTAATCAGTTCGTGATTGTTGAATGGGGTAAAATAAGCAAGCCAGTTTGTTGCTACAATAAATATGATATTTAGAGAAACAAAATATATTATGCATTTTCTGTCAACTACACTTCGTTTCGATCCGTGAGTAGACGCAATATTTCTTTGAATAATGTGGACCAAAGTTATAATTATTGGTAACTGCCAGTTGTCTATGGTCTGTGTTTGCCGCGATTAGGACCCCATCGCGGGGGATCGACTTATGCACGAAACATACCATTTTGACACTGATTTTAAGGGTCAAGTTTGGGGGTCGCCTTATCCATGGGGTTGTCTTATAGACGGTCATATACGGTAAGCATCTCCTAAATCTTTCGTATTTCTATAGTTAATTTGTCATCAAGATGATCTGACAAGTCTCATTAAGCATAGTAACATGACAGAATCGATTCATCTGAATTCATTTTCTGTGGTATATATGTATTTGGTATCTCAGACAAATTTTGTGTTTCTTGTTTAGACATTTCCATGTTGAGGTTTTCAGATGCAGAAGGCTGACTACCGGTAACTATAAACTTTTACGATTTTTACTTGAGTTCCGTTTCATGAAAACAACTACTTAAATAATAGAATTTAAAACTCATATTGGCAGCTCCAATTACGAGTATTACGTAAGGGTAGGGGTCGTGGTGTAGCCTAGTGGTTAAAACGTTTGCTCGTCACGCTAAGGGTCCAATTTCAATTCCCACAATGTGTGAAGCCCATTTCTGGTATCCCTCACCATCTGATATTGCTGGAATATTGCTAAAGTGGCATAAGACCTGACTCACTCACTTTGTAAGGGTAACACCATTTTTCAAGATATTATTTGACAAAACACAGTAGTTGTCAATAACTGGTTGATGAAGGAAGGCAGTTGAATAGAATGATGCTTCTGAAGCTAAGGCGACTGGGCTTATACTTAGGTCTGTGCTTTTCATCAATTTTAAAATCCTTCGATGACCCAGGTGAACATATTTTGACCGTGGTTGACCAGTTTTATCACATGTTTACTGATTGAACCCACCTTGTGATATTGTTGATCACCTACCTCACAGTATTGTCTACTTTTCAAATGTTCAATGATATGTGTTATGATAAACTGTAAGCAGTCTGTTTCCAATATTAATATAAAAATATAATACATTGATCTACAATCTTTTCTCACTTTCCATGGTGCATTCAAAATGCATAAAAATTACTGGAAACATTTTGTTTTTAACATATTTTTAGGATTGCATATACTTCGTTTGCTTGTTCATGGTTTTTGAGACATTATATACATGTGATAGAATAATAGAGACAGCTTTAGTTCATTGTTTGATTGAATTAAATTGTTAGTACTTCTTAAAGTCTCACCCTAATTTGTTCAGTAAAACTTCATTCTCAATTTTCATTTCACTAAGTTTTACTGGAAATGTAAAAGAATATTGTTACCTGAATATATTTCAAATTTTATTGCCTTCTCATCAATTGTTTACAAAACTCTGTTGTCAAATGAAAAGGAGATGTATTTGAGAGGTTTTAACATTTTGTAGAATAAGTATTTCTAAAATCTATAAAAAACTGACCTTCCCAGCTGATAAGGACAGTGGGGTCGCCACATTAATGTTTTGCAGGAAGACATGTATTCCTTTTTTGAGAGAACACCATAATTTCCAAATGTTACTATATTTATTTGTTATATTGTCCAATTTGTTTTCATTTGCTATTAATTTTATCAATATTGAATGAAACTGTTTGCAACAGATATGTCATTTAATATGGGTTAATAAGATCCAAAGTCATGTGTGCTTAGATATTTGAAATGTTTGTTTGGATTATTAAGTTAAGTAGATTGTTGCATTGAATTTGTGTTTTATTCTGTGATACAAATAGTTTGTTAATTATCTAGCTGGGAAAAATACTTTTCAAGCAACTCTGTAGTTGTAAATGACTGTTAGTTGATGATTGTAGTGAAATTTGAATTGAAACACCAGATACTTGAATAAATTATCTATGCCCAGTTTGTGTGAATTGGTTAAACCAAATATATACACCCAGAATATTTTGATGTAGCTTCCGTACACACAGAATTTATACAGTTTAGTTGTATTTTGTAAGTTGATTTTTAATTGTAAACCAGAAATATTCTAGTGCCTTTTGTTATTTAGAACATGTATACCCTAGGAATATAGCCCATTATTAGAATCATTGAGTCCATGATACTTGATGTGTAAGATCAACAAAACTTGAGTGCAAAGAACATTGTATAATCTGTTATTGGATGCTTAGGAAGTGAAAATGGTTTCATAATTTGGATTTCACTCATATGTACAATGCCAAACTGCTTCAACATTTTATATTTCAGTCAAGTTTTCTCAATCTAAATCTCATTCACAATGCTCCCTTTTTCAGTACAATTTGCCACTTCTTGCATATCCCAAGGCAGGTAACTCTAACTGCACTTTTATGCAAGGGGGACAACTGTACAAATATTAACTTCTAAATTGTATTGTCAATTTTGATCACTCCAAAATTGTTAAAAAAGAGTGAAAGACATGTACTTTCTTTTCCTAATCATGAAGGCTTTAAATTATTAAATGGCTAATAATTATATATTTCCCATTTTCATGTCAGAATACAGATTTGTTTTTCACAAAGTTTCAGCCAAGTTTGTTTCTCACTGGCTGAAATTGTGTCATATCTGCTGTAATTGTCATGTTTATTTTGAAATCGTCTCAGCTTGTTAATATGTGTCATGTTAATTGTTAAAAACGAATGGATTTGTGTGTCCATTCCTGAAGTTATGTAATTTGTACTCTGAAATCATGGTTCAATTAAAGGAAGTAATACCCTGGAGGTATTATCCGAAACTAGCAGTATTATGTATGGAGGTGAAACGATACAACAGTGCATCGTTGCATCACAAGGTTTCATAAAAGTTACTGTGCATTTGTTTTGTATCAATACAAAGTGATACACTTGCAAGTTGACACTTGTTTATGGACACTCTTCAAACTCTGAGTTTTGTCAGTGAAATACTGCAAGATTAATTGTAACGAGTGTTTAATTTTACAACATGCCTCTACAGTTGCCTTTGCCAGTCGAACCTCCTCTAAAATATTCAGTCAACAGGCTTTCTGTGTCTTGACCTTCTTGTATCGTTTCACCTGTAATTGTGTATGGTAATGTCTCGGGGTGGAACTGAGGACCTCTCACCTGAGATAGTCATTCCTCCAGGAGAGGCACTGCTTCTGTCACCTCACTCACCTGGTGCTGGCAAGCATACTGTGTTCTCAATAAATGAGTGAAGTTGACTTGTTGTTATTTTGTTTATGGTGACCAGCGTGTGAAGGTTTCACTCCACTGGATACCTCTCTGTCGCGATCTCATTATCTCTCCATATGAGATGAATTCTGACTGCTAAATCAATATTTTCCCTTTTGAACTGCCTCTGTATTTTCATTTTTGAAATACATATCAGATTGACGGATCTGAAGTTTTTGACTGGCTGTGAATTGCTACATTCTAATTGGTGATTAGAAAGTTCACATTACATGACTTCCCATAATGCATTTGTAAGATACTGCCAGAGAAGCATTGAATCTTAATGTGATAAACATAGGAGTGGCTTTCAGTGATATCACTAAGCTTTGATCACAGGCCAACAGGAGGGGTATAAATGTGTCCCCAGAATATTTAGTAATATAATGCAGATATGAAAGCTTTCAGTGATATCACTAAGCTTTGATCACAGGCCAACAGGAGGGGTATAAATGTGTCCCCAGAATATTTAGTAATATAATGCAGATATGAAAGCTTTCAGTGATATCACTAAGCTTTGATCACAGGCCAACAGGAGGGGTATAAATGTGTCCCCAGAATATTTGGTAATATAATGCACATATGATCAGATGAATTTTATTCACATTATAAATGCTGCACTAAGGTTTGATCGGGAGGGGTTAAATGTATTAACTTGATCAGATGCACAGTCACCCTTTAGGCACAGTCACCCTTTGGTCTCAGGGCACACTTTGCTGCCCAGTTGCTTTTCAAGGTTTATATAAGGATCTGATAGTGACGACTCGTTGATTGCAACCACCAAATTCCTTTAAAGTTGCAAATATCTAATTCCTAGATCACTTGGGCTTTGCTCCCACAATGACTTCATATGCCATGATACAACAGAAATACTGTTCAAAGTGGCATTAGATCACTTGCACTTTGGTTCTTGAAAGACAATGTACATATTTACCAGTCATTACACTTCCCTCTTTTGGAAATCATTACTAAACTCCAAATGTCATTTAATAAGTTTTATTTTGTTATTTTGAGATATACATGATGAAAACATGGAATTGGAATCATGAACAGGTATTTCAAAAAGTAGAATACATGAAACAAATGGAATCATGAAAATATCTCAAAATGTAGACTACATGAAAAAATGGAATCATGAACATATCTCGAAATGTAGAATACATGAAAAAAATGGAATCACGAACAGGTATCTAAAAAAAATAGAATACATGAAAATGGAATCTGCATGAAAATTGAAGAAGCTACCTGATTATTCAGACAACATAGACTAGTGATACAGGCATGTTGAGCCTCTGTAAGACCTACTCCTACCTATACTGAAGCAGAGGTACATGCTACATATTGAACATATTATATTAGTGATTGTGGGTGTGTGGTCAGTTGTCATGGAGACACTGGGGAAAGTGGGTACTAGAAGTTGTCCTATGGCCCTGGGACAAAAATAGTTATGTTGTAACCACTGCGGCAGGGGGCACATAACTGTGTTGCAGCAATGGGGTGAGTGGCTGCTTGTGCTGTAGCCATGGGTATTTTTGGTGTAATCCTAGGGGAGCGGGTACTTGTCAGTAGGCCTTGAGAGTGGGTACTTGTGAGCAGGTCTTGGGAGTGGGTACTTGTGAGCAGGCCCGGAGAGTGGGTACTTGAGAGCAGGCCTGGAGAGTGGATACTTGTGAGCAGGCCTGGAATGTGGGTTCTTGTGAGCAGGTTGGGTCATAAAGGTAAATGCACTGTGCAGGCAAATGACATCTCTGAGTCACTGTGCAGTGCACAGGTAACTATCATGAGTTGCACGTGCATGGTTACTTTTATGACCCAACACTGCCGCTGTTACAGGTCATTGGCTCCCTCCCTCTGCCAGCAGTCTGCGTTCTGCTGTTTATTTTGTTGACAGTTACATAGACAGATTCTTTAATACAAATGCATAAAATCGGTGATTTCCAATGTGATTAGGTTGTCTAACAAAACATCCACTTGCACAGTTTGAGATCGATTGGGTCATTGGATGAAGAGATATTTACAAAAACCGGGTCCACATGCATTTCATGCCAAACTATGACTGTTCTATCCTTGGTGAGATCTGATACTTGTAATGTGACACTGAGCACAGCTGGTACTCGTGCTGAGAGATGATTCAAGATGAGAGTGGACACTTCCACTGCAGAGATACTGGGTACTTACAGCCCTGGAGTGAAGCATCATTTGATCCTTGAAAATATACTCTATAGGTTATATGAAGAGTTAACAGGGACACATCAAATGCAAAATATTATCACAGACTTGTAAGAAAGGATTGATGTTGAAAATATTGCATGTAATACCATATCAAAGAATCATGTTCAAATCGACCACACTAAGCCACAACACACACATTAGTAAACACAGCATGCACTTGGTACTACAATTGAAATGGCAAATAGTGGTGGGAATCGGTTGAAATTTCATAATCAATTATCGGTTGCTATCGGATTGTCCCATTGATTGTATAATCGGTTACACTGATTAAGAATTAAATATCCTTAACAACTTGTGGAATTCCCAGGTAAACATTGAACTCTGTTACAATACTGCAATACTGTGTATTTGTCATTTTTTAAATTATGTGATAATAGTGAGCATTAAATGAAATATATCAGCTTTTGTGGTTGGTTTCTGTGAAAAACGTGACTTGAGGGGGCATCTACAAGAACCCCAAAACTCCCGAATATAATATGTTTCATAAGTTTTAATTGTCATTTGAGGCAAGATTGTACAAAATCACAAACAACCCAAGTCTACATTGATCAACAAAAAATGTGTACAAAAATAAATACTGACAGGCTAGCAAGATATATACTACCCATCAAAAGTTTAGACTCACATGTATATATATATGGTAACATCGAAGACGTGGTCTCCTAACTTGGGGGAAACAAACTGCAAACCTTATGCAGATAAATTGCATGAGGATCGTATGTAAAGCCGGGAATTAGCAATCAGCTGTGAACACGCTTCCTGGTGATCTAGTTAAAACATACCCAATAATACAACGGAATGAATTCCGACGCAGTGAACATCTAAAACTATTATTTTACCAAGAGAAATATATCTTAGCATTGTGTAATTTTACTTACAGGTTTTGCTCTTTAAATGTAAAATATGTATATCAATACTAAGGTTATATGGACCCTCACGAACATGGTAAGCTGAAGTTGTATGTGCATGGAATGAGGTGAAATACACATGCCAGTTTGTTGTGATCGCCAGCTGCAATAAATATGTCATTTTGCAAAACGAAGTACTATATATATGCGTATCCATTTTTACACTTCATTTTGAGGCGTGAGTAGACACAATATGATTGTGATTTCTGTGAATAATAGAAGTTATAATTATCGGTAACTGCAAGTTGTCTTGGGGTCTGAGTTGGGTATTCATCGCTGTTTTTGTAAGTATTATTAGCGACAATCGATTATGAAATTTTGCAATAGATGATCGCATCGGAAAAGGGTAACCGATCGGAACACCACTAATGGCAAACAATATATTGATCAATTGCATCAATTAAGAATAGGCAAACATTATTGCAGTAATCAAGCCTGAAATCAGATATTAGTTAGTCACTCTTAAAAAGAAGGAGGAAATATATTTTCTTGAATATGAAAGAGTCACACCACCAGCAAGGAACATTAAAAGAAAAATACAAGGTGTGTAGCGCTAAGAGCCAAGGCATACAAATACAAGACTGGGGTTTTCCTTTGCATCAAAGAAGATTTTTCAGCATGTAAAATATTACATCTCAAACAACAGAAACAATAACAATAATTATAAAAATGTCAAACTCACTGATTCCTACAGCTGACACGTGAGAATAAAGACAGCTGAAAATACTGACTTCTATTTATGAAATGATTCTGATAAAAAACAACTTCGTTGCTGAAATGTTGCTCAGTCAACTTCTTCCATCCTTGATGCATCATCTTCATCTTCATCCCCTTCAAGTGGTGGCATCTCATCCGTGCCAGATTCTACTGCAACTTCTGATGGGATATCATCTTCATCAATTCCTGGAAATAAAAGAATAAAAGGTAAGGATAATGTCAGCTTTACGAAAACTGGATGCTATTCCAATTGTAAAAGGCTATTCCATTTAACATCAACACACAAAAAAATAAAATGGCACCAGTGGGTGAATGTCATTACTTGACCAAGGAACCGTCCCTAATAATATATCATTTCAAACAGACACTGATTCAGATATGAAACCAAACACCACTTACGCAGACATTGAAACCTGACAGAAAGCAAATTTCACAAACAAAACAACGATCTTCATTGGGATAGGGTTTGCTTCACATAGCTGTCTACATTCTACATATTAGCCATCTGAAATCATCCTACATTTTGTGAATTTTGTAATGAGAAAAACTATTCTTCCTTTGTACCAAGATATATATCTTGAATCATAACCTTCCATACCAATACATCTCTAAAAACAATCACCAAGAGCTTACCTAGACCCAGCTTGATCATCCTGTGTATCCTGTTGCCATGTGATGTTGGGTCTTCCAGGGAGAAGCCAGAGGCAAGGAGGGAGGTTTCAAACAGCAGCATGCACAGATCTTTCACTGCCTTGTCATTCTTGTCTGCAGCTGCCTTCTCCTTCAGCGTCTTCACAATGGGATGGTCTGGGTTGATCTCCAAGTGTTTCTTAGCTGCCATGTAGCCAAAAGAGCTGTTATCTCGCAGTGCCTGGGCCTTCATGATTCTCTCCATGTTGGCTGACCAGCCATACTGACTTGTGACAACACAGCAAGGGGAGGTAACCAGACGATTGGAAACCACAACCTAAAACAGACAAATCATCATTTATTCCACAAATACGGAAATCTACAAAAACAGAAATCCAACAAACTTTTCAATATATGTATTGGTATCTTTCACTACTAAATCCTCAAAGCCTTAACTTAACAGAGCCAGATTTGCCTTTTTGAAGCCCTTGTCAACACAGTAAACATCCAAGCATAATCTCTCAAAAGAGTCAAGAAAAGTAACTAACCTTTTCTACTTTCTTGTCAAGGATCTCCTTCATGACCTTGCACAGTCCTACAAACTGAGCCTTGGCCTCCTCCAGTTTCTTCTTTTCTTCCTCATCCTCTGGCAGTTCCAGACCTTCCTTGGTGACACACACCAAAGTCCTGCCATCATACTCCTTCAGTTGCTGAACACAGTACTCATCAACAGGGTCGGTCATGTAGATCACCTCAAATCCCCTCTTCTTCACTCTCTCAACAAAGGCAGAGTTCTGAACTGAGTCCTTGCTTTCACCTGGAATATGATACACCACAACTTAATTTGAGATGAATACCTCAAAATCAGAATTTTAAACTGTGAAACCCAAACAACGATCAATTCAGGAGTCTGATATTTTCCAGCACAGAATGTTCCTGTAGATAACAAGTCGCAATTCAAAAGGAATTCAACTGAGGCTTAAAAATCATATTCTATTATTCCACTAAGAATATTACCATGTAAAAATGTCAGAACATGTTACCAATACAGCCTAAGCACTACAAAATACCAAAATAATTGAATCATTAACAAGATATTTTATTGGTTGCTCAACTCAGTAATGATTTATCTATATGATGGAAATCTGTATAATAAAGAGTCTGGACCAGACAATCCACTGACACCATAAGCATTGATCTGTGCAATTAGGATATGTGATATGCATTACTAATTCATCCTGCTAGACAAAACAACCCTCTTGGTTGCCTAACAGGAGGTTCGTTGGTTGGCTTGTTGTTTAACACCGTACTCATTCCAGCAGTCTGTAAATAATAGAGACTGGACCAGACAATCCAGTGATAAACAGCATGAGCATCGATCTACGTCATTGGAATACGATGACATGTGTCAACCAAGTCAGCGAGTCTGACCACCCGATCCTGTTAGTGACCTCCTACGACAAGCATGGGTTGCTGTAAATCAATTCTAACCCGGATCTTCACGAGACCTAACTGGAGGTAGCCATTAGCACCAAATATAGAATTTGTTCACATTGTCAGCCCAGTTGGCAACCAAACAGAAAGGAAGAGGACTAGCATTTACCTGTGATGTAGTAGATGCTTTTCTGGTTTTCCTTCATGCGAGACACGTAGTCCTTCAGGGAGGTCACCTCGTTTCCTGACTTAGAAGTGTAGTATCGGAGCAGGTGTGACAGCTTCTTTCTGTTGGTGGAGTCTTCGTGGATACCAAGCTGAAACAAGAGACAAAATGACAAGTCAGGTCAACAAGTACACAATTCAACATCTCCGAACATTATACAACATCTCTGAACATTTGAGCTGCAAGCATACTGTTTAAACAGAAGTCGTACAAAAAGAAAATATGCTATTTAAAGACAATTTTTATTTGGTTCGGTTTGGTTGTTGTTAAACGCAGGATATTCCAGCTATATGATGGTGGTCTGTAAATAATCAAGTCTGGACCAGACAATCCAGTAATCAACAGCATGAGCATCGTTCTACCTAACTGGGATGCTATGACATGTGTCAACCAACTCAGCAAGCCTGACCACCCGAACCCGTTAGTCGCCTCTTACGACAAGCATGGGCTGCTGAAGACCAATTCCAACCCAAATCTTTACAGGTCTGAAGAAAATTTAACACAATGTTTGCCCATTGCACCATAAACAAATCACTGTACATGCCATTGCTTACCTTGAGTTTTTTGCTGAACTGTTCATAGAATTTCTTGAAGTTGTCTTTGTCTTCCATGATGTCATCAAAAAGTTCCATGCATTTCTTCACCAGATTCTTACGGATAACCTTCAGAATTTTGCTCTGTTGCAACATCTCTCTGGATATGTTGAGAGGAAGATCCTCAGAGTCTACTACACCACGCACAAAGTTCAAGTACTCTGGAATGAGGTCTTCACAGTTGTCCATGATAAACACACGTCTCACATACAGCTTGATGTTATTCTTCTTCTTCTTGTTCTCAAACATGTCAAATGGAGCTCGCTTGGGCAGGAACAGCAAAGCACGGAACTCCAGCTGGCCTTCCACTGAGAAGTGCTGAAATCACAGGAGAGAAACTGACACTGGCACTTCCACAAACATAACAATTATCCATTGTTACAATCCATATCATTTTCATGCTATTCTGATTTTTACACCCAAAAGAATTAGTTTCAGTGGATAATGAAAACTTGATTTTCTACCAAAACATATTTTTGGCAGTTCTCTATCAAATATATACCTTGACAGCAAGATGGTCCTCCCAATCATTTGTCAAGGACTTGTAGAACTCGGCATATTCTTCCTTGGTGATATCATCTGCATTTCTGGTCCACAGTGGTTTGGTCTTGTTCAGCTCTTCATCTTCTGTGTATTTTTCCTTGATCTTTTTCTTCTTCTTCTTCTTGTCTTTGCTTTTGTCTTCATCCTCATCAAGATCCTCTACCTTGGGTTTATCCTCATTCTGAAACCATATGCAACTTCATCCATTGAAACAAGAAAAGGTACAGACAATACAATAAACCTGCCTTTGTGTGCAACTGCTGCAAAACCATTCATTAAGTAGCTGAATTAACTGGAGTGGATTGTTCAGAAACCCACCTCTTCCTCATCTTCTTTCTTCTCCTCATCTTCTTTCTTCTCATCATCTTCTTTCTTCTCATCTTCCTCGTCATCAGACACCTCCTTCTCCCTCTCCTTTTCAACCATCAGCTTGATGGGGTAGCCAATAAACTGGGAGTGCTTCTTCACTGTCTCCTTGATGCGACGCTCCTCCAGATATTCAGCTTGGTCTTCCTTCATGTGAAGGATGATTCGAGTCCCACGAGGGAGGGTGGGATCTAAAATACCAGGATAAAATAAAGTCATTTCAATCCCCACGGTTAAACACATGCAGTAACACAGTGACAATCATTCTGATCAATCACAAACCTAGGCTTAAATCATATTCTAAGATGCCTAGCGGTTAGAACAATCGAAAAAACAAACATTATCAGACAACAGAGGTATAGTTTTTTGATGATTTTTAAAACAATTGAATGACGTTATCCTGTCACTGCGCCATTCTAGTGTGCCCCCTCGTAATCGAAACATTTTACATTACGTCACAATGTAAGCGACGTCACGATGCATGTCAGTTGTCATCGCCTCGTACGGCCTCCTACAGTAAACTACTCCGTTGCATCCCGTTTCTTGGTTTGCAGTTGCTTCACGCAGCTAACATCACTGGTGGAAACATTACGTTTATGTTTGACGACGGTTAAAATGTGTCAATTCGACTCACAAGTTTTCAGAGAGACGGTAACGTTCACAATGTTTACATTCCCGCAATGCAATCGTGGAATGTCGCTTGACTACTCAGCTTCATCTGGATGTACTGATCTAAACTTACGTTGGTGCGACGGTCATATTGCCCCAGATGGTTTACGTTAATGACAGATGTAATTAAAATAATTCAGAGAAGATATTTAATCCGAACGTAAACCGTCATCAAACTCTTATCATTCGTCTTAACGTAGGGGGGCAGACACATCAATAGAACAGCGCACCTGTTAGCCCTGTGCGAAAATTCACCGACACCGTCGTTTGTTTTCTGCCTTAAATTAATCGTAATTATCCTTAGAAAGTATTAAATTTGGCATCTTAGAAAAGCGTCCTCGTACTTTAAGTATAATAGTTCAGGGCGAAAGTATGCTTTATTACACTATACATGTAGAACGAACTGTATTTCTTAATTCATAACATTCTAGTGAACACATTCCTAGGTATTAAAAGTAATATTTATAAGTACTTACAACTTGTTGCATACTCAGGACTAGTATTAACAGTGTATGAAATATGCCAAAAAAACAGTCAGACGTCAGGGCTGGGAGCTTCAAAATGTTATCAGCCTAAAATGGATCTATAGCCAGACCAGGGAATCCAAAGAAAATAACTCATATTTTAATGATGATTTAACCCATTCAGCACCACAGGCCAAATAATCACGAGTCCCAGTACGGTGCTTGAGCTTTGGATACAATAGTTCAATGTTCAAACAGTATAGACTAGTAATTGTCAAGTCCAAATTTAACGCTCAATTGGAAAAATAGATTTCAATACATGGTGAATTTACTCAGCTGTATGGAACATGTTTACCAGACCATCGGGCTGGCTAGCTGCAAATTTAGACTGTCCATCAGATATCTAGCCCATCTCGGGCGGTCGGACGGGCCTTATTTCATACACTGGTATCAACTAAACATGAAATGGTACCAGTGTTTGCTCTAACTGTTTTCCATTCTGCACTTTGTAAATATTATTTTTTACAAACAACTGACAATCATATCAGATTAAAAACCTAGACTTGAATTTTATTCATAATATTCAAGTAAACTAATTCGTAGCTATTTACCATTTGAAGTTCTGATGGTGAACGACCCTCCAGCTGATGACTCCCAGATGTACTGTTCATCATCATTGTGTTTCGACTCGACAACCACCCTCTCTGCAACAAGGTAGGCGGAGTAGAAACCCACACCAAACTGTCCAATCATAGAGATGTCAGCGCCAGCCTGCAGGGCCTCCATGAAAGCTTTTGTTCCAGACTTGGCAATAGTACCAAGGTTGTTGACAAGATCGGCTTTGGTCATACCAACACCGCTATCCTCGATGACAAGGGTATTGTTCTCCTTGTCAGGAACAATTCGGATCTGCAGGTCTTTGTTGCCATCCAGTTTGGATGGGTCTGTGAGAGATTCGTAACGAATCTTGTCCAAAGCATCGGAGCAGTTGGAAATCAGCTCTCTCAAGAATACTTCCTTGTTGGAGTAGAAAGTGTTGATGATCAAGCTCATCAGTTGGGCAATTTCTGCCTGGAAGGCAAAGGTTTCAACCTCGTCCATCTGGGCTTCCTGAGATCCTTCCTGGGCTTCCTGAGATCCTTCCTGGTCTTCCTCAGATCCTTCCTGGGCTTCCTGAGATCCTTCCTGGGCTTCCTGGGCTTCCTGGTCTTCCTTAGATCCTTCCTGGTCTTCCTCAGATCCTTCCTGGGCTTCCTGAGATCCTTCCTGGGCTTCCTGGGCTTCCTTAGATCCTTCCTGGGCTTCCTGAGATCCTTCCTGGGCTACTTCTTGAAGTTCTGACATCTACAAGTAAAAACCCATAAACCTTGAACAGGATGCTTGTTACCTGAACTCACATTACAACTATTTTTTCATTCAGTAACCAGATCCAGGTCATACATGTTGCACAGGGTACCAATTCAACAAAGTTATCCTAGTCCTGAGGTGATGATAAGTACCACATGTACACTGACATTCATCTACAATGCCCACAATGTTTATTCTGCTCTGTGGAAAGTCCTGCTGGATGAGTATCTTCTGTAACATACCACTGCATAAAACAACACTCCTAACAACTCCTTGTGGATATCCGGGTTAGAATCAATCGTCAGCAACCCATGCTTGTTCTAGTGAGTGAGTTGGGGTTTACGCCACCTTAGCAATATTCAGCAATATCACTGCAAAGGACACCAGAAATGGCTTTCACACATTATACTAGTGTTGGGAATTGGTTAAATCATAATTGATGATTGGTTCACTACAACCGATCAATCATCGAAAATAATTGGTTTGCGTCATTTATCAAATGTTCCTGTTATCTTTGTTAATGCACACACACAAAATAAAGAAAAAACATGTAGTAATTTGGGTCTTTTGCAAATTGCACAAAATCCATTGGCAAATTTCGCATATTTAAAGGATGATTAGTATGTTAGGAACACAGATTTCCTGGATTCTTTAAAATAAATTCAATCATGACTTGGAACGAGCTTGTAGTGCTTATGAAATGTAAATTTAATGACACAGACAAAACCAACCTTGTGTAAAATATTGTTGATGCAAACAAGTGTTCCAAAATTGGTTGTGTTCGATTATGAGAAAACACAATCGATTGCTTGGTCGTTTAGGCACTGCGACCAATCTTCGATTATTTCAATTAATCGGACCACCACTACATTATACCCATGTGGGGAATCGAACCAGGGCATGACGTGAATGCTTTTATTACTGGGCTATCCCACTGCTACATGCTTGTTCTAAGAGCTCACTTAAGGGTTCGGGTGGTCAAACACAGGTGGTCATGTATCCCAAAAGACATAGATCAGTGCACATGACGCCCAACACTGGACTGGCTGGATCCAGACTTGATTATTTACAGATTTACTTGATTATTGCCATGACACACCTGTGGCATGTGGCATGTAATGTAAACAACAACAAATGATAGCATGACACCTTTCAATATCATCAGGAAATAATAAAAGGAACGTGTCACAACATTCTGTACATAGCATATATTTTCCGTATTTAAACACCAGACATACAGTCTGTTTGGGTTAAAATGAGAACAATGAATGAGTGAGTGAGTGAGTGAGTGAGTTTAGTTTTACGCCGCACTCAGCAATATTCCAGCTATATGGCGGCGGTCTGTAAATAATCGAGTCTGGACCAGACAATCCAGTGATCAACAGCATGAGCATCGATCTGCGCAATTGGGAACCGATGACATGTGTCAACCAAGTCAGCGAGCCTGACCACCCGATCCCGTTAGTCGCCTTTTACGACAAGCATAGTCGCCTTTTATGACAAGAATGGGTTACTGAAAACCAATTCTACCCCGGATCTTCACGGGTAGAACAATGAATGATAAACACCAACTTCACACCGACGGGTCACAAAGTGGCTGACTAGTAGTGCTGAGTTGTAGGGGTGGGTATTGCAGAGAATTTTCATATTGCGATATATTGCGATGCAAACGCATGTATTGCAATATATTGCGTGAAGTGAAAACTACTTATAATCGAGTAATGCTTGATTTATAGAGCAAATACACAGCAAATTCACTATGCTTGATTAAGCGTTAATAACAAATTTTATTCATGATTAAAAATAAAAATGTGAATAATATTTGGCACAAATGAAAAAAAGGAAATATCCGAAGATTTCCGAGTGTTACGAAGTTTTCCGAATGCAAGTCAAAATACCGGTTTTCGATCAGCGTATCGCAATACGTTTCGTTTTCATGTCTGAACCGGTAAATACCGGTAAAGCGGTTATATTGCGCAGCCCTACTGAGTTGCACCTTTAGTGCGCGCCAGCACTGTTCCACCAGAGGCGTGTTCAGAACCGCGAGCGCCCGCGCGATTGCCTCCCGCGAGCGCTCGGATCGGCCCTGAACGGACGCGAGCGCTTGGTTACAACAAAACCATTCGTGACCAACTCGTGTTGTTCCGGGACAAGCCGAATAGCTTCTTTTATTCTATTCTTAAGGGTGAAATACTGACATATTGGTGAAAAGAAAGATGGTATTTTCATTTTCACTGAGTAGTATATCACTTTTGCCTGGAACTACGAAACACGAACTACGAAATCGATGTCTCGATCATTTATAAACAATGATCAAAATATAATAAAAAAGAATATATTTTGTTAATGTCAATGGTTACGCCACTCGTGAACATATCAACTTTGTCAGACCACTCGATGAAATATACATGTTATATGACAACATTAACAAAATATCCTCCACGCTTTCTTTTTGGAGGTTACGGAAAGGGGCGAGTGGTGACGAATGACATTAAACATGATCGCCATCTTGGTTCGCTTGGCGAGGCAGCTGTGAGAATTGTTCGCGTGCGCGCGCGGGCGCTCGAGCGGGCACAGGCGTTCAGGATCGAGCGCTCGCTAGCGTTCGCGGGCGCTCGCGGTTCTGAACACGCCTCAGCTGTCTGTCATCTGTCAGTGTGAAGCGTGAAAGTAAAACAATGTTACATGATAGTTTCTTACACAACTTTTTCCATGATCGATCATAAAATGTCTGATTACAGATCCTGTTGGGTACAGAGGTTTCAGGACTATGTGTCTTATTTATGTTTTGTGCACTTATCTCTATTTCGAGTTATTTAATCATTCATCATTCTCAATTGAACCCAAACGGACTGTAGAATAGAACAGAACTCGGTGGGTAATATTGAAACTCCAGTCTAAAACAGCATAATCAAATCCAAACTCATCCCAGAGAAGTATTAAAGGCATACAGAACTCGGTGGGTAATATTGAAACTCCAGTCTAAAACAGCATAATCAAATCCAAACTCATCCCAGAGAAGTATTAAAGGCATACAGAACTCGGTGGGTAATATTGAAACTCCAGTCTAAAACAGCATAATCAAATCCAAACTCATCCCATAGAAGTATTAAAGGCATACAGAACTCGGTGGGTAATATTGAAACTCCAGTCTAAAACAGCATAATCAAATCCAAACTCATCCCAGAGAAGTATTCAAGGCATACAGAACTCGGTGGGTAATATTGAAACTTCAGTCTAAAACAGCATAATCAAATCCAAACTCATCCCATAGAAGTATTAAAGGCATACAGAACTCGGTGGGTAATATTGAAACTCCAGTCTAAAACAGCATAATCAAATCCAAACTCATCCCATAGAAGTATTAAAGGCATACAGAACTCGGTGGGTAATATTGAAACTCCAGTCTAAAACAGCATAATCAAATCCAAACTCATCCCAGAGAAGTATTAAAGGCATACAGGAGCGGGAAAACTGGTTTTACAGCAGGCAAAGCCTAAAAACTAAGGTACAATCCCACGGCATGCCTTCACTTTAATATTGATGTATTACTACACAATGTAAGTACCCAGCACATCGTAAATAACCAACACAAACCTTCAACATACTAAAATATTAAGCCTAAATTATTATCTTTGGTTTGACCTTGACCTTTAAGAATATGATTTTAAACTGAAAAATGCTTATTTTACAATGTGTTTACAAAATGGTCTTTCATTAGGTAATGATATTGAAACTGATATTGAAAATATGACATTGAGTTTTATAATCTTCACTATTGGCATGTGTCTTCATGTTAGTCTCATAAGGTCATGACCTAAAATAAATTAAAGGTTTGGGGACAGTCCAAACACCAAGGAAAGGCTTATAGCCTATCCACCTTTGCTATAGCTTAACATAACATAAGGGTCACTAAAAACCTGCGCCACAAATTCCAGGTCCACTAAACGGGCGGTGGGGTAGTCTTGAGGTTAAAGTATTCGCTCGGTCGAAGCCCTGGGTTCGATTCCCCACATGGATATAATGTGTGAAGCCCGTTTCTAGTGTTCCCCGCCGTGATATTGCTAGAATATTGCTAAAAGCGGACTAAAACCCAACCCACTCACCCACTCACTCACTCACTGAGGCACTGTTTTAACACATTCGCTTACATCTTCACCAGAAGCAAATTCCTGAGGCATTATGGAAATAGAACTTACATTTCATATGAGTAACAAGTGTGCCAAAAACAATTCTCTGGCCCCATTGGCCCACAGCTAGTGACTACATGATGGTGATTTCTTCCTTAATTGTTACGTACATCAGTCAGCCTCAATCTCTAGCTAGAGAAACTCTTACAAAGTATGAAAACCATTTCTGGTATTGCTAGAGTATGGCTCAAAAAAACCAGCGTAAAAATATACAGACTCACTCACTCAACACCTTCTGCTATCAGAAGCAAAATACCGCTACTCTATTTTCGTTATCAAAGAACACCACAACCTGGAATAGTATAATCAGTGACCTAAGTTCAATGTCAACCAACAAGGCCATCTCATGCCGAGTACACTATCAAATTGAATCGATATAATACAATACCAACGTCCGCAGTTGATACAAAACGTGGTGAAAGTGGTAAACAGTGGTAAACGCCCCGTTCTGTACCGGGACTGATTAACAATTACACGGAAATACAAAAGGAAAATACAGTTACGTTTGTGCAGTAGGCTTTTTAACCAGAAAAAAACGAACGCAGAAAATTCGAAAAGTTGAAAAGATGAATCAATATTTGTATTTACTTATACTTATTGATGTACACGTTCACACAGGTGTACCACAGGATGATTATAACCAACTGAGATGACTATTTGATAAGATATCAAGGCCTAGTTTCACTTTGACTGGATCTCACAATGACGCCCACTGATCGTTCCAGAACTATCCAGGTACATGTATACGACTTCCTGAATGAACAGAACGCTTAGCTAAAATTGACTAATATTTTCTTTCGCTAAACCACAATTAGATGAATGAATTGACATTTTACTTAAAATGCATATCTATACACATGAACATACATATCTAAACTGATAAAATAATATATAATCAGCTAATATTGGCTCAGGAACAACACATTTGTAGGTCTACTAGTCAAATGTGCATCTATACCAATATGGCATTCCATCACGTAATTAGTGTTAAACGGTCTTGAAAAGGTCTTTGTAATGTGCCATGAATCATCATCACCTTCGTATTAAACAAAATTATACTTACTTTCCTCCTTCCTGGTTCTTGCCTTGTGCGCCTCGGTGTGAGAACGAGTTAATAGCCACATAGGAGAGAATGTTCTCGGCGATGTTGTGTTGTGGTGAAGCGTTCACGTTCCGAGATGAATTTTATTCGTTTCTCATTTTGACATACGCATGTCATGACGATTCCACATTTATCCTATATACCACCAAGGTGTCACTCCTAACACGGACTACGTACCTCGTGTTTGAATACAACACGTGGTGGCATAACTTATATTCCTTTTCCTCACCTTCCAGAACCGTGTCTTCGACAAAGCAAGCAATCGCATAAATGCGGTTTTCCGTTTCATCGGGGTTTACCGTTGCTAAATATAGTATTCCTAGAATTTATTGAGAAAGTTGTTTCGGCAAATATAGAATAGCAAGTTTCGGCAAGTATAGAAGTTATACTTAAACGATTATGTTGAGATGTGATTCTCTTACAGTCTAAGTGTCTTATCAGTACTTTGTGAGACGTCCTTGCCCTGCGACCCGTGAAGGTACGGGTTAGAATTGATCTTCAGTAACCCAGTATTGCACCGTGTCGTAAGAGGCGACTAACGGGATCGGGTTGTCAGGCTCGCTGTCTGGGTTGACACATGTCATCGTATCCCATTTGCGTAGATTGATGTTCATGTTGTTGATCACTGGATTGTCTGGTCCAGATCCGATTATTTACAGACCGCCACCATCTATCTGGAATATTACTGAGTGCGGCGTAAAACTAAACTCACTCACTCCTCGCCCTGCAGTACACGACTGAATGCGCCTAGGTACACTACCGATCAAAGATTGTAGGAATCGCGTAACAGCGTATCCCAATATTCGACCACTTCTTTCTTCATATCCTCAATATTTCTTAGTCCTTTTTTCGTTTTTTCTGTCCTTCATTAGTCCCACACATTCTCAATAGGGTTAAGATCTGGGCTGTAGCTGGGCTAGTCTAAACCTTGAACATTTTCGTCCGACAACCACAGTCTTGGGTAGCCCGCAGTGTGTTTTGGATCGTTATCATGCTGGAAAATAGTTTTTTCGTTCGGGCGGTTGGAAGGAGTTGACTATTTAAGATGTCAAAATATCGTTCCTTCGTCAAACATCCAGGGAAAATACACAATAGCGTCACTCCACGTGATGATATCCCATCCCACATGTGAAATTTCAGGCTATGTTTTGGGCGTTGGTAGATTGTATCTTTGGTATCTTTTGTCCAAATATTCACACGGTTCGGCAAAAGACAGACAGAGCTTTCATAAAAAAAGAAAACATTATCCCAATCTTGATTTTCGTGAGCCCTACACCAGTTTAAACGCCTTTTTGTGCATCTTATATCAATGGTGTGGGAATTCCGTGCTTTTTCACCCAGTTAAGTCTTTGTAATTCTTGTCAAAGGGTTTCATTACATACCTGAGGACTTCCTCTATTAATATAGATCAGATCAGATCTCATTTCTGATATTCTCAAGGCGTTTCAATTTTCCCCTACGCACAATCTGACAAAGTCGCCGGCGATCCCTAGTACTGAACTTCCTTGGCCTCCCTGCCCCCGTCTTGTGCTCAATCCCAACTCCTGACTGAATATCTGAATACTCTCCAAAGTTCTGCATTGGGGTTCGAACACACAACAAAGGAATATGCCAAGTGGAAATGTGGATTGTCTTGAGAATAAAGGCTGAATCTGTTTATATCATCTGAGAATGGTCACATCATAATGGACACTACAGTTACTGATATGCAATTGTCGGACCATTTTGGGATTACAATTTCCTGGAATATGGTGAAACCAAGTAACTCCTCAAGGACTATTTATTGTCGGAATGTAAAGAATATGAACGTTGAAGAGTTTAGAAGAGATATTGCTCAGTCTGAACTTTAATTTAATCCACCGCAGGATGTGAATGGACTGGTTCAACTTCACAATGAAACTCTGACAAATGTTCTTCAGAAACATGCTCCAGTCGTTACAAAGAAAGTGAGTGATCGGGAAAACTCATGCTGGTATGATGAACGTGTTCTGAAGGCTTAACGTAAACGGCGCATAGCTGAACGTCAGTGGCTAAAGTCTGGCATTGAAGTACATCGACAGATCTACAAGAGTGCTAGGAATGATCTCAACCGGATTATTCGTACAGCAAAAGTGGAAGTGATTACAAATAGGATAAAGGGAATGGAAGGGAATCCTGGTAAACTTCATAATGTTATGAAGCAACTACTTGGTAGACAAGATGATCCTAAGTTACTGGATCATACTTGCAAGAAGACTCTTAATTGCTGACACTTCCTCAGGCTACTTTGAGGATAAAATCGCAAATATCAAGGATGGTTTCAAACATGATGTGAGACCGCCTCCGTGGTTTAGTGGTTAGAGCGTCCGCCCGGAGAGCGGAAGGTCGCGGTTCGATCCCCGACTGCGTCATACCAAAAGACGTTAAAATATGGTACTTGTTGGTCCCTGGCGCTCGGCATTAATGGGTACAACAAGGACTGGTCGGCTCGGAGTCAGTATAATGTGTCTGAGTGGGGTATTCCTGCTTCACTGCGACATGGTATCTTTGTGGGTTAGCACTATAAAACCAGCTTCAGTCTGGGCTAGTACAAGCAGCCACGCACATACACATACACGCATGCACGTCGTCATATGAGCGAAATATTCTCAAGCACGACGTTAAACCCAATTTCACCTGACCTCCAACATGATATTCTGCGTCCCAAGACAACAAGTGATAGTTCTCGTGAAATTAAGGCTCTTGTGCAATTTCAAACAATCACCCAAGACGAAGTTGAGAAGCTGCTTAAGTCTTCAAAGAGGACCACATGCCTGTTGGACCCACTTCCTACCAAACTGCTTTTTGACCACTTGGACATCTTGCTGCCGGCCATTACTAACATAACAAACACCAGCTTGTCTTCAGGTGTTTTCCCGGACGTCCTCCAGAAGGCAGTTATCAGACATCTTATAAAGAAGAAGCTGGATCGAAATTCATTAAGTAATTATAGACCTGTATCTAATCTTACTTTTCTTCCAAAGGTTTTGGAGAAGGCATCACATATAAGGTTGAGAGAACATCTGGTGAACAATAAACTGCTGGATGACTTTCAGTCTGCTTATCGCACCAATCACAGTACCGAGACAGCATTATTGCGGGTACTGAATGAACTGAGGACCAAGGTTGACAAGTGCCATATGGCGTATCTTACATTATTGGATCTCTCAGCGGCGTTTGACACAGTAGATCATCAACAGCTTCTCCAACGAGTCAAAGACGAGATGAACATTCTTGGTGTTCCTCTTACCTGGATCCAATCTTATCTTGACAGCCGAAGACAGCATGTTATCATAGGAGACAAACAATCTTGCTGTGCCAATCTTACATGTGGAGTACCACAGGGATCGGTTCTGGGTCCGTTACTCTTTGTGATATATATATACCAATCAACTAGGTGAAATCATAAAACGGCATGATCTCGGTCACCAATCATATGCTGATGATACTCAAGTCCAGGATAGTTTTGAAGTTTCACAAGTTGCTGAATCCCTTCAGAAAACAAGTGTATTGGCATCAGAGATAAAATCATGGATGACATGTAGCAAACTGAAACTTATCGATGGAAAAACTGAGGCTATGTTGGTAGGCTCTAAGCAACAGCTTCAGATGTCAACTGACAAGAACTTAAAACTTGTGATTGGTAACGCTGTTATAGATGTCTCATCCCGGCTAAAAAACCTTGATGTCTATTTTGACTCCGAGTTGTCCATGGATTATCAAGTTGACAATTTGTCAAGACCTGTACAGTGTTTGGTACTCTCGAGGTTGGACTATGGGAACAGTTTGCTTCTAGGCATCAGCAAAGAATCACTGAGTCCAAAATGTAGCGGCAAGAATCGTTACACATGCCCCAAAGTACTCTCACATTACGCCGATACTGAAGTCATTACACTGGCTTCCAGTTGAGGCGAGGATAGTGTTTAAAGTACTCTGTATCACATTCAAGAGTCTAAAAGGCATGTCACCAGAATATCTAAGTGAACTGCTAACCCCCTACAAACCATCCAGACAACTGCGATCGGAAAGCAGATTCTTTTTGAAAACTCCTTCTTATAGACTGGCCTCTTATGAAAAGCGTTCTTTCAGTGTTTGTGCTCCATCGCTGTGGCATGAACTGCCCCCCGCCTGAAAACTGTCACCATCTTTTGCTGCGTTCAAATCACATCTTAAAACGCATCTCTTTTTTACTGCACTATTAACTCTATTCAAACAGTATTATTATTTTGTAGAGCTTTGAGCACCCACTTAGTGCTTGGATTTAGCGCTATATAAATTTCCAGTAGTAGTAGTAGTAGTAGTTGACGTTTCATGGTAAATGACATGATGGGCGGTTGGGCGCTTTGGCCAATCATCTACCGATATTTATGGTCGTCTGATGCCTGTGAAGATCCGGTTTAGAATTTGTCTTCAGCACCCCATGCTTGTCGTTATAGGCGACAAACGAGATCGGGTGCTCAGGTTCGCTGACTTGGTTGACACATGTCATCGTATATCAGTTGCGTAGATCGATGTTCATGCTGTTGATCACTGGATTGTCTGGTTCAGACTCTGGAATATTGCTGAGCGCGGCGTTACCACAACCAACCAACCAACCTGTGGTCACCTGACGTTCAACGTCTAATGCAAATCAGTCAGGTGTCCGTTACACTGATAAATTGTTTACCTCATTAACTTTTTATTGAATATTACCTGCATATTTAATAGTACACTAACCGAAACATATTGTCCAAAAAAGTGCCATACACTGCCAAGACAGATTCTTCACCTGACATCTGGCAAATATATCACAGTGACTTGCAGGTTATGATAAAAACTGAAACGCGTGTTATATATGCGTCAATCATACTTGGAACCTTCTTTTGACCAGTGTGTGTGTACATTAATAATACATTCGTACCTTTCAAACGTTTTGGGGACCATGAAATATAAATGTTTGTACCAAATATTAGAACAAAAGGAAATGAAAACAAACATTTTATGCAAGATGTTTTCATATTTTGGCTGTTCACATGCAGTATGTCCACTGGGCTGAAGGAATGTCTGACAAAGTGTGGCCTCATAAGGCACTACTTAACCGAAAACGTCAATTTAGAAATTAGTCATCCTTCTCCATGACTTTTGGTGGTCATCTACCGTGATACTTGACTATCAACTGTAATGTATTCCCGATTCGTTCATTAATATTAACATATACAACTGATAGAAGAAACCGTTTAAGTTGTCACTGTGTATTTTAGACGCTTTATTTAAGAATATTAAACAGACATAACGCGTGTACGACAGAACAGGGAATAACCACATGCGAGAGAAACGATAAATACATGTATACTTCTGATCTTGCACGGTACCATATTTAGATCGCACGGCTGTTTCTCAAATGCCTAATCCGCCTCTGATGTGAACTGGAACTTTCCATAGCCTGTTACTATAAATTCCTGATAAGGTCTTATTGTGTTTCAGTGTTCACTGTGTTGTGACAGTGGTGTGTCATATTTAGAGAGTTCTAGAAGCAGTAATTGGGTATAACACAATGGGCCTTTCCACAACATTCTAACCCAGAGAGTTGGAGAATCTTCTGGGGTAATTTTCTCATGTATACCAGGGGCGTTACTCTAGCCTATTATCACAGCTTTAGTAAACTATACAAGGCCATCAAATGTGTGGAAACCATTCTCACCCTGGATAATCGGCCAAGGAAACTTTCAATCTGCCTTTACTGCTATTATCACTGTTACTGTTTCTATACACCTGTGCATTAATTAAGCACCACCCTATTTTGAAAATATGATGTGATGCTACAGAAAAGTTAGGGTATAGCCATCAGTTTAATCAACCTGTATATGGAAGCTTTATCCACTGACAGTTTTACAAATACCATAACCTTTTCTATTCTTTATGAAAGAATATGTTGATGAAAATGTGATGGGACTGAATTTTTACCCAAAATAACTGTTCCTCTCCTTCTCAAACTACACAATAAAATTAACTTTTGACTAAAAATAACAATTCTGTTATATACCAAGATGACATTTACACATCAAGTAAGCTTTAATTATGCATAATCAGGAAGAACCAGAATGTCAAAGATTCAGACCTTTTTCCAACAATTCAGATTGCTAATTGACAAAAACTGAAAAAGGCCACATAAATAAGATTATGGAATAAATTTTTTTATGATTTTGAGTTTATTGTAATGAATAAACACTTCTCCTTGCCGGATACTGATAATTACAGCTAAAATCTGTTTTGTTAGTGAAGCAACTTTTACTGCATTTAAAATTTTCCTTTTTTTCAGTTTGACTGTAACTTTTCCTAAATCCTAGTTTACAAACTTTCATCCATTCACAATTACGAATTTATAAGCCAAACAACAATCAATTATTACTTTCACTTTTCAAAATAAGGTATTAAACTTGTTTTAGGCCAGAAAAACACCTGTTATAAATATAGGCAATTATCCAATTAAAATACATGGTAATTTCAATGCTGTTTTCGTTTTCGAAATGTCAAATGATTGATCATATTAAAAGTTACTTTTGGAAAGTTTAGAATTTCATTTCAGACAAAATTAATTGGTAAAAATACAGGGTGGTGCTTATTTTATGCATATATTATTACTCAGTAATACCTTTGTAGTGCATATGCGCATCCAGTGTGTGTGGGGGGGTGTGCGAGAGAGATTTATATTTGTAAACTTAGTACATATAAGAATACAATTATTAATTATATCATATTCCTTTCTTTGTTGGTTTGGTACAGATGTTTCACTGGTTCCCTGTTAACTATAGGCAAACAGTTTTCAAGATCATCACCTACAGATCCTCATACAGTCACAAAACAGTGGATTTGACATACAGATCAGTTTCTTTTGATGCAAATGACACTGGCCATATGGATAGACCTATATGTAGTGTCACAAGGCCCATGCATTTTCTTTTGAAATTTGCATTTCACTAAAGCATTGTCTTTCCCTTCCCTCGTAAAATCCCTTTAACCCAGATATTGGGTCAGTGGTTGAGTTTAGTTTTATGCCGTTTTTAGCAATATTACAACATGAGACACCAGAAAGGACCCATGTGGGGAATCATACCTGGGTCTTCAGCATGACAAGCTAACGCTTTAACCACTAGGCTAACCCACCGCCCCCAGTCAAGTGGTTGAAATATTCAGAATTGTCATATGGAATGAAATGATGAAACAAAACTGACTTTTATAGAATAACAAAGGAGTATTCCCCTTCCTCTTAACAGTGATTAAGATCTATTTTGCCCCCAAAGTTAGTTCACACAATTCATAATACAGGACTTCAGTGAAACTGCATTCGTTCACCAAGGATTGGTACATTAAACATCACATAAATGCATCAACAAAATTATGAAAAATGATTTTATTTTTCAACAGAAGTGTTAATGGTACACATAATGATGTACAAAAGTTGTCTTCAAAAACATACAAATGGCTTTTAATTGTACCTTTCAGAAGTTACAACTCAGGTGGTGAAATGAACGTAAAGAAATCTGCAATAATTCTCTATCAGCAATTTCTTGGAATAGAACATGTATGAAAGTTGCTTCATGATCACAATAAATAGCACTTCCACAAAAGTACACCGCTCATGTACACAATGCGGAGATATACGTTTCACAATGACATTAAAGAGTCTTTATATTCCAGGAAAACCAGCTCAGTCAACCTCTTCCATCCTTGATGCATCATCTTCATCCCCTTCAAGTGGTGGCATCTCATCTGTGCCAGTTTCTACTGCAGCTTCTGATGGGATATCATCTTCATCAATTCCTGGAAAAAAGAATAAAGGTAAGGATAATGCCAAGAAAACTGGAAGCTATTCAAAATATAAAAGGCTATTCCATTGAACTATGTAATTATGTAACTTAGCCGTTTGACATCATTCTAGTTTTTGTGAATTTTGTAATGGGCCATTGTGTCATTACATGTGTCGAGTATATCCCAGGGATTTACATGGACTCCTGTATTTAGGGGTCCCTGGGACTCTTACTGTAATTTTCAGGGGTCCTGGACAACAAAATGGGGGTCTCAGGCACTTAAACATTATTATGAATACGGTTATTGTATTGTGTATCATGATGATCACATTGTTACAGTACTTAAATTGCAAATAATACCATAACCCAGCTAGTAGCAAACACGGTGATAACTTATTGTCACTTGATTGGAATTTTTACAAAAAGTATTTGGACTTTATCTGAGCCCCTGTGGAATGCTCTATTAAATTTTTTTGCATCCATTGTCCATTTTATGCCTATAGGACGAGGAATTCGCTTCTTGTAAATCCCCCTATCCCATCGCTGCCGTCCATACCAATGCCATAAAAGAGCTTACCTAGACCCAGCTTGATCATCCTGTGTATCCTGTTGGCATGTGATGTTGGGTCTTCCAGGGAGAAGCCAGAGGCAAGGAGGGAGGTTTCAAACAGCAGCATGCACAGATCTTTCACTGCCTTGTCATTCTTGTCCGCATCTGCCTTCTCCTTCAGCGTCTTCACAATGGGATGGTCTGGGTTGATCTCTAAGTGTTTCTTAGCTGCCATGTAGCCCATAGTGCTGGTATCTCGCAGTGCCTGGGCCTTCATGATTCTCTCCATGTTGGCTGACCAGCCATACTGACTTGTGACAATACAGCAAGGGGAGGTAACCAGACGATTGGAAACCACAACCTAAAACAGACATATCATCATTTATTCCACAAATACGGAAATCTACAAACTTCCCCATAACATTTCTTTTATGACTAAAAATCAATGCATAGATTTCTTTCTTGGTCTTTTGAAGCCCTTGTCAACACTAGCAGTAACGATCCAAGCATAACCTCTCAAAAGAGTCAAGAAGAGTAACTAACCTTTTCTACTTTCTTGTCAAGGATCTCCTTCATGACCTTGCACAGTCCTTCAAACTGAGCCTTGGCCTCCTCCAGTTTCTTCTTCTCTTCCTCATCCTCTGGCAGTTCCAGACCTTCCTTGGTGACACACACCAAAGTCTTGCCATCATACTCCTTCAGTTGCTGAACACAGTACTCATCAATAGGGTCGGTCATGTAGATCACCTCAAATCCCCTCTTCTTCACTCTCTCAACAAAGGCAGAGTTCTGAACAGAGTCCTTGCTTTCACCTGGAAAAAGTTCAAGAAGGTTTCAATGTGATACACAACAATTTGAGATGAATACCTCAAAATCAGAATTTTAAACTGTGAAACCCAAACAACGATTAATTCAGGAGTCTGAGTGGTTTAAAACACGACTGTTGTGCATGTGTGACGTCTTCTTATGGTCCATTTCATATCAGCCATTTCCATAATGTGGACAATGTACAATGTGGCGAGGTTTTGTTTTAGCAAAATCACTACACGCAGAACTTCATTCAAACACTGTCCATGTCACCTGAGACAAACCTTCACTCAAAATTTCTATTCCACCATACTTAGAAATGAAGCTGAGCAAGAAATAAATCTTTCATTTACCTGTGATGTAGTAGATGCTCTTCTGGTTTTCCTTCATGCGAGACACGTAGTCCTTCAGGGAGGTCACCTCGTCTCCTGACTGGGAAGTGTAGTATCTCAGCAGCTCTGACAGCTTCTTTCTGTTGGTGGAGTCTTCGTGGATACCAAGCTGAAACAAGAGACAAAATGACAAGTCAGCTCAATAAGTACACAATTCCACAACATCTCCGAACATAAAGCTTAATGTCTTACATAAGTAAAATGTACAATTGAAAGACAAAATGACAATTTTAATGCAACGGTTTTGCCCATTGCACCTTAAACATCACTGCACATGTGTCAATGCATACCTTGAGGTTTTTGCTGAACTGTTCATAGAATTTCTTGAAGTTGTCTTTGTCTTCCATGATGTCATCAAACAGTTCCATGCATTTCTTCACCAGATTCTTACGGATAACCTTCAGAATTTTGCTCTGTTGCAACATCTCTCTGGATATGTTGAGAGGAAGATCCTCAGAGTCTACTACACCACGCACAAAGTTCAAGTACTCTGGAATGAGGTCTTCACAGTTGTCCATGATAAACACACGTCTCACATACAGCTTGATGTTATTCTTCTTCTTCTTGTTCTCAAACATGTCAAATGGAGCTCGCTTGGGCAGGAACAGCAAAGCACGGAACTCCAGCTGGCCTTCCACTGAGAAGTGCTGAAATCACAGGAGAGAACAATTAACTCAACAAAATGACACTTCCACAACATAGCATAACAATTATCCATTGCTACAATCCATATCATATTCATGCTATTTTGACTTTTCCACCCAAAAGAATTAGTTTCAGTGGATAATGAAAACTTGATTTTCTACCAGAAACATACTTTTTGGCAGTTGTCTATCAAATACATACCTTGACAGCAAGATGGTCCTCCCAATCATTTGTCAAGGACTTGTAGAACTCGGCATATTCTTCCTGGGTGATATCATCTGCATTTCTGGTCCACAGTGGTTTGGTCTTGTTCAGCTCTTCATCTTCTGTGTATTTTTCCTTGATCTTCTTCTTCTTTTTCTTGTCTTTGCTTTTGTCTTCATCCTCATCCTCATCAAGATCCTCTACCTTGGGTTTATCCTCATTCTGAAATCATATGCAACTTCAACCTTCGAAACGAGTAGTTACAATACATAAACCTGCTTTTGTGTGAAAAACCATTCATTAAGTAGCTGAATTAAGTGGACCAGGTCAAATCGCTCAGAAACCCACCTCTTCCTCATCTTCTTTCTTCTCTTCATCTTCCTTCTTCTCATCTTCCTCGTCATCAGATACCTCCTTGTCCCTCTCCTTTTCAACCATCAGCTTGATGGGGTAGCCAATGAACTGGGAGTGCTTCTTCACAATCTCCTTGATGCGACGCTCCTCCAGATATTCAGCTTGGTCTTCCTTCATGTGAAGGGTGATTCGAGTTCCACGTGGGAGGCTGGGATCTAAAATATAACAGGACATCATTTCAATCACTGTTAGACACATGTAAAACAAATTAATTGGAGTGAGTGTGATTTTACGCCGTTTTTAAGCAATATCCCAGCAATACCACGGCGGGGGACACCAGAAATGGGTTTCACACATTGTACCCATGTGGGGAATCGAACCCGGGTTTTAAGCATGACGAGCGGACGCTTTAACCATTAGGGTACCCCACCGCCATTGTTGACCCCACCGCCCCCATTGTTGGAAAGTAAAAGTAGCATCAAAAGTAAAAGTAATACTTTTTTTGGCAAACAAATGAAAATCATATCTGATTAGAAAACCTCGGCTTGAATTTTATTCATAACATTCTATTTACTAGTAAACTATTCCTAGGTATTTACCATTTGAACTTTTGATGGTGAAAGACCCTCCAGCTGATGACTCCCAGATGTACTGTTCATCATCATTGTGTTTTGACTCGACAACCACCCTCTCTGCAACAAGGTAGGCGGAGTAGAAACCCACACCAAACTGTCCAATCATAGAGATGTCAGCGCCAGCCTGCAGGGCCTCCATGAAAGCTTTTGTTCCAGACTTGGCAATAGTACCAAGGTTGTTGACAAGATCGGCTTTGGTCATACCAATACCGCTATCCTCAATGACAAGGATCTTGTTCTCCTTGTCAGGAACAATTCGGATTTGCAGGTCTTTGCTGGCATCCAGTTTGGATGGGTCTGTGAGAGATTCGTAACGAATCTTGTCCAAAGCATCAGAGCAGTTGGAAACAAGTTCTCTCAAGAAAATTTCCTTGTTGGAGTAAAAAGTGTTGATGATCAAGCTCATCAGTTGGGCAATTTCTGCCTGGAAGGCAAAGGTTTCAACCTCGCCCTCATCCATCTGGGCTTCCTGAGGTTCTGGCATCTGCAAAAAAATATATATATAAATGCCATGTATTAAGATCACAATCATTTGATCATGCAAGTAACATGATTGGAATCACAAGTACTCAGCTGCTATCTCCATAAAACAAACATTTGGGGCCACATAGCAACTTCATGATGCTTGCAAATACAATTTTCTACTATGTAGCCGTTTCCAATTTAGCCATTAATAACTATAAATCATCCCACACTAGGCACTCCATTTTTAACATGTTCAGTTCATTGCTTTGGCACATTTGGAGAAGCGAACCTGTTGGGAGAGAGTTCTTTAGATTTGGACAAATGAGCGTGCCAACGCCATGTGATTGTTGTCATGAATTAAATTCATAAATGCCACCCAAATCGTAAATCCCGAAGTTGATTATTTTTTATGGACTTGACTAAAGACTAGTAAAGTATGAGAATCGTCCATTTGAATATGTCACCTATGAAACAAAGCTAGCAACGCACTGCCAACATAAACAGAGGAAGACAAAGGGAGTAATAAAAATGTTGACTGAGATCAATCAATAAGTCACTGAGAATTTTCCAAATTGTCTGCCCAATGCGAAAAACGTAGAACGTAGGAGGACAGCCCTAACGAGATCACCCAAGCCCTCGCACTCTGACGACCAAGAACATTTATAGAGTAGCCCAACTCACATAAATTATCGATCTTGCTGAATACCTTAAAGAAATGTTGGCGAAAGCTTATTTCCGAATGACTTCATGTATTTAGATCATACCTAATTAACAATATCTGATAATACATTGTTAGACGAGCGTGTCTGATCAGATCGCGTCGGTTACTATCCTTTCACAAACCACGTGCTTTCCCACGCCCGGCTTCCTCGTACGCACCAAGTTCCCGATCACGCTCGACTTGGGGAATTTCGTGTCAGAATCTTACGACAGACAGATCGAATCGTGTCAGTGTTATGCGTTTGCCCTTAAATAATACTCACCTTTACTTAATTCAGTGGTGTGATAGAGAAAAATCACAAAGTTCTTCGACGTTCTTCGACTAGCTGTTCACCTGTCGGCTGCTACAGCGTGAGTGAACGAGCCCGATTTTATAGTCGCGCGCATACCCGGGACGGAAGCTCGCGCAGATCGAGGAGTTTCTGGAACATTCTGCGGATGTGACGTCACGCTTTATTAGTGGCCGGGTTCTGTCTATTAGTTCCATCATATTAGCGAACAATAATTGTATCGCATTCAAAGCAAAGCACTATTTTTTCAATGAGGTGTTCCCTCTGTTATCCTCAGGAAAAAATTTCATTAATTTTGTTACACAGAGAGGTACATATCCGATTGAAAACAATAATTAATAGTTAGATTAATTAAACTAATTTATGTACATATGCGAAACGTGTAAACCAATAGGGGGAAATTACGTCTTTTGTGGTTAAGATGAACAAGCCTCTCGTATGTAGATTTTTGGTAAAATACGTTAAATTGGTGCAATTTGGCACGTATAAGTATGAAAACATCTATACTTAATATTACTCATTCTTGAAGATGGTGAAAAATAGACACGGACAGTTTATTCAGTTAAAAAGCCATAGCCCCATAATGCAGACACTGTTTGAGTGCATGAATCACGCATGTCAGTGATGTACCAATGTAATTGATTACATTTCTCTTAGCTGTTGGACTATCAATATTGACATCAGTTATAAGCAAAATCAACGTTTTCTGATGAAATAATTTCGATAAAAGAAGATACAGTGTGAGACTTGATATATAAAGGTTAAAGATACATATTTCTTAGGGTTGAGTAACGCTCACATATACAAGCAAACTCAGTGTATGAGACATTTGTGTATCTCCCAAAGTCAACTGCAAGTTTAAACCTACATCTGAAACGAATCATGCATAGCCTCAGATGTATAGGGATAGGGAGAGCAAGAAGGTTTTCTACATTTAACAGGCATTTAAAATGCTTATATAACAGAAGAAATCAGATAAACCGTTGATAAAACAACACCATGATTGTTGAAAGTTGTCTCAAATAATCTTTGTTTGAAAATGTGAAAAAATTATGCAACTTTAATGATAATATCCCTTTTTCTTATTGCATGTAGCGACGTTTCCATGTTGAATCTTACACTGTATAATCATGCTGAAATCATTTATAGCGACGTGTCGATGTCTAACTGAAGCTTGATAGCGGTTCAATAATCTCCATAGACACGTCGCCTAATACAATAATTTAAAGGTTTTTTCGTCTTCGTTTTTGTTGTTGATTGTTTTATTGCTTTGATTGATTGATTGATTGATATGCTTGTGTGGGGTAGGTGGGTAGGATGGGGTCTTTTTTTTTGCTACCAACTTAACTTTTTGGTTTTTGATTTCGTGTGTTTTACTGTTATGTTTATTTTATTTATTTAATCTTTTTGTGTGTGGAGGGGGGATGGGGCATTAGCATGTAAGAACATCACGCAGTCAGTCCTTCAAATGCATGTTTATAGACATGATTGTTACTTGTCTGAGAGGGGTGGTGGTGGTGTGTGTGGGTGTGGAGGGGTGTGTGTGTTTGGGGGTCCCACAGATCCTCTGAACAGGGAAGCAAAACATTCTCCTGGTGACAGCTGTAAAGTTATTTCTGAGCATCCGGATTGTATAGTGAATTTTTTATATTTTGTGTTTGTGAGACCGGTGGGCGGTATAGTTACAGCATTTTAGGGTCACAGGTTGCCTTTCGAAACTACCCACAGTACACCCACCCCAAACCAGACTGTCGGCTGCTATGGAAACTATCCCTGACGTAATCCATGTTCAGATACTTAGGCCCCCGGATATTGAGTTACAACATGAAACGACGTAATTAGTTATTTTGTTCCATTAAATGCTCGTCATAGAACTACTCCGTGTATAACAATGACGCAACGTCTGATTGTAATGAGCTTGGGGTCAGGGGTTCTCAGGGGTGGGGTGTTACTCCCCACCTGCGTCCAGCAACCCCCGCCATCAAAGGAGATGATGTGTTTCCTGTTATTGCATAATAATTCATGCATCAATAATTAGCCTATGGGTGACAGATACAATCTTAAAACTGGAATCTTATAACCGGTTCATAACTTCACACAACATTTTCACGAACTGTTTTGCACTTTTATTCCGTTATTACAAACACCCCTAATTTTCATTACACATCGATTGAATTGCGGGAATCCATGTTTATGCTTATTGGTGTCTTGATTGTTTGAATGACCAGTGCGTCTGTGTTATAATAAATGTTCAATGCATCGTTGGGATCAGATGGCTCTGTGAAACGGGGCCATGGATATCACTATGAGAGCCAGGATGATACACGAATTCATATAAATCAGTATCACTAATTACAATGGATATCACTATGAGAGCCAGGGTGATACACGTGAATTCATATAAATGAGTACGACTAATTACAATGGATATCACTGTGAGAGCCAGGGATGATAACGTTTCATATAAATCAATGGATATCACTATGAGAGCCATCACGAATATATAAATCAAACAATGGATATCACTGAGAGCCAGGATGATACACGAATTCATATACATCAGTATGGCTAATTACAATGGATATCACTGACTATATTCATAAAATGGATATAACTCCAGGGTGATACGTGAATTCATACAAATGAGTATGAGTAATTATTATGGATATCACTCAGGGGTGTTTGAGAATATTTTGTGTGTAGCCGTAAATACGAACACATGCACATATATTACGCCGCTGAATGAGGGAGGCCATTACATTCCGCAGTTCCTCTTCTTATATTATTAGGGGGCGGTGGGTAGCCTAGTGGTTAAAGCGTCCGCTCGTCACGCTGAAGACCCAGGTTCGATTCCCCACATGGGTACAATGTGTGAAGCCCATGCATTTCTGGTGTCTCTGCCGTGATATTGCTGCAATATTGCTAAAAGCGGCGTAAAACCATACTCACTCATTATTAGAAGTGCTATACTACTTACGCTACGCATTACACGATCCTATTAAATGCACTTGTTTACAAATATTAATTATGGCCTTTCATTGTGGTAATCCAGTTGATGTTAAATTGTGTTATTTAATTCTATTTACTTATGTTGGTGTTTATTGGCTAGACGACATGTACCTATTATGAATACACAAGAAGTGGATTAACACACTTTATCACTTGGTAACGTCTCTGATTAATAAGTGGTATAGAAACGATTGTACTTAATGTGAATAGGTACTTAACGGAGATCTAGTAAATGTATACCCGTTTAAATAACAGGTAATTAAGACAAATTACCGCCAGTTGGGTACCTAATCAACAACGCATAATTACACCGAATGATACAAATCCCAAACCTAATTAAGAAATGTCCAGTTACATTCATATAAGTCTAATTTATTTAAAAGATCAAACCAGATAACTCAGGTAAGCTCCTTTGTGTGTGCACCATCGTACCCGGACAACGATGGCCGTTGCTTACAACATCAATTAATGGTTTGTCGCTTATGTACCCAAATGGAGACATTGGGCTGAATACAAAATATAAGCGATATAGACCTATAATATGACGTTGGTATACATGGTATAGTTGATATGAAACTGGTGAATTTGTTGGAATAGCATAGTCTCTTACAGGCTTAAGTCCTCATACATGTGGGTCAGCCATTTAGGTTGTTTAAGGAGACAACAATATTTATTGCATTAATTTTCCATAAACTATTTCTGTACAGTCCGTTTGGCTCAAAAGCGGACCGATGAAATGCAATCTAACTCGAAAACTAATAAACATAACATACTCAATGAAACGCTGATCATAATCAAAACATCATACCCACTCTGTGAGGTTTTTGCAGAATTTTGTCCTAAAATTAAAAAAGTTGTTTAACAATCTATCATTAAAATATTGACACAGTTCACTATTTGTTACGAGGGAGGAGTGCAGAGAAAGGGACAGCCAGGTGTTCGAGAACGGATGGAGACGGCACAGCACAGGTTAATGAATAAATAACTTTGTCTGTGAACGTGCTTCTCGAACACCTGGCTGTCCCTTTCTCTGCACTCCTCCTTCGTAACAAACAGTGAACTGTGTCAAAAAATTTTTAAAACTTTTTATTCAAATGTATCTTGTCCTCTTAAACGGGAAACTGAACAATTTATAGTTTTTCTAGCATCTAGCGTAATCATTAAACAATGAACTTGTATTTTGTAAAACATTGGGCTCAATTATCCCATCCCTCCTCTCCAGTATTTTCAAAAACATATAATGTTGCTGGAATATTGCTAAAAGCGGCGTAAAACCAAACTCAGTCAGTCAGTAAAATGGTGATGAGAACATAAATGAGATCTTTTATGAACGCTTCCACAAGTTCACTTGTTCAAAAGGCGTTTCTGAAGCTTGATGACGCGCTCTTGATCAGTCATCACAGGCGGATCGGGGGGCGGGAAGAGAAAAACAACCATTTTGTCCTGAAAGTGAATTAAATGACCCATGAAACGGGTGGAAATGAAGTGTGTCACTCACTCACTCTCTCTCTCTCTCACACACACACACACACACACACACATTTTCTAACCCGGGTCTTCACGGATCAGCTGTCTCCGTCCATGTTAATCACCATGCTGGCATAGCACACTGTCCCAGTTGGGATTCCTATTCATTTTACGTTCACGGCTCGCGGACTTCAGATCCAAACGATATACCTGTGCATATTGTTGAGTGACCTGATTCAGTTCCACAATGTGACGCTTGTGATATGGCGATATCTCCCTAACTTCAACTCAGTGGTTGGGTGAGTGAGTTTGGTTTTACGCTGCGCTGGCAACATCACGGCAGGAGACAACAGAAATGGAATTCACACGTTGTATCCATGTGGGGAATCGAACCCGGGTCTTCGGGGGGACGAGCGAACGAATTAACCACTAGGCTACCCCTCAGTGGATGGGGCAAGATATCGTCATGGATGGTCCAGTCCATCTCGTTTTTACCACAGATTTATTTAAGACTGACTGACTGAGTTTGGTTTTACGCCGCTTTTAGCAATATTCTAGCAACATCACGGCGGGGTACACCAGAAATGGGCTTCACACATTGTGCCCATGTGGGGATTCGAACCCGGGTCTTCGGCGTTACGAGCCAACGCTTTAACCATTAGGCTACCCCACCGCCCCATTTATTTAAGATCCCGATGGAAGATAACAGTGTTCATTCGCTGAAACAATTGCAGTCACTTTGTTTTTGGTTTTGCTAAGGAACTACTTCATAAGATTTGTTGCCTAGCAGGTATCTCAACCGTGAATATGGGTCCCCATATTTGCTTGTGGTAAAAGAACTAAAGTTTACTGGTGGTTAGGCTAGCTGGCTGGAATAATAGCAAGTAATTGTGTAGACCATGTCCATGTCTTGTCCAGACCTTTCAGCCGAAGGGGAAGTAAAAAACTAAAGAATATTCTTTCCATGCTCTCTACACTAAAATCGGGCTCCATACATTGGACACATGGGAATTGTATACAGGCCTTTGACATGATGAGGCAACTCATGAAACACACATATACACAAAGAACTAACAAGCACCCCCGGTATTTTTGCAATGATAGGTTTTCAACACGTGTAGTCCGTTTGCGTTCAAATGAGAACGACAAATGATTAAATAATTCGAAATTGGGTTAAGTACACAAAACAGAAAGAAGACACATGGTCCTGAAACCTCTGTACCCAACAGTTCTGTTTTTTTATCGAACACGGTAAAAATTGGGGGTGGGGGTGGGAGAGAGACCAAACAGATGTTGGAACAGCGCCTGACAAGTTGGGGTCATCTCACCTGGCTGTGTACCTGAATACCTGCTGGAGGTTTCAAAACCATGTGTCTTATTTATATTTTGAGCACTTCTTCCTATTTACTGATATTTAATCATTCATCGTTCTGGTTTGACCCCAAACGGACTATAATGAAAAGTTCTCTTAATGACCACGATGGAAAGACATAAATTTTTCTGACCCGCATGATGCTTTGACTCATAATAAACGACAAGATGATTGGAATCCATGCTGATTTTATGATGACAATTGCTCATTATGAAAAAGCACTGATTTTCATACAAAACCATGTCTGTGCAAGTATCACCCTGAAATGTTTGATGTTGAATTCATTGGTGAATGTGAAGATTTAAAATGTCATTTTGCTGTGATGATTCAAGGTCAATACTGAGTGTAACCTCCATGTGACTATGACAGCCAACACTCTCCTCCTCATACCCCATCAGCCTCCTGAAGCAGAAGGGCCAGTCTACGCCATTCCTGTGTAAAGCAGCTTCCAATTGGACCAGGTTCTGTACAGGACGCCTTCATTCAATCGTGAGATATGTCAGGGGCCGCTTGTGTCAGTTGGTGCTTATGTCAGTTTTGTGTGTATAAATTATTATGTTTTGTCTTCCCTCATACGAGGCAACTGGGTACCATTATAGAACAATGCTTCTATGTCTTTACGATCCAGCCCAGCTCTTCAAGCCGAACAACATATCAACTGATCTCCAAACAAAACGGGGCAGTGGGGTAGCCTAGTGGTTAAAGGGTTGGCTCGTCTACGAAGACCCGGGTTCGAATCCCCACATGGGTACAATGTGTGAAGCCCATTTCTGGTGTCCCCCGCCATGATGTTGCTAGAATATTGCTAAAGGCGTAAAACCAAACTCAGTCAGTCAGTCCAAACAAAACAAAACTGAAGGTTCCGACTCACCATTTGCTTTTCTATTGGGTTGATCAGAAACCTTTCTGAATATGACTGTCCAAGAGAACAGCTTGTTGCCATCTTTTGAGTTTGAGAGAGAGTGAGTGAGTGAGTTTGTTTGTTTGTTTTTAACCATGTGTTAAGTGTTCAGTTGCATCTCAGTGTCAGCCATCAGTAAAAGGAAAGCTAGTGATGTAGGTGTCGGATGACTACCACAAACGACCCAGGGCCTAGATTATCGAAGCTCTCTTAACGCTAAGATAGTCGTAAGTGCCATTCATTAACAGTAACTTAGGACTATCTTAGCGCTAAGAGAGCTTCGAAAATGTAGGCCCAGGAGCACAAGTATGATGACAAACCAAGACAAGTAACTGGTTCAAAGACAGCATCTGAATCCCAAACATTATGTTTCTGGCATACCCAAAGGACAACTGCATAGCGAATTTCATGGCCTCAAATGACCGATCCCTCTGAGCCATAAGCATTTCATGGAAACACACAGATAACAAAACACCATATTACTTTCTAATTTTTTCTTTTTTATATCCCAGTTATTTCACTGTGAATGTTAGAAACTCCATATTTTCAGTGGATGTTATGCATTGCCATACAAATGTAACGGGTTGTTCTCAAACCAGGAAAAGTTGTACAAAATACACTCCACTTGTGTCCACATCTGGTCTTCTTAATGGCAGATCTGAATAGAAGACATATTTATGTAACATAAACCTGCATAATTACCCTACATATTATGCTACAATAATCATGCATAATGATCACAGCTGTCATCACACACAGCCCTTCCTTAACACAACAATATTGGTATCTGTACAGTGCAAAGGTGGTTCATCACTATGGAAACACAATGAGGATACGAGGCCGCTGGTACACTGTACCCATTCATTCATCAATATTAATCATATTTGGTTTCGAATTCTCTACTTTCAATGTAAACTAAAATGAGGTTCTTGAGAGGCATATTATTATGACAAAATATTATGGATGTCAACTTCCTTATTGTCTACACAATGTATCTGGGCTTTTCTTGCCCCTTCGAAGAATAAAGAAGAAGTTGACATCCATTATATTTTGTCTTATACTAAAATGAGGGTGGATCTTTAAGGAAAAAATTGTAATCTCGTCCATGGCCTAGATTTTCGAAGCCCTCTTAGCGCTAAGATACTCGTAAGTGCCATACATTAACTTACGACTATCTTAGCGATAAGAGAGCTTCGAAATTATAGGCCCAGAATTGCTGGAACAAAAATAGTGAGTCCTCAATCTAAACCCCTAAAATAACTCCTACTCCTAACATACTGGATGTTACATTTCTATGAATATATTTCAGTTACTCAAGTCTTCAAACCAATCCTTGATTCTAAATTTCCCACTAGAGTAATAGATAAAAAAGGTTCATTTTAGGAATTTCTGCTATATGTATTAATACCTCTTCATTGAAATATGTCATTAGTATCTTAAAATTAATAACACAAAACACTGATTTTGGTACCTGTAATTGAACGTGTATGCCATCATAACCCCATAGAACTGAAATATATCATACTAATTGTTTGATAGACAGACCAAGAATCAAAGAGAAACAATCATGGAATCATGCATTACAATACACAGAGCTCTCAATGAAAAATAACCACATGGTTTGGACCATACCTTTCTTTGGACAATATCTCGTGTCACAAATGATTTTGGTCAATGAAAATTACTGAGTTACTTTGTAATACATTTTCATAAGACTAAGATTTTCCATGTCATATACACCTATCTTTCATGATGAGACACTGTGAAGCAATAATGCTCACATTCCATGAGAAGAAGTTCAAAATCTCCATTCAAATATTCTTCTTTTTGAGGTAATGTAGTCATATAGTCATGCAGATATCATTTACAGAAACACCCAGCCACTCGTTCTTCGTCTCACAAAACCTATCATCAAGAAGACGTGGAATTTCATCCTTCTACTGTTAAATCCACCACCAATGGGCTTAACCTGTTGACTCTGAACCAGACAGACCAGTCATTAACTGTTACACTAATGGGAATCAAACAGTCTTCTGCTCGATGAGCAAACACATAACCACTGGGCCACCCAACAATCTGAATAGAACATTTTTTTGATAAATGCAAAAACACCACATGACTAGTCTAAATAATGTTAAATTTCTTGATCTTATCTTATCTCTTGGTCTTAATTAGCATGGAATGTGAATGAAATCCTTCATGAAAATACAGCAGACCATACACAGTGAAAATAACAGAAGAAACTCTGAAAATATGCACAATACCACAAAGAATGTTTCCAGTCCAAAGAATACTAGTACACCATTAATGTGTAATAAATATCCTAATTCAATGAAAAACTTTTGTAAGGAACACCCCACTTAGCATCTACCTAGTATACAAAGGTTTTGGATGAAGCCATGACAAGAAACAGACACAAATTCCAATAACAAAAATTCTCATTTCTAACGATTAAACAAATTATCTCATAATGTGCCCAATTGGAATTGAAATATATGGCTCCATTGACATCAATAAGAAACAGAAATAGAGAAATATTCTTAATTTTACCCATTTTGATTAACTGTACCCAGTTTGTACCCAATTTGTTAAAAAAGTATCTGATGATTAAAAAATAACCTCTGATCACAAAAAATAGAGAAGTAAAACACCCTTGTTTTTATAATTTGGGTTAATAACTGCCAGGATGGGAGCCTCTCCTGTTGTGCTACAGTTTATGAAAACAAACACGCACCATCTGATTCAATTTCCAAATAAGATGGCCACTTGAAAAAGATAAATTGTTATGTTAAGTGTTCAGTCACATGCAAATGCGTATCGAAATAGAACACTGCTTGTATGTCTTACACCCGTACATAATCACAAAGAGTGCATAACACTGTAGCAAGTTGTACAAATGGATGAAAGATTGACATGGAAATATTAAAACCATGAAAACTGTCTTGTACATAATTTCCTTAGTTATGTTGATGAATCGTAATATATCTACTGAAGCAAACAGGACTGTCCACATGGAGGTGGTATAACATGTCAAGGGAGATAACCCATGTAGGAAAATTAATACTATCCCTTGAGTATATATTTCCAGCTCTTGATAAACTTGCATGAGCTATTATTGGTATGAAATCTTTTACAAAATACAAAAACTTTACGTTTCCATTAATCAAGTAAATTATAGTTTCATTGTTTAGCAAGCATGCATCATGTTTTGGTGCATGACAAAAATGTCAAAAGTTCTGCTTATTGGTGCGTTTTGGTGCATATTGATGTCATATCTATATACACATGATTGTCATAGTTTCTGGAACATTTCAGGTCTCAAGAACATACAGGGGGATGAAAAGCAATTTGGTTTATATTAAAGTACTCATATTGAATTTCACAGGAGGTAAAAGATGGAAATGTGCATATAGATTTCTAATTATGTGCTTATAAATGATCTCAAACTATTACAATTCAAACTTTTAAAACTGCAATATTACAAATGTTTTTCACATGCAATCCCCCAAAATAGTATCAAATAAGACCTTCACACCAAACTCAAAGAAATAGCACTTATCGACATTTGTGATGTCAATAAACATACCATCATAGTCCCATTCTTTAAGTCAGCTGGCAATCTTCATTTGAATGACCCAAAAGTGATTTCTCACTTCTTAGTACCTTCTTATCCAAGCCTTATGAAGCCTAGTTAAACATTGTCAGTTGTTACACCTACAAGTCATGGCGCTGCTTTCTTCGGGTGAGTGAGTGAGTTTAGTTTTATGCTGTTTTTAGCAATATTCCAGCAATATCATGGCAGGGGACACCAAAAACAGGCTTCACACATTGCACCCACGTGGAGAATCAACAGCGCGACGAGCGCATGCCTTAACCATTAGGCTACCCCACTTCCCCTGCTTTCTTGGAGTTTCGTTCTTGGAGATTGTAGTCGAGGCCAGGACACTTCAGGAAAGTATACAGACATCTCACTGAGGTAGTCCATTCCCTTGACCTTCATAAAAATAACTCAAAACCAGACAATCTATCTCAGAGTTGTCCCATTCAAGACGAGACACATCCAGGTTGTCTGCAAGTCATGCACCAGCAAACATAAAATAGGAGTATAATTGTTATATTTGTTGGGTAATGGATTATTTTTTTGCTTGAGATGTCAGTAGGGGGAGGATAAAAGGACATCAGCGTGAATCTAGGAACTTAGATTTCAGAACTTTAATAGCATGCAAAATGTTAATTTCCTAAAATTATGTGGACCAAGGACAAAGGAGTGAGTGAGTGAGTGTGTTGGAGTTTACGCCGCTTTTACCAATATTCCAACAATATCACTGTGGGGGATACCAGAAATGGGCTTACACATTGTACCCATGTGGGGAATCGAACCCGGGTCTTCGGTGTGACGAGCGAACAAGGACAAAGGACAGAGCTACACATGATCACCTAAGAGGAAGACAGATTGATCCGGTGACATGTGAATGTCAAAATGAACACCATACTAGTGTTGTTGATTTTCCTAATGTCACTGAATGAACACAAAAAAGTTTCAGAAATAAACATATCAGAGATATATAGGATTCCTACTTGACACACAAAGGCTGGTTCTACACAGCCAGTATAACAAGTTCATATTCTGAGAGATCAAAATTGTCTAGAAGTTACACACTGAACTCCAATAAATTCAAACAGTTTATCCAACACAGTATATCTCAGTGAAAGCATTCTTGAAATATAATTCCATATAGTGGCAGATCACAAACACACAAAGTTATCTGCAAGTTGTTTCTTTGGATATGATGCTACAGAATGTCACTTGATGGTTTCAAATGCTTCTATCAACCAACAGAGTTGTTCGCAATCTCTGCTGATTTTAAGCCTACCTTCAAAGAGCAGTTTATAAAAGTAGCACAAGAAATAATCTGATTATTAAACATTCACTTTTACACAATCTGTCACAACTTTTGAAATTACCGTTACATCTATGTCATCAAGATCATCAGACATGTAATGCTTCCAAATTTAACATATTAGGATTCAGGAGCGCGCCACGTCACCTGTGAGGTCTCGTACCCCAGTGTCTGTCTGAACACAGTTTAAGGAGCAGAACACGAAACCATATGGCACCACCAAGCAAAACGTCCAATCACCTCTGCACTGTAGAAATCACACTGACAACATGTAAGGGCTGATCACACAGGAACAACGTTTATTACTCCGTTGATTGGTCGGATTGTTCATAGACACACTTCTTTCACTCGTTCGTTCGCCCATCACTCGTACAAGTTCCAGGAATCCCTGGAGTATCACAGAGAAGCAATGTACACATAGCTCTGTAGCAATCAGTCATCATGTCTGGTCAATCTAAGGAAACACAGCCGATTGAACAGCCTCATCCCAAACCCTCTGGTGATTGTTTAATTATCAACACTGGAGATTCTAAAGGTCTACTTATCAAACAAGCATTGAACACTATCAGACAAACAGACACAATCAGGATGTCCCCTGACTGTTTAACTATAAACATCTGTCATATGACGAGGTGAGAATACATGGCTCTACCCAATAAGGAATGAAATACATGTTGATAGTAACCAAATAATGACGTTTCAGCTAAAATATTGTCACAGGAAGTTGTAACCAAAATGAAACCATAAAAAATGTAAAGGTGCAAACATCTGCTAATGAAGATCCTAACTATCTTTGCTCAAACCAATATGAAATGCATTAAAAGTATCATACTGAACTGTCAAAATGGTAATGAATTGCCTTTGGTAGTTGGATGTTTTTATGGTACAGAGTAGTTAAAGCTGTTGACACAAGCTACAACGTATCAGATTGTTACAGACTTCACAGGTTGGAAAGGTCTCTACATCACCCGAAGCAATGTGTTCAGCTGCAGTCAAATGAGAGTGAGAGACTACCGGTAAATCAGATGCTGAGCCTTAGCCAAACCAGCCATATTTTGGGTGTCATGGAAGATGAAAGTTTCTGAACCAGGTCAGAGCAGTGTAGCATTCTCTGGTGTTCATCCACCAAATCACATCCACAGAAGTACCTTTGATTGCTATCCAAACCAATATGGTCGCCTCCTGAACACCAAGTCTGGGAATTCATAAGAGAAGCTATGTCTTTGTTCTCAATTTCTCACATGGCTTTAAGTTCACCCTAGGCTTGTCACTGTGAGGGATTTTAGTAGACACCTAAATATTTCTGTACATTACACATGTAAAGACTAATGTCATATTTGTTTCATAAAGTACCATCACAATGGTTTTAACAAACGATCCTTTTTCTCAAAATCAGTAATAGAATTTGCACTAGCCTATTTGCCGAAGTCAGCTCATTTAATGAGGTCAGGCTGAATATTGTAATTTTAGGGATTATCCCTGATTGGGCTAGTGATATTTCAGGTAATTTCTTTTGCTTGAAAAGCTTATGAGTAACCTTAAACAATTAACTGTCTCGTAGAGAGAACTGCCACCAATTATTTTCAAACACATTTCTCAGAGAATAAAGTAAACATCTGCTGCAAAGCTAAAACTTACAAAGAGAAAATGTAAGATGCAAATATCAGATATGAGGATATATAATCTATATTCTTATGGCAATGTCACTACTATAACGCATGTATGCTGAGTCCGATATTGCATGATGTTAAAATTGTTATTTATCTGTCATAGGCTCACAACACTCTTACACTAGTATTTGATTACCATGTCTAAGCACTCATTATGAATCAAACTGACATATATATATATATATAACATACTGTTTTGTGACCCGATCATGTAAGTTATAACAAACAATGTACAATAAATAATAACAATATTCTCACAACATGATCAACAGAGTATGAACTTTTCGAGGGATGACACACCAGAGGGTCTGGATAAGGCGCTAACTGATGAATAAAATGCTATAATTAAGTATTTCATTCTGCAGGGAATAAAAACAAGGGTAACAAGCCATGATGGTCTTTCTCTGCTTGTCTGAGCAGACTTCTGGATTAAAAACAACAACAACTCTGCCAGTCAAAGACGCCATGCTGCACCAGTCTGGATAAGTTCTCATTCTTCATTAAAGCCATCTCCATGTCCAAGGTGACGGTGACGATGATCACGACACCACAAGCAGTTGCCCTGACTACAGTAACGAGGCCAGATCTTATCGAGGACAGTTGCCACCATACATGAAAGCCAGCTGTTACAAGGGTCGATTAAAGTCAGGTTGCCATGACACCATGGTTCACTGTCATATGGGTAGATCTAGCCAGGGAAAGCTGACATGACACCAGGGCCCACTGCTATGAGGTTAGCGCACTGCATGAGAGTCGCCATGACACCCAGGTCCAATGTTATCACTACAAAGGACAGTCGTCATGACACCAAGGCCCACGGTCATCGGCAAGATCTCACCAGGGACAGTTACCATGTCACCAAGGCCCACTGCTGAGGGTAGATCTTACCAAGGACATATTGAACACAATACAGTAAGGCCAACAGTTACATGGGTTGGTGATATTGGACACAATTGCCATGCGACTTAGGCCCACTGTTACAAGGGTAGATGATGCTCCAAGAACGACTGCCACAACACTAAGGCCCACTGTTACAGTTGTTGATGATGCTTTCAAGGACATACGACATGACATTAAGGCCCTGGATCTAAGCTTGCAACTGAGGAGCAACACCATTGTTGAATAAAGATCGCTCCATGCGGTGTAATCTTGTAGGATTTGACTTGGCAGCCATTCTCAGCACTTCTTGTGAGTGTATCACAAAGTTTCACAAGTTCATTTTCTTTAGACTGTACAGGACTTCATCCTTCATGTATCTGAAAGCAGAAAAGACAAGAAATAATGACAATACTGTTACCATTATCAGAATTTACATCTTATTCAAATTAAAGAAAATAAACAACAATCACTAGGGTATAACTGGACCTTCTTGTCATCAGAGCAGAGTTACTGTGGAACCTCAGCCTAGAGTTTCCCTTAGTTTGTTGACAGGGAGGAAAATTGTCCAGGCAGTGATCCCTATTGGATACCTAATGGGGATAGTTCTTCAGGCTGTGCTGTAAGCCTCTGGTTGTCGTTACCAGGGTTCCCATGTTGTACTGTTAAGATTTACACTTTTGTTAGTTAGATTCCATGATTTTTCCATGACTTCATCTTTTATTTCAAAATCCATAATTTTTCCAAGACTGGAAAATGGGGTGTGAAATTTCCAGGTTTTCCAGGACTTGTAGGAACCCTGATTACCTCATACTTACAATCCTGATATTCAGCTGGAATATTGCTGACTACAGCACAAAAATAACTCGGTGACTGTAAGTAATTCTTTTGAACTTAAACAGAGAAGGCCATATCCCCAACATTGAAGTAAAACTTTTGATTTGCATTCAAGGTGTGAGGATATGAATAGTATCAAGTCAATGTGAAACTACAGAACAGCTCACATTATCTTTGGTTCAGTACAAAACAGACAACATTCTTACTTTCACCTATGACCTCAAAGTCAATGCAAAGCTATCTACTTGCACATTTTATGCACAATTTGTTTGTAAGGACACTCATCATGGTACAAATATTAACTAACATACAAGAAAAACAATGCAATGATGCAAGCATCCCTAATCTTAAATTTCCATCAGACATAAAAAAAGTGAAGATTCCAATATTGACCTCTTATATTTGACCATTAACACATTACAATAAAAACTACTTGTGCACTGTTGCAAATGATCATTTGGAGCAACATTGTTCAAACACTTCTAAAATCAGTGTCTAAAACTCCCAAAATTCCAAGCTAGATAGCCGGACTGGTAACTTTTAAAAATTACCAGTACGGATACAAACTTGCCTGTCCGGTTTTCAACAATGAATAAACTGCGACTGCCATTTCCAACTCGCGCAAGCTCCATTCACAATGAACTATATAGCACTAATAGGCAATGAACCGAATTTAGGTAAACTGAAATTGGTTATCGTCACAAGAACTGTCCAATCTTAAGTAGTTTAATATGAATTTCATAATACCTTACAGGGCTCGATTTAGTGCTTTGTTACTTGCACTGATGCAACCCAATATTACAAAATGCAACCTAGTTATTAGTCTAATTTGACCCAGATGCAAGTCAATTTTTGAGACTTCAGCTGGAAAACAGGATGATGAGGAACTGACTTGGGAGGAGTGACTGAAGGACTTACTGTTCATGAAATTTTAAGAAAAAGTACTAATCTTATCAGTCCAGGATTTCTTTTGTTATAATGTTCTAAACTATCATTACAAAAAACTCAAGCATCATATTTTATACAAGAAAATATATTTAACAGCAGGTGCAACCTGTTTTTATCTGATGCAACAAGGTTTCAACCTAAGGTTGCACTCTGTGCAAGTAGGTTTAATTTCTTTAAATCGTGCCCTGCCTTAAACACCTCAAACTGATGACAAGAGAACCTGTCTGATATTATGAAATATTTACTGTTAGGGGTAAAAACATCTACCAGACCACCGGACAGGCTACTTTTGAAATTTGACCGTCAGAGATGAAAATAGACCGCTCCGGACAGTCGGGCAGGCGGGACTTTTAAACGCTGCTAAACTAAGTTCTGTCTTTTGAGTCAATTAGCTAATAGATGGAAAACTCTTTAACTTATATTTCACAGATTAATCTCAGGAAGTGTTCATCTCAACTTCATGTCAGGTTTTTACAGATCTTTACATGCTTGACAGATAATTTCCAAAACTCTTGAGAATATTTCAGAGCCAACATCGCAGTTCCAAGGCTCTTTAACAAGCTAATCACTTATATTATCTGATTATTACAATCATTAAAGAACTATCACTTTCAAGTTCACTTCATGCCTGCAGTGAAAGCTCCCACATGCAGCTGATGATAGTGTTTCTTATGCTAATTTATCTACAAGTACATATATTTTTTTCTCAGTATTAAAGCTCAGTCAGTTAATGTCAAGAACCTTTCAAGAACTTAACCTGATGAAGTAAGCACTTCTCACTAAATCCTCTAAAATTCAAAACAGATATATGATAGCTCTGCATACTGTGAGTGAGTGAGTGAGTGAGTGAGTGAGTGGGTGATTAGGTTATCAGGTGAGTGGGTGGGTGGGCCGGTGAGTGAGTGAGAAAGAAAACAAGAGAGAAAGAAAGACACATAGCGAGAGACCGACAGAAAGATTTACTTCTGAGGCTTTTATCATACGTTAGTTTACAAGTATGGTTGACCAAACTTATGTAAAAGTTCAGCGAATATAGTTTGTTAATGTAAGAAAAACACCATGTAATGCATTAGTAGCACTTGTGCATCCCATTTTTGAAAAGGTTTGAACTTTACATATGATGATGATGATGATGATGATGATGATGATGATAGGATATTTATATAGCGCACATATCCACGTAACTAGTACATGCACAAGGCATTTGAGTGTTCCCTTGATCAACGAAATATCTTTTTTCTGGCATTCTTTTTTTAACCAACTCAAGCCCCTGGGGAGTATTCAACTCAGAAAATTATAAGACACTATCAATACTTGAATAACAGTACTGACAAGGTATAGGAATTAGCAGTCAGTGTCAGTGGGTTGAGTTTTACGCCGCTTTTAGCAATATTCCAGCAATATCACAGCGGGGACACCAGAAACGGGCTTCACACATTGTACCCATGTGGGAAATCGAACCCGGGTCTTAGGTGTGACGAGCAAACGTTTTAACCACTAGGCTTACCCCACCACCCCTAATAGGAATAAGCATATGGATGGTACATCACTGCTGAGGACACAATGAAAGGGAATCAAACTTCAGTCTGGGTGACGAGAAAGCACTTCCATCACTGGGTTATCAACTTTCTTATTATCATAATAATGTGGAGACTTACAGGTTCCATACACATATATTATAACACTGGTAACTGGATTAGTGTTTACTGGAAGTTCACTCTCATTTCCCTCGGAAATATACAACCCCGGGCTGCTTTGTTACATACTAAAAGGTCAACAGTTACAATACCATTACATCCTGCCTGGTATCCAGGTTCACTGCTGGGGAAAGAGAGGCACATTTTAAACACATGCTTAAGGAGACACCACATGTGCTACATTACATGTGTTTCAATGTGAGTGAGTGAGTGAGTGAGTGAGTGTGATTTTAGCAATATTCCACCAGAAATGGGCCTCACACATTGTACCTACTGGTATGTGGGGAATTGAACCCAGGTCTTCAGCATGACGAGCGAACACTTTAACCACTAGGCTACCCCACCGCCCGTGGTGCAAAGCCTTAGAAACTCTAACCAGTCGAGCAGCCAAATGAGGTCACCCATTCAGCTACTTTCCGACACTAATTGTCCTTACTTCACTATATTTTCTGCCTGTTGGCTGTGCATGGGACCATGTGACACCATATGGTTCATGGATATTGTCAAAAAAAGCATCATACAGGTCAAACGACACCAAGGGATACAACTCAATAGACAATTGATCATCACCAGTGCACCTTTTAAAGGTATGAATCTAACAATAGCCTAATTGTTTAGATTAAAAATTTGAAATGACAAAGACATTTTCAACAAAAAATACAAAACAATTGCTAATTGGCAATGTCTGCATTAATAAAATATGAATAAAGATGTCTTTCCTGAAGCTTGAAAAATTGCTTGTTTTTTATGCTCTATTGAACATGGAACATTCTGTACTTCCCAGGTGTTCAACAAATGCATACTCTGTAGTCAAGAGATTGTCAAGGAGGAAAGCCTCCTTATTTGTTCAAAAGTAGTTCTGTGTTCCACAGGCTTTAATTATCTTGATTAAAATTTGATCATTATTATTCAACACAAACCTTGCCAAGGAGAATTCAGTACAACAAATAACAAGAGTGTTTCAGTTTGCTGACTGTTTGAGACAACATCTTCACCTGTTATGAGTTTGTAACCTACACATTTGTCAGTTAACTTAATGTGACAAAGAAGCCCTGTTAACAGCTTTCCTCTATACTTCAAAAAGTGTTCCTAATCAATTTACTTTTGACTTTTGGTTTGTTTAACGCCACACTCAGCAATATTCCAGCTATATAGCGGCAGTCTGTAAATAATCAAGTCAGGACCAGACAATCCAGTGATCAACAGCATGAGCATCAATCTATGCATTTGGAATACGATGACATGGCAACCAAGTCACTGAGTCTGATCATTCTATCCCTTTTATCGCCTCTTACGACAAGCATGGGTTACTGAAGACCAAACAAACTCACATGTCAGACATATGGATTAAAAAAGGACACTGTTTTCCTAACAAACTTCCAGATTTGTTTTACCTAATAAACAGAAAGATGCATATTATATATAAAACAATAACGCATAGTTCAGTTATCTTCTTAATGATGCCTTACAAGTTCCATGTTTAATGATTGCACATTAATATTGGATAATTTCCCATGTGACTGACAGACTGAGTTTGGTTTTACGCCGCTTTTAGCAATATACCAACAACATCACGGCAGGGGACACCAGAAATGGGCTTCACACATTGTACCCATGTGGGGATTCGAACCCGGGTCTTTGGCGTGACGAGCCAACGCTTTAACCACTAGGCTACCCCACCGCCCCATTTCCCATGTGAAGCCAAATGAATAATCTTAACTGAATTGTAACCATCAGTATCATGCCTATTTTTGTTATAACTCTGAAGTAATTGATACAGAAGGCAATTTTCACAGAGATTCCCTCAACCATTGTAGAGGCTTTGGGATGATCAGTCAGGTAAAGGAAGGAGTAATTTCATGTCAAAAAGAGTAATGTTAACAGCAGAATGTTTCAAG